TGTCAGAAAGGCTGTACATAGTATGCCTTCCCATGGATTCATATAAACATGGCACCCACCATTCACAAAGCGAAATAAAATACATATGCCTCTGTACACACTGGTTCTTTCACTTTGTTTGTGTTTCCTGTGATGCTTGCCAACTGCCTATGGATTGTGTGGCTATATGAGACCTGAATGAAACCTGCCATATGTGGTACCTGACCTTCTCAAAATGGAAAGTCCGAGTTATCTGCTGTGTCTGGGCTCAGAAAATGCGGATAAAACAAGGGAATATTCTGTATGATTCCATTCACCTTGTACTGCTTGCTATAAGTAGTGATTAGCTCATGTCTAAACCCTTGGGCAGGCAATGGCATATGCAGAAAATGGTGAACACCTGTGGCACAAAGGCCACAGTTAATGCTGAGTATGTAATATTGGCTCTGTCTCACATGTGAATGGCATAGCTATCCATAGTATGGGTTCACAGAGCTTTATGACACTGTACTGATCCTAGAAAGTGATAGAAAGACATTGTACAAGTTGTGTTGTGCATTTACTACTGTTGCTAGAAAGTCTATAGGCTAGCAATGTCATAAAGTAGGGACACCACACATAGGTGATCAAATGCTTTGATGGTCTCTGCAATGCTAGATAAATGGTAGGAAATGAGATAAAATCAGATGATCCCATGACATCATATTGTGCTGACTGTTGTAGGCCAATGCATGACAGTACATCTCAGATGTGCTAATGCAGAGTTCACAGCCTGATGTCTGCAGCTCTATTGTCCCAGTCCAGTATAAGCATGTCTTTGACTGATTGTGTCAATATGAAGCAGTGCCAACTATACAGTATGATGGTGCTATGCTTGGTTGTTAATTGCTCATATAATTTTTGCCTGGAGCATATCTAATGTCTGTACGCACTACCATCATCCTATTCTCATGCAATGGCCCTTGGTATGTGAAGATAGAATAGGCAGCTCTTGGCTTGTTCATATGGGCAAAAATGTATTGACAGTGGTGTCTGTTTGTGCAATGTCTACTATCACTCATATTGCAGTGTATGCTGTGATTTCTTCCTGATTGGGCTCAGAAGAAGTCATGGTTGCCATGGAAATAATGCAGACTTGCATTGCTTACTAAGCAACAGTGAAGAGGCCATATTACAATGGACTTCTGAGCCAATATATGGGTGTCCTTTTATGGATCTCTAGTCAACAATATGACTTTGGGAGTACTCTCATTTGCTGCAGCTGTTTCCTTTTACATGTGATGATAAAATATCAGCTACTCATGTTGGGTCCTTTCATGTTATATGGAAAGTGGAGATATAACACTTTAGACCCAGGTGTGAACATGTGTGATATTTGAACAGCATTGGAAATATGTGGCAGTGTGCCTACCAGTACACCATTTGGCAGTTGATCCTGGGTGGTATCTGCCATGCCCAAGGAATGTCAACATGAAAAATATAGTGTGTAATCCAAATATAGTACCATACATTGTATGTGCACACAAAATAATGAACAGTCAGCCAGAAAAGGACACTGGTGATTATCTTGGGAGTATGTCTGAAGATATAGAAATCCTTGGACTTATGATCAGAGAGCATGGCCATTGATAGTAGGCATTACTAGAATACCCAGGAAAGGCCCATGTGCAAGTCTTAGTATGCAGTCTGTTGTTAGGGACAAGGCATTAAAAAACTTTTTACACAAGAAATTCCATAGATATGGTCTTTGAATAGGATAGGCAGCAGGAATTGTTATCACTCCTGGGCTTTGTTATCTTTATTCTAGATCCTTTTAATGGACTTCATTTGGGGTTCACAATGCCTTCTGACCAGATTTAAGTGATCTTTTTTTCCCACATTGTTATTCTTTGTGGCACCTATTGGTGTATGTTCTGACTGGACTATTACCAGGTTTCTAGTGCTCTCCTTAGACCCCTTGTGACCAGATGCTTTGAAAGATATTACTGGGGTTCTATTAGCTCAGACTATGTTATCTATTGATATATTATCCCAGCTGGCAGGCAATCTATGAGTGACTAGTGTTCATAAGGCTGTGCTAGTGTTTCAGGACAACCTGCAAGTGGTGTGTCATGAATCACAGAGCACATCCTTGATGATCAGTGAGAATTATTGGCACATCTACCCTTGCCTTACAATGAGCCTGTGAGCTTATTGTGCATCTTGAATGGCCTTGGAAAGTGGTGTACTGAGTCTTCTACTATTTTGTAGGATTCTATGAAGTATTTTATGTAACTAAAAGGCTGTGCATAAATGCACACAAGGAGCATCCCTATGAGCAAGTCCAAACATTTATCTCATCTACCACTTGCTTCTGTACTCTTATGTACCTTCAATTCATCAGTGATCAATCCTGCCCATGACTCTATCAGTCTTGATGGCACTTACTATGGTGATACATTGCTTCACATTGTACATGAGCCCATTACTATTGACTCAGGAGCTGAGCTCCAATCCAGTAACATACCTTAGTATGGCTTTGTACTACTGGTCAGTGTCTGGTAACTGTTCACTTATGGTGAGAGCAAACTGCACATTCTTTGGTTGTATTCCTTGTATAACACATCAATTCTTGACAGGCCTTTTTCAGAATTCCTTACTGGTATACTTCTCCTCTGTATATTGGTTCCATCCTCCACTGTTGATTGGTTTGTACTTGGGGAAGTACTATTAACAATCTACTGAAAGACATCCTTTGGTATCAGAATTTCTCTGATCAAGGGCTAATACTTGTACAACAGCACTGACAGCAAGTCCCAACTGAGTAGTGGTTACTGTAGTCAACCCCCCAGATTCCCCTTCCTTGAGTTCTAGTTGATCTAGAGGCTCTCCTTACTTCTTTGCAACATTCCCAAGCTATTTTCTCTATGTTACTATCAATACAAACCAGTAACACTGTTCATTAGTATTCAGATCATATTGATAAGCAACTTGGCAATTTACCAAGTAAGAAACAGATCCATAATGTCTGTGTTCTCAACGGAGCAACAGAGAGTCTCATATGAATATATAATAACTTACTCAATTGGTATGTTGCTCATGATTTCAAGCTATGATCCTCATATTACAACAACCTATCCAATTAGCAGGCTACTCTGAAGTGCAAAATGTGGAAGATATGTCAGTACTCTATGCATAGACAATATACTAGCAGTCTTTCCAAGCATAACTTCTGATGTGGGCAGCTTGAAGTTGTTCATAAATTGACATGTATCCTACCAAAGGGATCGTACTGCCAGCTATGGCCCTCTCTCCCCAGCAAGTCTCAATTTTACCAGCACTGCAATGAGACCTGCTGATTTATTTGATGTTGCTGCATGTTGCAGTGTGCTTTTGTGGATTTTCTGGACCCACATGAGACATCCCAATTGCAGTCCAAAGGGTGCTAAGTACTCACTGTCATGTTCCTGACTAGGCTTGTTCCAGTTGTTTTGATGAGAATTAAATTCAAATCCCAAAAAGGTCACCAAAGCAGCGGGGCATATTGGGTGCAATTTACCTTGGTTTACTCATGGATTTCATACCTGAAGGAATCATGTGGTCATCTCCATTCCAGGATTGTCCAAACTTGAGCATTCTTGCTGAACAGCAATGATTATCCATTAGTTTAACAATGTGTACAAGATGTACTGAGACAATACTTCCAAATGAAGACTTGCTCAGTGAGAGTGATAGCATTTAGTAATGTGCTATGAGACAAACTACTGATTGTTGGAACTGAAGATACTATCAGAGGTCTCACACTGTGTGAGATACTGCCTCAAATAGTAACTGATTGACTTAGAAAGGTGACTGCAGATCTCACACCAGATGTCTGAGAGGGTACTACTGGGATTGCATGTCTTTGCCTGCAAAAACACAGGACTTTATGTACACTTTGTGAACTGCTTAATAAGCAGCTGAGTAAGATAATGAGTAAGCAAGCTCTTAGATTAACCAATAAAATCCTATCATGTGATCAATATCATCCAACTTGCCAACCAAACCCATGATTCCATCCATTGTGGCCTGATCTCCAGTAAATATGAATGCTCTTGGAATTGCTGACAAAGCACAATAAAAATGAGTAAGTGCTGCTGAATGTCATGGACTGGATCTAGGCACTCAGCTGACTTTGATCTGAGTTCAAATCTTCAGCCACTGGTCTCTAATGTGCATACACACCACCACTGCAAACCACACTCTATCCACACTTGACCACCCTATGCTGCCTTCCCATGACATTCTGTTCAAACATCTTCTTGTTGGGACATGTGGGGTGAGGTCACTGATGGGGAGGGTGCCTTAGTGTGTCATTGCTAAACTTTCTCTCCCTTCCTTCTCTAACCCTTTCTTTTCTCAGCAGCAGGCTCAACAACAATGGCCCACCTCATTGGTTCTCTGCCTGTCTTTGCTGGCACAACATTATATGCCATTTCTTATTTTCCTTGTTCTTCAATGAACATATGTCTTTTAGATGTGTTGAAGAATGGCCTGAATGGCCTGGCTGCTACAAAGTGGTCCAAAGGTACTATGCAGATAGGATGTTTGTCTTGCATACCACCTTTGTTTCTTTTGAATTCAATCTCCCTGATCCAGCCCTTGACCATCTTTTGGCCCATTTTGACATGGTAGAGCAATGTGACCATCTCATTTAGTTTTGTTGTTGTCATCCTGTCGTGACACTCTCACATTCAATAATGGCTGCCACTCTGCTGCTCTTCCATCTTGCTTTCTTCATTTTGGAACAGGAGCCAGAATATTGCCCATTGCATCTGGTGTGGAGCCTGCCAGGCCATTGTTCTGCATTTCTTCCCAGTTGGATAGGTTCCTATTATCATTGATAATCATTCCAAGGTTTCAGTATTGATATGCAAAACTCCAGATTCGATGAGAATGAACTGTGGAATCATTGAATGGTGCAGATGGCAGGTAATCAGGAGCAGGTCCATTGGGAACTTCATGAGGATCTTTCTGCTGCCAGTGTATGCATACACAAGACATCAATTGAGAATTGCAACATGCTCAGTCTGCATTGGAGGGATGATATTCCCTTTGCTGATTGCCATTTGAAAGTCTGAGTACACCTTGGCCAGCATAGTTGAGATGGGGAAGGTTGTCCAATTGTACACCTCCAGAAAAGCCTGCAACATATTGCCAGGTCATAAAACAATATGTTTTATCATTCTGATTTTTTATGTTTAATATTAGGCAGCAGTTGCATATTCATATGATCAACACACACCTCCAACTCAAATCCCACAAGATGCTGCTGCAGTGACAGCTGAGTGTCTGTGCTAAGTGATTGTGCAATAGTCTGAATGATGATCTGATACAGGAGACTCGACTGCCAAATGGTGAGTATAACATGTAGCCTGACTAAAGTGGACATCTGCTCACTTTCCAGCACAAACATTCAGAGGTATGTTGTCAAAGTTCACCACAAAGAGATGTTCCCACACAAAGCTCACAGGAGATGCTGGGGTTCTCTAGCAACATTCTCAGGTGGTTGTGGGGAAGCAAGCCTGGTTGGCTGGTGAGGGTTGTGTGCACAGAGTGGGGTGCACTCAAGCAATCCCATGCATCACTGAGAGCTTGGGTCATCATTCATGTGCAAACCCCTTGCTGACAAGCAGTGGGCTGCATCTGATGTGAAAAGGGATTGTGGACCTGTGAGGACCACAGGTCAATGTTTGGGCTCTCCACACAGGGTTCTAGAACCAAGTTTGCATGTGGCAAGGCAATGGGAAGGCCATGCATGCAAGGCATGAACATACTACAGTCAAGATAGTGCAGCCCACCTCACCAGTGCAGGCCCTGATTGTCACACTCAACAACAATGTCATTGTCCACATCCACAGTGGTCCATTCCATCATGTTCCAGTCTGCAGAGGCTGTGCATGCTATGAATGGCACCTCCATCTGGTCTGTTGGCTCATCCTTGGTAAAGCTAAGAGGGATGATGTTGAGATTGAAGGGCTTGTCACACCAGTGAGTGTGCAGTCCAGCTCCTTGTGGTCTCTGTTCACACCAGGGTGACAGTTAGCCTTGACAATTGACAAAGACATGGACAACCAAAGTATTAAACTCACATTGCAGTGTTAATGATTCTCTTGTGAGGTTCCATTGACCAGTTGTTGTTTTCTGTGTTGTTCCTGCTGCCCACAGAAAACCACAGAGCCAGTCAGCACAACACAGGTGTCGGTTGATGTGTGCATACAAGTAGTAGAAGCCAGCATTCATGTTCTTCTGAAGGGCCAGGGGAATGTCCATTTCACCCTCCTCCTCCAAATTATTACTACAAGGCATGTTGTCAACAATGGACCAGGACACACTTTGTTGGATCAAGTGCTGGCATAATTAACTTAGGAAACTCAGAGAGAGGGCAGCCAACACACAAGTGTTTGCAATCAGGCTGAGGAATGGGGGATGGAGAGACAAGCAGTGATGCATGGACATGAGGGCTCCAGTGTGAGTGAAGACAAAGTGCATACAATTTTGTCTGCACATTGTAACACCTGTCAGTGGTCACCAAGGGGAGTTCAGGTGTCTGAAGATGACAATGATGCATGTCCAGTGCTCAGTTACAAGCAGGGCACCCATGGGGGCCTGAGATGAGAATGTGCTTATCCTGGGAGAGGTTCTGCAGTTGCTTCTGATGTGGATGTTACATAATATCACATGATACCTAGCCCCAAAGCATTCTCAACTAATATTGGTGTCTGCAAGATGGCATGTGAAGAGCATGCCAACCATAACCTTCAAGTAGTGTGATAACTCCGCAATTGGCACATAAATGTGTTCAATGGTGGGGACATATTGGACATATTGCATGGGTGGATTGTATGATAGCAAAGTCATGGTCACATAGATTGTGCTACTTGCTGTCACACATCCATATCATTTTGCATGTGTTAATGGCCAATGGAAAGACCAAATGATATTGAATGTGAGAGTGTCACAACAGGATGACAACAACAAAGCTAAATGAGATGGTCACATTGCTCTACCATGTCAAAATGGGCCAAAAGATTGTCAAGGGCTGGATCAGGGAGATTGAATTCAAAAGAAACAAAGGTGGTATGCAAGACAAACATCCTATCTGCATAGTACCTTTGGACCACTTTGTAGCAGCCAGGCCATTCAGGCCATTCTTCAACACATCTAAAAGACATATGTTCATTGAAGAACAAGGAAAATAAGAAATGGCATATAATGTTGTGCCAGCAAAGACAGGCAGAGAACCAATGAGGTGGGCCATTGTTGTTGAGCCTGCTGCTGAGAAAAGAAAGGGTTAGAGAAGGAAGGGAGAGAAAGTTTAGCAATGACACACTAAGGCACCCTCCCCATCAGTGACCTCACCCCACATGTCCCAACAAGAAGATGTTTGAACAGAATGTCATGGGAAGGCAGCATAGGGTGGTCAAGTGTGGATAGAGTGTGGTTTGCAGTGGTGGTGTGTATGCACATTAGAGACCAGTGGCTGAAGATTTGAACTCAGATCAAAGTCAGCTGAGTGCCTAGATCCAGTCCATGACATTCAGCAGCACTTACTCATTTTTATTGTGCTTTGTCAGCAATTCCAAGAGCATTCATATTTACTGGAGATCAGGCCACAATGGATGGAATCATGGGTTTGGTTGGCAAGTTGGATGATATTGATCACATGATAGGATTTTATTGGTTAATCTAAGAGCTTGCTTACTCATTATCTTACTCAGCTGCTTATTAAGCAGTTCACAAAGTGTACATAAAGTCCTGTGTTTTTGCAGGCAAAGACATGCAATCCCAGTAGTACCCTCTCAGACATCTGGTGTGAGATCTGCAGTCACCTTTCTAAGTCAATCAGTTACTATTTGAGGCAGTATCTCACACAGTGTGAGACCTCTGATAGTATCTTCAGTTCCAACAATCAGTAGTTTGTCTCATAGCACATTACTAAATGCTATCACTCTCACTGAGCAAGTCTTCATTTGGAAGTATTGTCTCAGTATATCTTGAACCATCCCAGAAAACATATAAAAATACTCCCAACTCCCATACACACTCCTAAACACCTATAGTGAACCTTTGGTTTCCCACAAAAAAACTGTATAAGCTTGTGTACACCTAAACACCCAGTGAACACAGAGAAACAACTTTCCTATTGACATCACTCTCTTTGCCATTGGGCTCAAGCTCTTCCAAACAGACCCAGTCACAGATGTCATCACTATGTACCGAATGAAATAATGTGGGCATGTAATAGATATTAAGCCTGAGTCAAATACAAAGGGTTCATGCTGGTGTGCAGGTTCTGAGTGGCTTGGAGTCAGAGCAGCCAATGTAGGCTGCATGATCTCAGTGAAGGTTTGTCTCATGCCTTCATAAGCCTTCATTGGTATTTTAAGTAGCTCATGTGACACTATCATTCTTGTGATGGATGGACCTGAAACACTTCCAGTGGCACCCAATGCAACAGTTCCTTCCCACAGGTACAGTCATTTGCCCTCAGCTTGTCATGTATAGTCAACATTTGTTATGGTCAGTAAGCAGAGTTCAACAATTTCAGACTCTCAGATGGTGTGACTTGCATCAACATCACCAAACAGATGCTGTGGTGTGCTTTGTCCTGGGGTGAGGGCCCAAGAAAGGCTTCGAGTGGCACCCCATATGGCAACTGGTGAGCATATCACATGACTGGCAACCAAGCAGCACACTGCTGCTAGTGCTCACATTTAAATCTGCCCCATAGTCCATAGTAACAAATTGTAGTGCACATAGTATACCTATCTGATAGCCCTTCATTCAGAGAGTATACACTATCATTATTGAGTAGCTAGAGTGGCTGGCTGGTCCAGAAAATGCGAAATAAAAAAATCCACATGTGCCTCTGCAGATGTCACAGTGCCTATTTGTGCCTCAGATCTGTTCCATATGCATGTGACCATGTATATATGTGGCTCTGACACTGTACAGCTCCGCTGATACTGTAATACAGCCAAAAGCAGCAACACTGAGCCATTTGGGCCTCTTTTAATAGATTGGTGTCCATCTACACAATGTATTGATGTCCATGAGAATCCTAAGCACTCATATACTTCTCCCTGGTGCTTCCATATATTTGAGAGATTTTCTGTATTTTTGTGGGCTCCATACACCCCATTTCTTGCCCTAATTCCTCTTTGGGTAGGAGACCTACTCTATATGGCAGTTCCACTATGACAGGCTTTATCTTGCACATAGACACAATCTGGGGATACATAATGGCCATCCATACATATGTATTCATGCTACTATGATGTCAAGCTTTCTGTGCTGCATGTGCTGCAGAGACACTGCCTGAAGCTTGGTAATAGGCTTGCATGAGTTCCTGAATGTGAATTTCACCTTGATATTGAGTATACTGCCCTAGCTGATGCAACAATTGTATCACAGAAGACTATAAGCATGTTGCCTGGTTCATTCTGAATATTGTATGAATATTCCGCTTTTTTCTGAGTCTATACAACCCCAGTTAAGGACAGTAACAGTCTGCACTTAGATCACTTACTAAGCACCCATTAAGTGCCTGTTGCCAAAGCAGACTTGTAGATGAATGCAGCCCTGCATTTGTGTGCAACTCAGCTCACCCAAAAGGGATTTTGGAGCACTGTCACTGGTTGAACCAGTGACAAACCTTGCCTTTTAAGGGAATCATTCAATCTCAGCTCCCCATGCTGAGTTCTTTGATGGCTTGCCTAATGTGGTCAGCAGCACTCTCTGGACTCTTACTAGAGCTGGAAAAATCTCACAATATTGATTCTCATGCAATGCACCATGCACACAGGTATGGAGGTCCAAATTAGGTATTTCAGTGCTTGTTCACAGTGTACTGACCATGGCAAGTGATGGAAAGGCATATGTACAAGTGTTGTTTCACATTTACTGCCCTTACTGCAAAGCCCTACAAGCTGAAAATAACATGCAGGGATCTATGGCATCTGGGAGTCTGTAAATTGAAACTCAGCTAATGATAGCATAGTACCTGTTCCTTATCTCTGCTTATCTGGCACTCAAACAGTCACATGTGCTGAGGGAAAAACCTGCCACATTGGGCTCCACACTAAGTGTTACATTCCCTCCAGTCATAAGAATGATTCCTTCATACCTCAGGAGTCATAATGTATGCAGCATGTGGTGCAAGTGGCTTGCCTCTTGTTTGCACTTTGTGCAAACTCCAATGATTGGTAATGCCATGTAAGTTTGCATTTGGGTAGGTATTGTAGTACAAGCACCCATTAAAATTGCTTGAGTATCAAGACACTGGCCTGCAATGTTGTAAAACAGCATACTGCCACCAAAATAGACCTGGGGTGCATGCCATAGTGCAAGCTATATCATGGGTACATATTCCAAGTTCATTTGCAGCTCTTTTTCCATGCCTAGGTGAGCATCTGTGCTGAGCATGCCCCTTGTGCACAGCATTGCATAACCTCAAGCTTTTGACAAACTAACTGTGGTGTTGGGACACAGTGTGATCCCCCACCTGCCACACATGATACCGGTGGTCACATTTGTTTCCCACCCACTCTTCTCTCTTTCCTCAGTTGGGTATCCTACACAACTGAAGTAAGATGTTCATTGTACTCATACCTACTCTGATCCTGATAGACTCAGTAGCTTGTCTGACACAGGGTTCCAGTTCCTACATGTGAGGCACAAATCTCCTTGTCAAGTACATCAAGAATATCTATACAAGTATGGGCATCCATGGCCACATTCATGACTTATGCAGGACAGAACATTGTGAATTGTAGTTGTGCAAAACATGTGTAAAACATGTCATCACCAACTAATTTGCAAAATAGCAAGAATGTCATCAAAGAGAAAATATGAAATGTACATTCAAGATGCCTCATAATAATGGTTTATCAACTGATGCAGTTGCTCAAGGGGTTTTGAAGCACTCCCATTCACCAGCATGCTGACAAATTTCCCTTTTCAAGTGATCTCAGCTCTTTTGCTTAGGTTTTTGATCACTTGCCCAATTTGGCAAACACTGTCTGACTCTTTTGCAATATGGAAGATTGGGCATCAGATTTACTCAACAAAACAGATGTTAAGTGCACACACACATTGAGGCAGAATACAGCTGTTGAGTCCTTAGCAAATTCATGACTATTATAAAGATCAATAGTTCATGTACATTGACATCAACTAAGTGATTGGTGTAAGTCACATCAGATGCAACTGCTACAATCTACACCTATAATGTCATATAATAGACAGCTTGGGCAATGAAGCTACTAACACAGAACAGTGAAGGTCGAAAGCTATAGATAGGATAAGGGACAAGTCATGGCACTTAATGATGTAGTGCAAGAACACCATGGCCCTGTGTGTGCTTCCCAGCTTCTTGTCTCTGCCACAACATCTCCGCCCACAGTGGATTCTGCGGCACCCGCCCCACAAGAGCTCGCAGTGTCTCAACCCTGCATTACTGCGTGTGAGATGCTTTGTACCCTTGATAGTAGAACACATACCATCTGCTCTTCTCCTCCTCCGTGTCAGCGAAGAAGGTGATCTCTTGGTCGTGGAGGAAAACAAGCCGGAAAGACCGCTCAACACCATATGGAATGTCAAGTTCGTCTACATGTCGACTGCGGTTGCTCACTCCCGACTGGGGACTGAGAGCGTTCTTCGCCACGTCGTCATCCTCCACCGACACAGCTTTGCGCAGGTCAATAGTTGCCGTTACCTTCTTCGTGACATCGTTGTACGCAACCAGGTTCGCGCCGACCAGTCTCAAATGCCGTCGACGCCAAGACTAGAATCAGTCCGTCAGCACCTGTCCAACGAGACTGCTCGAGAACTCACCATACAATCGCCTCCAGACTGCGTCAACGTGCCCTCGAAATACGTCTGCTTGTGCCAGTTGCAATGGCGTAAGCCCTTGTGGCACTCATCTAGGCTTTGCGGCAGCTGCTCAGATGGAATGCCAGGCAGAGGCGGTAGCCGGAAAATCTGCAGCATAATCTCGCCCACCTGGAAAGTCCGGGTGGATGTCCGTGATTCGAGGCGCTGCCCGATCAGAGGATATGCGACCTCAAAACGTGTTGCATCGCATCGATGGGCGATGTCACGGAAGGAAATGAAGGCACGAGCTAGTGTGCCGTCAGGTTTGAGGTAGCGGGCCAAGTTATTAACGAGCTTGAACTCCGGTACAGGCACAGCGGGGGCAGACATTGGCCTGGCAGGCTTCTTCGGCGACGAAGAGCGGAAGAAATTCAGCATTCCGCCTTTGGAGGGGGGCGGAACAGGGCGAGCAGCGACGGATGGAGCGGGAGGAGGTGGCGGAGTGTTTGCTTTGAACTGCGCCACCACATGCGGGTCACGTCGAACTTTGATCGTAAGCGTGAACTCGAGCTTGCTGTGCTCGATTCTGATTATCGCCGCCCGCGAAACCATCAGCATGATAACTTTCTGACAAGTGGATTACGCACAGCTCAAATTCTTGCTCGATACGACAATCCTTGCCCAAGCGACACTCCGGAGTGGTGACGAAGTGGATGCCGTTGTTCAGCGTACACGTTATGATGGTTGGCTCCCGCGGAAGAGGCACCTGAACCCCCTTTAGACCGGTCACTAAGGACAGGCGAGCAGATGGGTCAGATAATTGCAATCGACACACAGCGACGGCTCGTTACCTCTGACGAACACCTTGCCGTGTGCCTTTCCTGACTTGTCCTGCGCACGTAGCTCCTTGAGTTGCCTCGCGTATTCGTTCTGCGACAATTCATGTCAAAACAAAGCTACGTCAAAAGCAAGCAAAGCATCCCACCATGTCGGAGGGCCGCTTCACGATCCTCCAAGCCTTTCCCCCGTTGACGTCACCTGCGTTGCCTACATGAGAGATCTGCTCCGCATCGGAACTTGCGTAGATGGTCTCCTGATGTTGACGAATGTGATACTTCTGAAAAGCAGTCAGTGTACCGTTGCGGAAATTCAACGATGCACGGCGTACGCTCTTGGTCGGATCCTCGAGCTTGCGCAACTCCCGGTTGATACTGTCCGCAAGCGGATCGTCCTCCTGCGCCATGTTCAGATCGTCGAGGAGGCCTTCGCACCTCAGCGCAGCCGCTCGGCGCTGAGCCGCTGGTGTCCGCGTGAGCAAATCCTCTGCATCGCCCGTACTCATACTCCTGCGCCTGCTCGGGCGACCTGCACGCCTCGCCTGTACGGCACTGGGAGTCGAGTGTCCCAGCGATGCGAGTTCGTCCTTGCGCTTTGCCTCGCGCTTCTTCGCCTTGATCAGATCCTCCCGCGCACGAATAGCCTCCTTGGGGGCGGAGGCGGCGGCGCGCTGTTCACGGTCGTTCGCGTCTATGAATAGGCAGTCAGCGCCACGAGAATAACGGCAAGTAGCATTTACGCACGGGAGAGGCCATCGCAGCATCGTCAGCTTGCCCGTCTTCAGTTTCCTGAGGGAAGGTGAGCTGGGTTCGCCGGGCTCTCACACCGCCCTCAACCTGCATCGCCTGGAGCTCCGCACCCGTGTCACCGGGTAACCCCTGCGCGACGTTCTCCATGAGCCTGTCCAGCGCGCTCACGTCACCCAAGTGCACGTTGCCCCTGCTGGATGCCGAGCCTGCTCTGCCAAACATGTCGTCCTGGCCGAGCCCGAACGTGCTGTGGTCGAAGTCCATCTGGATGCCCTGAAACACAGACCGGTCCTCGACATCGCTCTGCGCACGGATGAGGACGTTCGGGCGCGGCGGGTCGATCGGCTGCGGGTTGGGATCGAGGGACATGACGCCGTCGTAGGTGTAGTTCTTCTCCCTGCTCAGTGGAGGCGGCTCCCGAACGCTGTGGTCGCTGACCGTGCTGGCGTTGCTGCGACGATCTTCGTCCATACTCATGTCGTCCTCGGGGACGATGCCATTCGTTGCCTCCTCTCTCTGCGGTACAACGTCCTCAACCTCTCCGGGAGTCTGCTCACGCAGCGGGTGGCCAGACGTCGTTTCAAGATCCATGCTCCAGCTGCGCGAGGCCGGCCTGCTGGTGTTCGAGCCGTTCGCGGAGGATGCCCTGGGAGATGCCCTGGGCGAAGACATGATCTTCTCGGGAGTGAGCGAGTCTCCCGGTCGAATGGCTTTCGGCATATGTATCTCGCGACGCGGCGAACTCGACCGCATCAAGGTAATCGGCGATGTAAAGTTGAAGTCCTGGGCCGTTGACGCGTGCGAGTCACTGCGCTCCAGCGGGGTCGACGTACGCGAGGAGACAACGCCATCGTCCTGCTTCATGGCAAAGAACGGCGGTTGTGGTGGGAGAAGTTCTTCGTCGTCTGTGGCATCTTCCTCGCGCGATGTCTGTTCACGGTCGAGGCCTTCCAAAGAAACCTCGGAATGTCCGATGGACAAGTTCGCAGGGTCCATGCAGTCGTCCGAGCCGCCAGACGCAAACGAGATCTCAGGCGGCACTGATTCCTCCTTGATGTGTGGCACGGAAAACGGATCCTCTACGAAGGCTTTTCACGCGTCAAAGCGAGCACGCAGTCAACAAAATTGGTACGCCACCTACAAGTTGTGCCACCGAGCTTCACTTGCTCGAGCGAGAATCTCGGTACCAAGACATGCTCGCCCGGGACGCCGAACGCCTTGCTCGGTCGTTTAGCAGGAGAGGGAGAAGGTGGAAGCATGCGTACATCCTCATCAAGCTCGCTCGCACTGGGACGTTCCGGTGTGCCACTAAAGCTGCGGGAAGGCGATCCAACATCGATAATGGGAGACGTAGATCGGGAGCGGGGAGGGGTCGATGTTGACATGCCGAGGGGCTCCGGCCCAGGATAAGCGTCGTGGATGGGATCTGACTGGTGGGCGGCGTTCAGCCTTTCGGAATGATGTGTGCGCCCGAAGGGAATGCCGTCTTCGGTGTCGGTGTCGGGAGGGAGGGAGCTTTCGCGGCGAGGCGGGGTGTGCGGGTCATCCGTATCTTGCAGGAGAGTCTCAACGAGCCCTGTGATACTGTCATTAGCGGCGTGCGAGCTGTCAAAGCTTTCGTTGGTGGGAGACGGTGCGTCCGGAAGGAGATGAGGTTCTATCGGCTGCAGTACGCCCTCCTCGTCGTCGCCAGACTCCTCATCGGTCGATATGACGTCCTCGCCTATCTCGTGTTCTTCGACGTGAAACTCGAGAACGTCGCAGTGCTCGTCGAACGTCACAGTTTTGCGGCGTTGACGGCGACTGAACGAACCGTTCCCGACGGTGCGCGGACCATGGAGGCGCTTGGAGACGAGCGAGGACCGACCGGGCGAGGCAGATGCAACAGGGATGCGAGTGAGCTTGGGAGGCAGCGGAGGTGGGAGCGCGTCGTCGGAGTCGATCTCGGGGGGGACTACCCTGAAGGGGCTCTTGGTGACGGGCTCCTTCTCGAGCAAGCCCTGGAAAGCCCGGGACTGGCGTCTCTTGAAGCCGAGAGGGTGCTCGTTCTCGGTGGCAACCATGGAGTGGGGGCGCGGACGTTTCTCGCCACTCACTTTACGCGGCGAGGGAGAGAGCCCGGCAGATTGTCGAGCAGGTGTGGGTCTAGAGGGGGTCAATTTGGCTGGCGTGGGGAGCTGGGACCTGAAGGGAGACTTGGAGACAAGATTGTTGGTGCGCAGATGCTTGTAGCTGGATGACTGGCGGCGGGACAGGTGGGCACCCTGCGGCGAGTCGCGCTTGGCGATACGGAGCGGGGTGGTCGGACGACCGAGCCATGGGCTGCCAGGCGGGGGCGGGTCAGGCGAGTTGGACTGGAGACGGTCGCGGAGCGGGAGGCCAGAGCTCATCGTGCGGAACGGCGGCGAGAGAGGCGGGGACGGTGGTGGCCTGGTGAACGCGGCGGATCGCAACAAGTCCCAACAACACGGTTCGACTCTCCGTGGGAATCCTCCCCTTCAACCCGCGCGCTGCGCCACGTGATCGCGTATGCTGGCCCATGACGTCGTGCTCGCGGCCCGCAGCTGCCAGCGACGAACGACGCCCTCCGAGTCCCACTCGACCGCGACGACGCACCCAACCGCGACGACGCCCTTCCACACGGCCGCAGACCACCCCATGCCTCTGCGCAAACGAGCCAAGGCGCACGCCGAGGACGAGTCCGGGACGCCGAGCGACGAACACACCGGCCATGATAAAGAAGAAGTCCGGCATCTCAAGCAAGAGCTTGCACACAAAGTAGACGACCTCAAGAAGAAAGAGGTATGTTCATAAATTGGCAGCCTTTGCGGTCATTTGCACCGTCTGCCGGTTGTCTCACAGTCGTCGTAGAAAGCCCGGCATTGGTTTACAACCCGTCGTTTTCTCTTTCCATTAGGCGTCATACGTGAGTACCATATCATCAGTAGTTTGCGTGTCATTTCATGACGGCATGCCTCGCAGTGGGAGTCATGCTGGGCTTCGTCCTCATCCAGCCCTCCGACTTCACCGATCTGCAAACACATCTAGCCCTGCTCCTCGACCAATACGACTTCACTCTCCCTCAGATGCCCCAGATCGAACTGCAGATAGACCTCACCCGGTTCGAGACGGAGTGGCGTAGACTTTGGAGCAGCATCCCGGAGCCCTGGAAACTCAACACCAACGGTCTTGAGTTCTCCGTCGGAGAGAAGGTCGCGGCAGAAGGCCTCACCGCCAAATACCCCGTTGTCCTAGTACCCGGTATCATCTCCACTGTGAGTGTTGACGTCGCATATTGAGCGTGTGCGGCCTACCTGTCTCACCACAGGGACTCGAGTCCTGGTCAACAACGCCAGAGTACAGGCCGTTCTTTCGCCAGAAGGTCTGGGGCGGCTTCTCAATGCTTCAGCAAGTCATGTTCAACAAGGAAAAGTGGATGGCGGCGCTCATGCTCGACCCGGTGACCGGCCTCGATCCCCCCGGCGCAAAGGTGAGGTCTGCAGAGGGCATCGACGCCGCAAGCAGCTTTGTCCAGGGCTACTGGCTTTGGTACGTGTCATGTAGATGCAGCTCGTACCCAACAAACTTACGCGTCCCCGTACGTTGACAAGGTCGAAGATCGTGGAAAATCTAGCCGTTGTGAACTACGACACTAACAATCTACACCTCGCACCTTATGACTGGCGCTTATCATATTACAACCTCGAGGAGCGCGATGGGTACTTCACAAAGCTTAAGATGACCATAGAGGGCTTTCGGTAGTTACTGGTGGCTTCCGTAGGTGACCGTGTGCTTAAAGCGGTGTTGTCAGGAAACGTGAAGGAAGACGCGTCGTTCTCGCCGCGCATTCCATGGGTAGCACTGTGCGATCCGATTTACCTATTGCTTCGTTGCACGACTGATATCCTTTCGCATCAGGTAATGCTGGTATGCAAGATGAGCTCTACCAGCCTGTCGCAGGCAATATTACTGATAGTCACTCTAGTACTTGTATGTCATCTGGGACGCAGCCTTCCGAGCTGTACACTGACGTTGTCATTTCAATATTGCTCGCTGCGAACCCACCCCCATGTTATGAACTTGACATAGCTTCAAGTGGGTAGAATCGCCTGAACATGGGAACGGTGGTCCAACGTGGGTCGAGGTGCGTATCCGTCTTGTTGTGTCAGTGATTTGATACGACCTGGAATTTGAAGGACAATGTCGAAGCACTGATCACCATCGCTGGTACTCACTTGGTAAGTCTTTCCTTCGCTGACAGTAGACGAGTGCTCATCGGGCGCAACAGGGAGTGGTACGTTTGCACACATACTTTCTGCAGTATTGTTCATAGCCGGTCTCTAGGTCAAATCTATGTCGGCCTTCCTCTCAGGGGAGATGAAAGATACTGTTCAAGTTCACCCCGCTGGAGCATATGGTGCTACTCTCCGCTACTTCACACCGATGCATACTAACGGCACGATGACAAGTTCTGGAACGTTTCTTCTCGCGTCGGGAACGTCAAACGCTCTTCCGAAGCTGGGCAGGCAGCGCCAGCATGTGGATGAAGGTAACATCGCCCTCCTCTCACACTTGGCCGTCTTCTCACCAGACTAGGGCGGTGACGCTGTCTGGGGCAATGCGACTTCCGCGCCGGACGACATGTCTGACGATGCGCGGAGCCACGGCGAGCTCATCCTCTTCCGTGAGTCCGTCCTCAGCACCGAAGGCGCAAAATCTGGGCTGCGGAACATGACTGCCTCGGAAGCCAGCACGTGGATTTTGGAACGGACGCCGACTCAGTTCCAGGTGCGTCCCATGATCGTATGTCTTGGTATGAGTGGTTTGAAACGTCTGCCCATGCAGAAAATGATAGACTCGAACTACTCGTTCGGGATTGAGCGGGACGAAGAGCAGCTGAAGCGGAATAATAAGGATCATCGAAAGTGGAGCAATCCTTTGGAAATACAGTACGTCCCAGCCCGGTTATGTTCCGTCCCGTGACTGACATCGATAGGCTGCCTAATGCGCCTACGACGAAGTTTTACTGCGTCTACGGACATGGCAAAGAAACGGAGGTGTGCCGGCATTCGTACCACGCGTGTAACTGATGTCGCTCAACATCATTCCTTGCTCTAGCGATCGTACTGGTCCGTCCCCGCCACGAATACATACTGCGCTCTGATTGACATGCCTCCGTTCACTCCTCCAGGTACACCCGCGAAGGCTACGAGCACGATGAGGTCCAAGCAGATAGCGTCAATGCCCAATGTGCCAACGTCACCGACTGCATTACCCCTCGAGCTCCTCTAGATCTGCCGCTCTTGCGCAAGAGCCAAATCGACGCCGAATACACTGCCGAAGGGGAGTCTCCACAAGTCATCAATGGTGTGCGGATGGGCGAAGGCGACGGGACCGTCAACCTCCTGAGCTTGGGTGCGATGTGCGTGGAGGGCTGGAAGCGGAAGCGGTGGAACCCTGCTGGCATCGAGGTAGTGACAGTCGAGGTGCGCCCTTGAGCAACTCTTTCGGACTCACTCGTTCACTGCTCAACCAGCTCCCCCACGAACCGTCACTCACGATTCCTCGAGGTGGCGGGACATCGGCGGACCACGTCGACGTCCTCGGGGCGACCGCTCTTAATGAGATCATTCTTCGAGTGGCGACGGGCGGCGGCGACCAGATACACGACTCATTCGTCTCGCGGATTCGCGACTACGCGAAGCGCATACGGTGGGATTGAATATATATGCCGTCTGCGGCCCGAAGAGAACGCTGCACTAGAGTTATACTACCATGACACCGTATCTATGATAGGATGTATGAAGTAACGGCGCCATAAGAGCTCCCAATGGACAGACCCTAAAGGCTTTCGACCTTGCGCTAGCCACCATCACATTCTGAATCGTAGAATACAACGCACTGGCATGTATGTCATACTTGCTACACGTAGTTTATCCTCGATACCCGACCAAAACCGACCGATTCGCGAGTACGGACCGTCCAACATACGATCATCAAAGCACCCAACCCAAGTCCCAAAGCCCGAATTCGACCCTACTACCATCAGTCCTCAGACCGTCCCCGCCCGCCTCAAGCCCAGCTTACCCCTCTCCAGCTTCACCACAAACCCATCCACTGCCTCCTCCTCCAAACTATTCAGTGCGTCCCCGTGCTCCGAATGGATTACCCGCCGCGCGTTCACCTTCTCCAGCACCATCTGCACCTCCGCGTCCTCCATCCCCGGCGCCGCCCCCGCCCCCGCCACGCCCCTCGTCTCCGCCCTCTCCTGGGCGCGAGGATCCGCAGACGACCCGGAGCCACGGCGGAAACGGAAGCGCAGCAGCTTCTCCAGCTTCGCCGGGTCTACGATCGGCGCGCGGACGTCCAGGAGGGGCTGGCCCTGAGCGGCGCTGCCCCCACAGTCGACGTGGGTCCCCAGCTCGGCGTCGGGGTGCACGGCGAGGTTCGCGAGCGTGCGGCGGACGCGCTCGTGCTGCTCGGGCGTCGTCGGGTCGAAGAGGTGGACGCAGAAGTCGAGCGCGCGCTGGAGCTCGTCCTCGGAGAGGCGCGTGCCCATCTCGGCGCCGCCTTGGATGACTGCGGGCGCGGGTCAACGAATGCGCGGGGAAGCAGAGCGGGCTACGCACCGGGCCGCAGGCACGCGAACGCCCTGTCGAAGTTGTCCTCGGAGATGTCGCCCAGGACGTTGGTGGACTGCGAGCGGATCTGCTTGTATGCGCTCAGGACGACCACGAGGAACCTGCCCGTACATATACAGTCAGCTGACGCTATCAAGGGTGAGGACGTACGGACCTGGTGTACGAGACTGCCACGCGGCTGCTATGCCACCGCGCCGCCTCCGCCTCCGTGCAGTCCCCGCGCACGCTCGCACAGATCGACGCAGCCGCGCTCAGCCCGCCCGTCATCGCCAGGTGCACGCCCGACGAGAAGAACGGGTCTATGAACGCTACCCGCACCCACCCATACCCACACATCAGCCACCAGCCCACGCCGACGTCCGCATTGAAACGAACGCACCTCCCGCATCCCCCACGAGCCTCCACCCCTCGCCCGCATACGCGTCTGCGTGGTAGCTATAGTCACTCGCGCTCCTCACCGCCTTCGCCTCCTCCCCACCGGACCAGGCCCGCTCATGCTCGCTGCCCACGCCCATGCCCATGCCGGGGCCCGCGACGTCCACGAGCGCGCCTTCGCCGATCAGCTCGCGCACGCCCGGCGCGAGCTGGAGGAAACCGAGGTAGCGCTCCGCGAGCGTCGACGCCGTGCGCGTGGACAGGGTCGACAACGAGCGCGGGCGCGCGCTCGCACCCCCTGGGGCGGCGGCGGGGCTGGTGAAGGATGGCGCGGGAGAGCAGGAGGGCGAGGCGGAGGAGGACGCGCGCGAGCGCAGGCCGAGCTCTTTCCGGGCCATGACGACGCCGACGGAGGTGAGCCCGTTGTGCAGGGGGATGAACCACGCCCAGCCAGACTCGTCTGCGCGTTGCTCAGTGTAAGCGCAAAATAAAGGGAAGGATAGACTCACCGCTGAGTGCCTCGAAGTAGGGCGCGTTCTCTCTCGCCGTCCCCTTGCCGTACATGCCCGTGCCGCGCCAGTAGCCCCACACGGCGACGTTCTTGAGGCTCTCGTTGACCCGCCGATTCTTGAGGTACCTGGCGCGCCATCAGCCTGCATGACCCAGCGTCGCACCCGCACAGACGCACTTCGTGCTCATCACGCCCGCGCGCCCGCTCGCGTCGACCAGGTACTCAAACGCGATCTCGCCCCTGCCGCCGTTGGCCGTCTCGTAGATCGCCTTGATCGGCCGACCAAAGCCCACGTCTTGTTCGCTTTTCTTCGACGTCGTCCCACTGCTCGCAGCGTCAGCGGGAAGCGGGCTCTCCTCGGCGACGGCCCTCAAGCTCGAGCTGCCGGCGGACACCTTGCGGTTGAGTGACGGCCGATGCGCGCTCTGCCGGGCGGGCGTAGCGGGCGTTGCTGTTTTCGCAGGCTGTGCGTCGAACAGGAGCTCGGTGACGCGGGTCTGCTCAAAGACGCGTGCGCCGGAGGCGGCGGCATGCTGGAGCAGGAGATGGTCGAACTCTGCGCGGACGACGTTCCAGGCGGCGTTGTCGGATCCGAGCGCGACGAAGTCCGTGTCTACGAATCGCAGGGAGAGGAGGCATTAGTTGAGACAGACGAGGCGGGAGGCGTGTGGCGTGAGTAGTACGACGAGAGCGATGGACAGCGAGCACTCACAACCCTCGCGCATATACTGATTGAATTTGATGGCGGAGCCAGGCTGCGGACGGTGAATGAATATCGGGAGCGCCGAGGAATGTGAGAACAAGCGAAACGGCGACAACGCGAGCGCGAGTGTCCCGACGGGCGTGGACGATGCCCGAAGGGCAATCGCGTGAGGTAGGTACGCCGAAAACTACCCCATATATACAGTCCCCTATCAATTCCTGGCGACGTACTATCGCGGTCGAGCTTGCGAGCTCGTCCCTGACCGTATGCTCCAACAAGGAAGGCAGGTGATGGGCACACCTTGGTAGCAAAGCCATGGGTGGCGATGAGCTCCTCTGCGCCGATGAAGCGTAGGTAGTGTCGAACGGAGGGAATAAGAGACTCTCCGATGTGGTATCTGAGAGGATTGTCGTGAGGTGCGCTTGGGAAGAAGGGAGAGAACGGACCGGGGAAAGATAGACATTTCAAGGAGGACGACGTCGATGCCTTCTCGGGCGAGAGCGGCGGCAGCATAGCTGCCTGCGGGACCGCCGCCGATAACGAGCACTTGGGTTTTCTGGGAATGGCATTGAGTGGGTGAGGTGTAAGAGAGAGGGGATGACGGACCTTGGGGACGTGAGCAGACGGCATGGTGGGAGAGCAGAGCAAGAGACGATGTGGTGGGAGCAGGCGAGTGCCGGTGGGCAGTCCGCTCAGATTTATGACGGTGAGGCGAAGGCTGGGAGCCGGCAGGAAGACACTGGGCTTCCCATCGGAATGAGGGTGGAGGAAACGGCAGCCTGGAAAGACGATGACCGTCCACTAGCTTGCCGCCTGTCCAGCCGCCTTCTGTCCACACCCCGCGCCATCCACGCCGCCCGCCACGCACCCTTCGCGGGCGACGAGGACCGTGTCGAGGGCGGCGCCCGAGGCCCGGGTGCGGTGGCGAGCGGGCTGCTGCAGTCGTCGTGCTCGATGGCTTGGGCAGGGCGCCACGACAGAAGCTGTCACCGACACCGACAGCCTGTCCGCGCCGCCGTCCCCGCTCACGGCGTGTCATCCCACGTGACCGCGTCTGTCTCTCGGTCCCGACCTGCACCGCTTGCTTTGAACCGCCTGGATGACGGGTCTGACGGGGACCTCACGCTATCGGGTCGTGTTCGTGGCACGGAGGGTCAGCCTCAAGGCTGGTCGCGGAATCTGACTTAGCCACGGCGTTGTCGGGTGTCTGCGGGTACCTGCAGTGCATATCAGTATGTCAAGAACAGCGAACGAACATGTGTAGTTCACACACATCGACGGGAATCAAGGCAAACAGCCTGCAAGGCCCGGGGTTTCAGTCACCAGTACGATCGCCGTAAGTTGGCAACTCACATTCCCACAATACGCTGGTTGACATTCACGGTTGCGATTTTGCAGCTGTAGAAGTGTGGCACTTGACTGGAGATCCCCTCAAGGGATATGTCGCTGCTCAAGCCTCTAGACACCAGCGCGATATGTCTCACCTCAATCTACCACAGGCTGGACACTGCCGTGGTTGGAAACATGCAGAGGCAGGCCTCAAGGTTAACTGTGGGCCATGATGTACCCAGCTCGGTCGTGCATGACATCGAGTTTGTATACCTGGACGGCGAATTGAGATCAGCGGCCAGGGCTTGGGCTCGAAGTGCCAATGACCGTCACGGATGGACGTAATGATGATAGCAGACATATGTACATATTGTTTTCCCCGTTCATATGGGCGCAATCCAACTCAGGCCTCACCTTGCGCGTTTTACCTCAGGACTACCAGTAAGCTAGACAATGCTAGACAGTGCTAGTAAGTTACTGGAGAACAGTACCAATTAATCTCCGTTGCAGACATACATACGTAGATACTTTAAGCTTAGCATCGTGCCGCCAAAAGTGGGTCATTTTATTTGGCGGCGCCGGTCACGGGGCGGACGCGCCATCAGCAGGCGTCAACAGAGACGCGTCGGGCGCGTGTGAGTGCGCCGGGCGGTTCGAAAGCGACGCCGCGCCTTGGCCTCCCCCATCTCCCACCCGATGGCCAGCTCCCGCCGAACGCGCTCCCAGCTCGCCCTTCCTGCCTTTGACCTCAACCAGCTCGCGCGATCGCCCCTCAAGGATGCTCGCCAGGCTCTCCGCACCAACCAGTCTCCCCAGTCCAACCCTGAAACCGAACTCCTTCTCTACTCTCCTCTGCACAAGCAGCCGAAGCGTCCCTCGTCACCGTTCAAGGGCGCCAGCACCGACGAGCGGGACTTCAAGCGCGCCAGGCATGACGACCCGCGCGAGGAGAACCGGTCTCCGCTGCTCGGGCCACGCCGGCCGCCGTCTGCGTCGTCCATTCGCGACACGGTTCCCTCGGACACACCGACCATGTTCCGGCGCGCGCAGTCTGTGCCCATCTGGCCGTCAGCCCCGCTCATCGACCTGACCCGCGTACCCCGCTCGCCCTCCAAGCCCTCGCCCGTCCTCCAATTCACCGCGCTCCCGCCTGTGCAGTTTGAGCCTGCGAGTCCAGAGCTGCCTCCACAAATAAATACTGACGACGCCCAGCTTGCCCGCCCGTGTACCCCGGAACAAGCGACCTCGCCGCCCGCCTCGCCACTGTCCCCGCTCACGCCCCTCACCGACACCCCAGCGCTCCCCGGCGTGGCGGAGCCCTCTAGCGACGATCTCACCCCAGCGCCATCTAGTGCGCTCTCTGCCGTGCCATTCAGCGACGTGGACACGCCGCGACCCGTCCCTCTTCCACCGACGTCCGTAACCGCGACCCCGTCAACTGGCCCAAGCCGCCTTCCCCGTCTCTCGTTCATGCCCTCCTCGAAGAAGCTCTCGCCGGCCAGGCCGTCCAAGGCGTCGTCGAAGAGGCAGGAGAAGGCCCGCGCACAGCTCCTCGGGCCCATCCCGCTCGGCGGACGAATGACGCGTTCAGCAGCGCTCCGTCAGAGGGAGAACCTCAAGAAAGATGTGGAGGCGGCGCCCAAGGCTGTCGCAGGGCCGTCCACGCCTGCTCCTCTCCGTGCGTTCACGCTCTCACAGAACACCGTGCGCCCGACTGACCGACTGCACGCCAGGATTCACCCCCGCCAAAGCCGTACCAGCCGCGGCGGACCTCTCGAACAAGCCAACACCACTCGGACTGGGCACCGACAAGCGGGGCACCTTCTCGTTCAGCTTCGCCCAGCCCACGGCGAGCTCCGCGGCGCGGTCCACGCCCGCCTCGCCCGAGAAAGGTAAGGGAAAAGAGAAGGCGGGCTACGCCCTGCCCGTGCCGTCGACCTCGAGTTCCAGCTCCAGCTCAGACGCGAAGCCGTCATCTGCGATCGGGTGGACGCCGAATGCGAGTACGCAGTCGGACGGGACCCCGCTCAACTCGTCGCTTTCGTCGCTCTCGCTCGCCCTCCAGAAGCTGAGTATGCCCGCGCCCTCGCGCCCGGGCACGAGCATGGGCTTCCATCCCGAGGTTCCTGCGGCGAGCGACGGGCAATCTAAGGCGCGGCCGACTTACGCACGTCCGCCTGTCTCACAGCCGCACCCACACACGTCTCAGACCCAGACCCACCCCCGCCCGAACTCGGCGGCTGCGGGCCCCGTGCGCGCACCTTCTTTGCAGCGTGCGGCGACGGTGAGTGACTTTTTCAGGACGCCGAGGCATGCTACGCGTGCTCCTCCCACTGCTGCCGCTGCCGCTGCCACTCCCGCACCCACTACTACTATAACGCCGGCCTCAGGTCCAAATTCAGGTTCGGCAATGGGAGGCCGTCCGCCAGAGAGGCAGAAACGGATCAACGTCTACACCGGGATCGTCCCGGGCAAGCCGCGGGGGAACCTCTCCTTCGGGAAGCCCTCGAGCGCGACTGCGGGCGGTGCGGGCCCGACGAACACCGCACCGGGGCCGTCCAGCCCGGGCAAGAGTGCGTGGTCGATATTGCCACCGCCGGCGAGCAAGCAAAATGTGTTCGGTGGCGGTGGCGCAGGTAGGAGGGGGGTTTATCCAGGATCCAGACGGCTCTTCCCGCGGGCGAGCAAGAAGTCAAGCTTGCCTGTTGTGGAGGGGAGCCCCGTCAAGGGCGGCGCTGAGCCCGAGAGCGGTGTCGGGGAGGAGAAGGAGGAGGCAGTGAACGAGCAGGGCGCGTCGATCATCGCGCAGGCGGTCGAGCGAGAACGAGCGGACGCGGACAAGTCCGTGTGTGCAGATCCTGCGGGGTCGCTAGCTGAGTCGATTGTCGGCGAGGAAGAGCAAGTGGTGGACGAGTCGATGCCCCCTCCGCCGCTGCCTCACAAGGCGAGTACAGAAGACCCTTCACCGGGCGCTGCGAACGCACCGACGAGTGTCAAGCGCGACCCCTCCCGGCGCGCCTCCATCGCCCTCAAGCTCTTCCGCGAGTCACGCTCACAAACCCAGTCCGCTCAACCCTCCCCACGCACGCCCGTCCCCTCGTCCTCGACCGACCCGCCAGCCGGGCCCTCGACGGACTCGCCCGCCCTCGCGAAGCGGCATGCGCCGCCGTCGGCTTTCCACCACTTCAACCTTCGCCAGCGGCCGGAGCCGCGCAGCGCGCCGAGCGTGCTGCGGCGGTCTGGCTCGGGGTCTCACGTCTCCGGGCGCAAGGAGAAGGAAGACGGTGAGGGGAAGGGAAAGGGGAAGGACGAGGGAGGGATGCGCGGCGTGCTCAGGGAGTGCACGGTGTTCGTGGACGTGCGGACGGACGACGGGGACGACGCGGGAGGCCTGTTCGTGGACATGTTGGCGGACATGGGGGCGAAGGTGAGTCGCGTGCGCGGCGGCTCCGCGTGGGTGGCGGCTGGTCGACGGTGGACGGGTGCTGATGTTGTGGAAGGTCTTGACGCGCGTCGGGCAGACGTGCACGCATGTCGTCTTCAAGAACGGGCTGCTGAGCACGCTCACGCGTTACCGGTGCGGTTTGTCCGGATGCTCGCTCGCGCGCCGCTTCTCACACTGCGTGCTAGGTTATTGAAGGACCCACGCCCCCTAGTCGTTGGCATCGCGTGGGTCGTCGAGTGCGCGGAACAATGCACGCGCGTCGACGAGAGCAGATTCTTGATCAGCCTCGACGGAGTCAACGTTGCCGGCACACAGAAGGTGCGCTTCATCTACTGTCAACTGCATGATATGCTTTGGTGACCGGCCCGTTGTTCCTGCCCTTCTAGCGGCGACGATCCATGCTCCCTCGACAGTTCCACTCGCTGCAGTCCGCGGAGGCGGACGCAGCCTCGCCCGACAATGCCAGCCCGAATTTAGCCTTCGTGCCCCGCGTTACCAGCCCGACGATGGCGGCGGATGGCCAGCGGTCTTCCTCACGTAAGTACTTCTCGAGTCGTCTGCCGATGTTTGATGCTGAAAGCCAATTCCACTAGCTTCCGTCGTGGATACGGACGAGGCGAATCGTAGCGGCTCGAGCCTGAGCATGCACCCCTTGGAGAAGGCACGGAGTCGGCGGCTGCATGGGTCGTGAGCTTGGATGAATGATAATGACGATGATGATGACGGTACCGGTCGTGGAGACTTTTGCAGATGTACACTAACCTACACGTTATCTGGCATGCACGTAAGTTTATAGGCGTATTACTATTGAACACGGCGCGGGATTGCGGGGGGTTTTCGTCGATTTACGGTCATGAACGATTCTTTGTTTCACAGCCGCTCGACGGTACATTCACCCAGTGATGATTGTGGTTTAGTACAGGTGCTGTTAAGGGGTTCCCTGCACGTCGTCGAAAGCGTCGCCACATGTGCGCATTTTATTGGTATCTTTTATGCCTCCTTCGTTCGAAGCTTCGCGCGCACGCACGCGCCCGTCTCGGCGCGTTTGTCACTCTCGTGCACGAACTGCCAAACTCGTACCGAGACATCCAATGCCGGAAGGGGAGTCAACGGACGTCCAACGCCCCAGACGGGCGCTCACTCTTCCCTGTACAATACTTTGCTCTTACGGTAACATGCCTTCCTTCTCTGTCAATACATCGCTCCCTCAGGCCTCAGGCTTTGCAACTATCACGTCATGTCTCGCTCTTCACGTCTCTCGTCCGCCCCCTCCTTCACTCGTCACAGTTCGATTTCGAATATCGAGCTCTTCTACGTCTCCTCCTGCCAATGTTAGTTTTAAATGTCCCTCCTGGTCACGGTTTTCCCACGGGCTCCATGTACTTATACCGGGCCTGAATGCCATCCTGCTCATCGAATCTCCCCCGCCTACCGCGCGCCCGTTTTTATTCAAGCATTGCTCACGCATTCGAGTCGACGTGCCGCCTTCGGTGTTCGCACTGTTAGAGGATTGGGCAACATCGCGTCATCGTGATTAGTAAGCCATGACATGCTAATAATAGTCTGTGTTCACTAACTACTCTGTCGCAGGGCCCCTCTCATCCGCCGTCCTCTCACCATTTGAGCCCCAGCGCGTCCACCGATCGACTTCTCGAGATCTCACTACTTACCTGCACAAGTAGGGTGTGTTGCCTCGACGTATCGCGCGGTCATTCTCTTCCACAGACTAAGGTTGGTCAAGGCAATGGGGGTAAGCATCTTGAACAAGGCAAGATGGCCGAGCGGTCTAAGGCGCTGGAATCAGGTCATTTTATCCGCAAATTGGATTAATCCAGGAGAGGGCGTCGAGATCATAGTTGGAATGCGAGAGGACGAGGAGATCGAGGGCGGGGAGGGCACCGGCGCGGAGGAGCGAGAGCCAGGCGGATATGTAGCTGCATCCGACAAAGGTGAGGCGGTTGAGGTACGACCAGCCAGAGAGGATATGCGACGAGAGCTGCGAGTTGACGCGAATGAACGCTTCTACATTGGTGAGCGTGAGGTCGTTGAGCGGGCAGGCATTGAGTTGGAGGAGGACGTAGTCGATGGCGAACAGAGGGTGCCCGTCGATGTCTCCCACGGTCCAGAGCTCAGTGTGGCTGGTGTCCTCTGCGACGAACGTGAGGATATCGTACCTGTCGGCAGAGACGCGGACACGGGCAGTGGCGGGGATGCAGTCGTGGGGGATTGTTACAGAATCCAATATTGTGGGTATATGCGCAGGCGGGCGGGCGGGTGCACGCCCACCGACGGGGCGCACGAGAGGGCGGGGGCAGTGGGCGTGGCGAGGCGGCACGACACCACGCGACGCGATGATGCAAGGGCGGGCAGGCGTTGCGTGTGACGCGTCATGACGTAGAGGCGACGTGCGCGCGGCCGCGCGTATGTGGGCGTAGACGGTGGCGGTGCGCACAAAGGGGGACACGGGCAGATGGCGACTCGGAGGAGGCGCGTCGTAGAGAAGGCGCGTCGCGCACGGGACGCTACTGTGGTCGCGCAAGAAAGCGCGGGGCGGGCGCCCAAGGTCGCGCATCGCGGCAGGCAGTGAGACTCGGCGCTCGGGGGCGGGGCGACGTCGTGGACGGTTGCGCAGACGGCGATGACGCCGCTGATCGGGAGTGACAGGTGACGTGGCGGTGGTGGTGCGGTGGCGGCGGCGGGCGGCGGCGGGTGGCGCGCGGTGAGGTGGTGAGGCGATGGCGGCGCGCGACGAAGGCGGGAGTTGCCGGGGTTGACCGTGGACGGCGAACGCGCAGAGGGAGAGCGTAGCACTGCGCACGGAACAAGGGCGCGAGTTCGAATCTCGCTCTTGTCATTGGCTTTTGCCAAACGATGAGATGTGATCAAAATGTAATTGTTTCATTTTTCTGTAGTTCACGAGGTGCATCTTCGTTCGACCGATGTTGTTTCTTTATACGATGCTGGGCGAGGGGGTTCGAACTGGCGGCACATGTTAGACACATGTTAAGGGTGGGGGTTCGAATCCCCCTCTTGTCATGTTCCGGTAGCTTGCTGTTTTCTTTTGTTTTTGTACTGACTCGGACATACAGTAAGTACCTGAGGATCTGCGTCTGTGTGAAGCCGCCGTCGACACGCCGCTTGCCTCCACCACCCACCCTCTCCCATCGCCGCTCTTTGACCTCGTATGCGCACCAGTCATACCGACAACTATGGGCATCCACGGCCTCACAACATATCTGCGCGAGAGCAGGTCAGCGCTCGCCCATACCATTAGCTTCCCCAAGCAGCCCGGCCACCAGCCTCCAAAATCCACCACCATAGTTATTGATGGTTGGTCGTGAGTCTCCCGCTTGGCCATTCACGCTGGTCCCTCACCCATCCATACCTCCAGGTTCATCTTCGAGCTCGCTAGCTTGGCCGGGCTTCAATACATCTACGGCGGCGAGTACGAGGCGTTCTCCCGGCTGATCACGCAGGTCGTCACCGCCTGGAGGGCCGTCGGGCTACACGTCTGCTTCGTGTTCGACGGTGAGCTCCCAGCATCCCCATAATAACCATACCTGAGCACGTCTCACACAGGTGTCTACCCTGCCCTCAAGTTTCCCACTCTCGTGTCTCGCGCAAGGCAGACGACCATCCAAGTCGGCCTCCTCTTCTTCCGCACCTCCGCACAGGCCCGCTCGACCCCGCGCTTCCTCCGCGAAAACTCGCTTCTCCCGCCGCTCTCCTTCACCGTCTGCGTCCAGACGCTGCGCGATCTCGTCTCCTCGTCCGCAGCGCGGGCCGAGCCTCCCTGGCTCGAGGTCCACTTTGCAGACGAGGAAGGAGACCCGTACGCCGTCGCCGTCGCTGCGCGCCTGAACGCCTACGTCGTCGGGCGCGACTCGGACTTTGTCGTTCTCAACGCGGACGGCTACCAGGGGTACATCCCCCTCGATGAAATGATCTGGCTCGCGGAGCCTGCGTCTGCCGCGGCCTCGGACGCGGGGAGCGTCCTGAGCTCCACGGATGGTGACGATGACGTCGACCCGAGCGGCTTCAAGACCGTGCGCAAGTCCAAGACCCGCAAACGCGAGGCGGAGAACCCGCTCGTCGGGCGCGGCATCATCCCTCCCGCATCCACTGCCTCAGGTGACACCACCCTCGCGCTTGTCTGCAACGTCTACTCCCCCACCGCGCTCGCGACCACTCTCCAGCTCCCCGTCTCGCTCCTCCCCCTCCTCGGCGCGCTCGTCGGGAACGACTTTACTGGCGGTGTCGACGGCGCCCCCCGCCACGCACTGCATGCCCTCTTCTTCGAGCGGCAGCTCACCCTCCCGCAGCGCATCACCCGTGTCGCGGGCACGCTCCGCTCCCTCCTGGACCCGGACCAGAAACGCAAGCGCAAGCGGCCGATCGGGAGCGTCATGGAGCTCATCGACGCCGCGGTGCACGCGCTCCTCCTCCGCCCGCCCGACACGATGGGCTCGGGCGAGCTTGACGCGATCGTCGAACGCATCGTCGAGGCGACGCTTCAGTACGCGATCCCGCGTAGTGACGAGGATGATATGGGACCAGGACCGAACGGGGCGTGGCCGTGTCCCCTGCATGGCGCCGGAGCGTGTCGGCTCGTCGATTTCCTCTCTCCGCCTCGGGCGGTAGCGGACGGGCTGCCAGAGCCCCCGATCAACACCGACCGCGCGCGCGTCGGCGAGCTGTACGTGGGCGCATACCGCCGCGGTGAGCTCTCCCCGCGCGCACTCGACGTGTTGAGCACCGGCACGGCCTGGCCACGAATCGCACTCGAGGATCCCGACAAGGAGAGCGTGTCAAAGAGTGTTGCACGTGCGATCCGTCAGTGGGGCTACGCCGTACTCGATGCGGGCGTCGGGCTGCCCGCGCCCCCAGCGGAGAGCGAGCAGGCGAGGGAAAACGGTGCGGTAGACTCGGACGACGAGCTCGTGGACGTGGTGGAAGAGAACTCGGACGACGAAGACCCGCTATCTCCGCTCCGGGATGCCCTCGAGCGGCTGGACAACCCTGCGGCAGACTCTGCGCGCACGTCCGCTCTGTCCCCGCTCGTGCCACCGCGCCCGAAGGTCGTCACGGAGTACGTGCGCCGCGGTACGCGCCTCGCACCTGAAGAGGTGACTGTGCCGCTCTTCAGCGACCTCCTGGAGGAGTTTTCCATCGCTGCTCCGGAGAGCCAGCAGAAGCCGGGGACGCCCTTGCCCGTGCAGCTCTGGCCGGAGGAACTCCGCCTTACGTTCCTCCTGCGCGCGCTCGGCTCGGACACGCCTAGTGTTCGTACTCTACACGGTGCACGGCTCGTTGCCGTCCTCGCGGTGCGCTGGGTGGTTGCGCGGATGCATGCCCGTGCGGATGCGAACCCCACACAGAGGGAGAAGCAAATCGAGCGTTGGACCCGCGAGGAGGTCCGCGCGTTCCTCTCTGCGTTCTCGTGGCCGCGACCATCCACCGCGCGCGCGAACGGAAAGACGAGAGCATCCGAGGCAGACGACGTCCCCGGGGAGAACGACGAGCCCGAGCCCGAGCCCGTCCCCATCGAGGAACGGAACATCCAGCTCGTCACCCAGGTAAGCCTCGCGGGCGACGCGGTCGAGCACTTCGCGCAGCTCCTCCTGCTCGGCGGCCTCACACCCAACCCCATGCTCTATTTTTCCGGCCTGCGGTTCCACACCGCGTTGACGTCCCAGCCGAACGATGTCACTAGCACCTCGGATGACGATGAGATCTTGAGTATTTGTCTTGAGGGTCTGGAGTCCGCTCTCATGATCAAACCATCGAAGGCGAAGAAAAAGCGCAAGGGAGGCGCGAGTGGCGAGGCTCCATCCACGGCGCCGCCGCTGCAACAGGGCCAGCGGCGTGGTCGCGCGCAGGCGGGGAATATGTACGATGTGTTGGCGGCGATGAGTGCGTGACGGTATTTATTGATAATCTTGATGTAGCGATACCAATGTAAGGTGTAAGATATGTCGGACTGGTTGGGGTACAGTACGCTGTGCTGTGTTACTTGCTATTGATGCTGTGTACGGCTATGTATCTCCAAAGCAAAGTCAGTACCGTGAATTTCAGGGGCTCATGTGCATCCAAGACACAGCGCGAACAAGCAGGTGATACTGGTACACCTTACATGGCACATGAATTTGAACTTCGTACATAAGCGCAGTCATGATATGGTGACTCTTTCAGCTTTAGAATGGCCACCCGGGGCGCCTGGTCACTACGGGGCTCTTGAGAAAACTCTCGCCACCCTCCGGAGATGGGGACAAAGGAGGTACAACGAGCAGCCCAACCTAGTCCGTCCGTCGCTGTTAGTGATGCACTCCGAAGGTGAGTACGAAACTGCCTACCCCGATGAACTGCATCAGGCGGTTCAGATTCTCCTCGCGCGCAGCCCCGCCCGGCGACAGCGGACTCGCGGCCGCTGCGTCGGTGCATTCCTCTATGCCATACGCTTGGAGGAGCGAGATTACCTCTTGGGCGCTGAGCTTGAAGAGGCCGTTGAGGCGTGGAGGGAAGAAGGCGGGGCATTTGGGGAGCTCGAGCACTCCGGCGGCGAGCGGCGGTAGGAGGTGGGAGAGCTGCCCGTCGCCGGCGGGCGAGGGTGAGTGCAGCAACGAGTTCCTTCTCTTAGCGTCACTGAAGAGCGGACATACCGCACTGAGCAGAGATGATAGCGAAGTAGATGTATGGTCTTACGAGTTGTGCAGTTGGATCTTCACCTGCAGGATGCGCCGTTTGTACTCGTTGACTTCGTTTTTGAGCTCGTTCGGGATCTGTACGTTGAGCTGCAAGCGGCTTCATCGGCATGTTCGCTGGCATGCACGGTGTACGTTACCTGGTAGTCGACTCGCCGGGGGACCTCCTTGCTCACGATCTCCGCCACGATGCCGTTCACTCTGGCGTTCAGCCACTTCTCGCGCTGCTCCTTCACGTTCGCGGCGAGGGCCTCCTGAAGCTCCTTCATGCGATCGTCCTGCTTCTTCTGCCGCTCCTTGAGCTGCTCGCCTGTCTCATGGATCTGCATCCCGACCCTGTCATGCGCGTTCATCCGGCTCATGTACACAACGGCCTACCTCACGAGCTGCTTCGATCCTCGGGCACAACGAGGCGACGCTCACAGTTTGTTTACCCAACGAGTCGAATGTGCTTCCGAGCGTCGTGAGCGTAAGCTTCATTGTCGACAGCAGCTCGTTGACCGCCAGAAGCTCCGGGTTCTGGCTAGCAGTAGCCTGTCCATCGGCATTGGGTGGCGAGGTTGGGGAGGACGCAGGGGGGCCCCCTGAGCCCTGGCCACCCTGGCCTCCTTGCGATAGATTGCCGTTGCGTCGGTTATCGCCCATATTCTGCGCGTTGTTCTGCATAGATGAGCCCTGAGGATGGAGATGTCCCTCCGTCTATGCCTGTGCATATAAGCTCGCGGGTATCTTCTGTTCACGGCAGGCTCCGTGGACACGGCGCATCCTCGAGGACTGCGAGAAGCCTTCTCGACGTGACATGGGACCGGGCGAACGTGGTTTCGTACCACAGAGTTTCCTTCTTCGTGGACGGCGCGCGCGCGTTCTCTGCAACGTGTTCGCTGCGAGGACTATGCTCGAGATAAGATCAGTCTGGAAGAAGCATGCGGTTCCGAATTGTCGGTGTGCCCTCCTGCTTTACGACACGCTGAGGCCCTGGAAAGACGCAGCTGCGAATATCGCTGATCAGGCTACGGCGTGGGTCGCTTTAGGGATCAATAACGTACCGTTGACAGAACGAGGGGTTCATGCCATGAGTATCTGCCGTATTATAGTGGCAATTCGCTCAGTGCGTACGGCATAGCAGCCTCGATGCATGGTGCCGTACTACCAGCTAGCTGGTCTACGAGACTGTCAATTTTCCGTGGACGCATGGAAGACTAGACACATGTATAGCACGTCTACCGCTCCAGGCTGACCACTCTGTGCCCCGAGGACAATCGGAATAGGATGCGAGCACAGTTATGGAGACCACAGGCGATATGGAGGGTCACTGCTTGCCCGGGGCAAGGATGGATTTGACGCTGCACATGAGTCGGCGAGCGACGACGTGTTCGTCGTCCCATGTGTAGCCGACGAGAGGAAACTCACGGTACTCAGCGTCTTCCACCAAGCCGCTCCTACTTACTCCCATCCACAACATCCCAATCGTGCCCAGCCCTCGATCGTTCCTCATAATCGCACAGGTTCACTCACTGAGTGCAGCAGCCAGACCGTCCTAGGTAATGTTGAACGTCTTGCAGAGCCATGCTGATATTGTTGCCGTCGGTCATGATATCTGCATGCCTTATGTTGTGGCTTGCCGTACATGGAGTCGAAGCCTGAGCATCGCAATACGTCCTCCTCCGAGTCGATGCTCGTAGTGCCTTGACGGCTAGAAGAGGTGAACAGTGGCGATGAAAACCACAGAATGAAGGTCGCCCCAAGCTCCCAGTTCCGTCAAAGTGCGCAGCCTGCGACTTGAGGTTTCTTGTGCTGCTGTGCCCGTAGGATGCGGTGCCTGCCGGAACCTCAGGCGCACAGCATTATGGCGCTGTGGGCGTATCGGACAGACGTGTCCAAGCGTCGGTCGAGTCACCACTATTCGTCGACACGCAGCATATGCCCCAGGAACAATGCTTCAGTCAACAAACTGTGGTCCAGCCAAGGTCCAGCCCGCTTCTGTTCCTGTTGTAACGTGCGTTATGGCCTTCTTGTCCCCGAAAGCTCCATAGGCGCCAGCCCTTGCACTGCCTATTGTCAGCACTGAAAAGGACGGTTGCGACGCGCTCTCGTTTCAGCACCTCCTTTCACATTTCCCCTCGACACACGCAATGGGCCGTCTGGACACTGGTCACCCAACCCGCCCACGGTCGCGCACCCGAGACCCGCGCGTCGTGACTTACCGGTACAAGGAGAAGATGGTCTACGTTACACCCGCGGACACATACGAGGTATGCACGGACATTCGCTGTGGCCCAGATGACCTTCATCACAAGCCGATGCCCACAGCAAGCCGTCCAGTTCGCGCGAGAGGTCTTCCCCGACGACCTGCGCCACATCCACCCCCAACAGCTGTCCTTCACGATCATCTCGAACACGCCCAAGGGCAAGCGCACGGTGCAGATCTCGCCCATGGCCTGGAAGGCCGTCGTCGGCACGCTCGCGTGCTACGAGATCATCGACCTCAACGTGCACCCCGAGATCATCCTCGAGGACGAGCGCGAAGGCGACTACGAGGACATCGTCTCGGTCGAGGAGCTCAAGTCGTCCTCGCCGTTCTTGCACCCCAACGACGCGCTGCCAAAATCCCGCACCCCGTCCCCGGCGCGTCGCTCGCCCAGTCCGTCGGCGATGGGCCAGGTCAAGGGGTGGCTCGAAAAGGTCCTGCCGTGACCTCGCGCCCTGCCAGATGTGTATGGTGGGAAGCATGGACCACGACTTTTGGTGGACGATCGCCTTTGTATCTTGTGGCGTCGACCGTATACCCTTGTCTTTTTAGTGCTACGTTGGAACCCTGCTTACGGACTGTCGGTGGCTGCCTGGACTGAGACAGATATGTAGAGAACTCGGCTCGGTTTACTCTCGCTCATACTTAATGAATCTTGTAATGTGCTTGTATTACCTCTAGTCGCCATAGGCTGGTCTGTGGCATGTAGCATTATGTAGAACTATCATCTTGTAATCGGCTGTACCAATCGGAGTACTGTCGCACACATACAGTGTTATTACCAGACCGCGCTAGCGCATGCCAGCATTCGATCATTCAATGTACGCAACTGCTCTGCACAAAATCGTATAACTTGCATACCAATGAGCAACTCCCCGACCACCGACGAAACCACTCACCCCGACGTCGCACGTCCTACGGCCTACTATGACGCAACAACGCCTTGCTCCTGAACGTCGCATTGTACTGCAACAGGTTGTTGATGTCCCTCACCCAATCATCCTCCTTCCCCGGGCCCACCCCTTCGCCATCCTGTATCTCCTCAGGATCCGCGATCGACGACCGGTTGATGCAGGGGATGGGGTATTTCGACGCCTGCACGGTGACCGCCTCTCCGGGCCCGAGGACGTGCGACGTCTGCCCGTCGAGGGCGAGCCCGGCGGAGGCGCGGCTGCGCTCGCTCACCTGCATCAGCGCGGACGGTCAGCGCAGGGCGGCGTCGTTAGTGTTAGGTTTAGGGTGCTTACGCGGAGCGTGACCGAGGACGAGGACGGGAAGACGAGCGGGCGGAAGGAGAGGCTGCGCGGGCAGATGGGCGTCAGGACGAGCGCGCTCAGGGACGGGTGGACGATGGGCCCGCCGGCGGAGAGCGAGTACGCCGTGGACCCTGTCGGCGTGGAGACGATGAGGCCGTCGGACTGCGCAGGTCAGTGTGATGCGGGGATGCAGGGGCGAGGGCGATGCGTACCACAGCCTCGGTGAGGTGCTGCCCGTCGACGTATATGTCGATCGTGTTGAGGTGCGGACTTGCGCCGCGGTGCAGCGCGATCTCGTTCATGACCTGCCAGTCTTTGGGCGAGGATTAGTATGCTCGTCCGAGACGCACGGCGCACTTACAGACCTTGCGCTTGCCCCTCCAGCCGCTCCCCGTCGCAGCCGTGAAACCGGCATGAGAGCCGCATACGGTGAAGCACAGTCGCGCGGCCGGCGAAGGCGCTGTCGAGCGCTTTGGCGTAGTCGTCGATGTCTGGGTGCGCGATGAGGAGCCGCGCACAGGCCGGGATAGACACTCACGGAAAGGGAGCAGGAAGCCGAGCGTGCCCATCGAGAAACTCAGCACCGGCGGCACTGCGCCTACTTTGAATAGAGACGATGCGTGGAGGATGGTGCCGTCGCCGCCTAGCGTGACTACGAGGTTGATCTTCTCGGCCTCAGGCCCTGCAGCATCCTGTGAGTCTTCGTGTGTTTAGGGTGGGGAGGGAATGACCTGGTCGCCAGATCTCGACGCCTGGGGGAATGTCGGGTCTGTCTTCGTGGAAGACACGGACGTCGGGATACCTTTCGCGGAGGTACCTGTGGAACGTGATGAACTGGCGGCTTCGCGAGCAGAAGGCCGACGACGCACGCAAGCAAGTTGTCAATGGCGTCGACGACGAGCTTCGTCCGGTGCTTGTTCACTAGAAGAACGGCTCTTGGTGTGTCGTGCTTGAGACGGCTGTCTTGGGTCTGGAGTGAGCAATGAAACCAGAGCGCAGGAGCTGAAATACATACGTAGCGAACGCACGGGTCTGTTTGCGCACGAAGCCCGTCGATGTTGTCTGAAGGATGCCGTGCAGGCTATGGCTTGGCGTTGTGGACCGCCATGGGTGATGGCTACGAGCGATGACAGAGGCCGCACGGTGTGTAGAGCGCAGAGACATCACTCGGTCGCCGAACACAGGGCAGGAGGGGAACGAGAACGAGGAGGACAAGAGGAGGAGGAGGAGAACATTCACTGAATCACTGCAGCCGTGTACAACGTTATCACGTGACGACTTTCTTGAACACGTCCGCCACTCGTTTCTCGCTCTCTGGGCTCTCAGAGTCTACATCAACCTTAGGCTTCAGCTTCAGTGACCATGACTGTCCTAAAGATCCCCACCATAATTCAATCCCTTATTGATATCTAGGCAACTTCTTGTACGACGACAATGAAACAGCCGAATAAGTCACACTATCAATCTAAGGTCTCAGTGTGTCAGTCATTATTATTCGCCGGGTACATATCACACGGTGAGCTACAAAAGAGTAAGAGGCTTACTTGCGTACAACACACGGCCAATGCAATGTGAGACTTCTTGAGACGTGGATGTAGCATCTTTGCGCACTCTACATATCGGCAAAAGCCCACTGAAACCCGGGAGTTGTTTGACTTGACTCTCGCCAATGTGTGAATCACACATGTTCGTTCGCTGTTTTTTGACATACCGGTACGCACTGCATGTGCCAGCAAAGGTTCTGGTGCAACCATCGGCGACCACCGCCTTCAGAAAAGGAACGTGAGGGGGTAAGATGATACTACGCGTCCCCGTCACTGCAGGTTTACTCCAGCGACGCTGGAGTCGACGCAGTGTCGGGACCAATACCTGGTAGGGAGACTGCAATACCAGATAATGGTTTATGTGAGTATGCAATGTGCCAAGCAAAGCATGAAGCAGCACTTGGACCCACTCATAACAAGCTGCCGTCGTGAGACCAACCGTGGTGACACATCCTCCGTACTAGCATCCGAGTACAGGCTTCTTCCGACTCACCTCCGGAAGGCAGACTCGGTGGAGGCTGGGTACGCTGAATCAGTACTCACTGACCTCAAGTCCGCATGGATGTCTTGACCTGCTATATACGCTTCCGAACATCGCACCAGCACAGTTCCATCCTTGACTGATGACATTGGCTCTAATAGTCACAGTAAGTTCAAGTCCGAACCTCGGTGGAATCTTTGAGTCATCCCGGGAGCCGGGATTGCTCAGATATCTGTGAGTAGTCTGACTGAAACGGATGTATGATTGATCGGGACAGCACAAGCTACATACGAGATTCGCTCTTGCCCCAGCGTCGTATGGTACAGCTTCAAGCCGCAGGCCGGGTCAGCCGTCTCCGCAGAGCTACAGTGCCATCGTGCTTCGCGACGTGGGCCGATCGACGACGGCGTCGCGAATTCCCCGTATGGCTTGAGATCGGACAGAGCCTTACAGCGCAGGCACCAAACGCCGCGACTTCTCGTCCACCATGCAAAACAGCAGAAGGTTGCTGAGCGCGCACTGTCATCGGACGTGCACTGTCGCCGGTAAACAGCAGATCCGTCGACCACGCCAACCACGGTCACCCCAGCTTCGTCCACCACTTCTCCGTCTTCACTGCTGTCTCCTTCCGCTTGACGACCGTCGACAATCCCGAGCTGACGCCCTTCCGGCCACCACCCGGGAACTCGCGGGTAACAGACACTTGGCTGGTCGACGTGGAGGGTGCTTCTCCTGGCTCAGACGCGGCACGCTTCCGCTTCGTCGCCTTCGTCTTCGTCTTGGTATGTGGGTGACCGTCTGGGCGCTGGCCCTTCTCCCATTCTTTGCGGTGCAGACGATAAACCGCCATGGTCGCCCGGGCGTCCGTTACCTAGGGCGCAGCCAGTTGAGTCGATTGTAGGAGACAGCGGAAGGGGAGAAACGCACACTTGAGTGTTCCCCGGCTTGGATCGCCACGCCGAGCTCCTGCTGGACGAGATTCCTGAGAGCAGCCCGCTTCGTCTTGACGAGCGCGTGTTTGTGCGCGTACACCTGGGTGTCGCGAGTTTGTTGTCGTGGATGGGAGAGGAAAAGAACCTAGGGCGAGTGTCAGTGAATGTGACCGAAGTGAAAGGATGGATCCTGCCTTGAGGTCGTTATGGAGCGCGTGCCCTACTAGTATGCGATCCTTGAGAAGGTCGGAGACTATCTTCTGCACCTCAGGGAACGGTGTGGCTGGTGGTGAGGAAACGATATATATCAGCGCGCGTCGCTATGATGTGGAACAGCAAGTGAGGGCGTACCGTCAATCATGTCGCTAGGCCGGATGCCGCTGAACTGCGTCCTGTAATCTACCACCCGCTCTCGCTGGCGCACAAATACGTCCAACAGGACGTGTCCGTAGAAGTTCACGATGCTGACGCGTGCTAACGAGGACTCTAGTCCTTCGGGCCCGACACCGACCATTTCGCAGTCGAGTGCCAGGTACTTGCCCGGTCTGACACAATACAGCAGTCAAAATAGTTTGGAAGGTGTGAAGCATGCGTGCTCACTGTTGGTGGGTGGGAGAGTATTTGAGTTCGCCTGCGATCATCTTGCGGAGGACGGACTTTGATTCTCCACCGTGGTCTTCGTCGTCTGCCGCTATGGATGGAGTGGGGGTGATGGAACGAGCGGACGCGGCATCTGTGCCGCGAACAAAGGAGACCTCGGATGCTCGTTCGCTTTCATGCCAAGTTTTCCGCTTCTTCTTGGGCGGTGGTGTATCCGACTTGCTCAAGTCGGATGTGGATGGTGCTAAGGGGAATCGCTGGACAAACGAGGACTGTTCAGGAGAGAAACATTCGTTCGCCTTCACAGATTATCGCACCTTCTTCAAAGCGAGCCAGTTCGAAGATGGCTTTTGCGCAGTGGTTGTCTGACGAGACATGGTCGGCGGATGAGGATCGCAGTCCTGTACTCGCTTACTTACCTGCTCACAAGGAGATTAGGATCCAGTGTATTCCGCAATTTGCTTCACTGACTGTGGGAAACATCGCTTAGCGGCGGCCCCCAAAGACTCTGTTCACAAGAATTGAGTGGCAGTGAGACCCTCAACACCGCTGATTCCGCCACATTGCATGCCTGAATCGTCATTCAGTCGAAATCAGGTCGAAATGCTGTTGAACTGCTCTGAGCTGCCTCTCACCAGCCGCGACACTGGCAAGCAGGCGGGTAGCTTCCACCATAACTAGCCCACAAGGACGACTTGCCCCAGCTGGTCTGCAACTTTACGACACCCTTGCTTTGGACTGATCTACACGTTTGATTCGAACTCGTTTCTCCGAGTCTACACGCCTCGATATCTTGCTGCTTCCATCGTCTGACACTTATCTGAGCGAAAGCGATGGATCTACAAACGGTGAACGAGCTGCTAGCAGGCAGCGTTGGAGGCGCAGCTCAAGTACTGGTCGGACAACCACTGGACACGGTCAAGACGCGTGCGCAGATCGCCCCGAGTTCAGTGCCTCTGCTTATATGCGTACGCGAGTAACCCCGGACTTACGCCCACCGTCCTCGCGTGACAGAGGGTATGTTTGTGAGTCGTCTTTCTTCATCTCATTTATCCGTACGAGGAAGGCAGCAGCAATCTAGTGGTCTGGATTGTCTAAGCGGAGTGGACCAGGAAGACACTTCCTGGCGTGCAGCATGTCAAGGAGTACGAGAAAATGGGACGCTGTTGACCACCCTATCATTCCAGTGGCAGAGATGTATCTGCCGCGGCCGTCTGTGCGTTGATGCATACCACCTGTCGTTGGACGTGTGTGCCCAGTCAGCGCATGTCCCCTTCCTCTCTGTTCGTCTCATGTCAATGCTATCCGAGTCTATGCCTGCGGTAGGACTGTTGCAGGTGATGAGTGGGATAAAGGCGACAGCCGTGGTTGATCTATGGCATGCATGATCAGCGTCCGCACTCGCAGGACTGTTCAGTATCTGGTTTACAATCGTGCATGACGTATTACGGACTCTCACCTGTCCGGATATACTCTTCGATCTTTCTCGCCGTTTTCCTTAGCGGCACGTACGATGCTGTTTTCCCCCGAGGTCCCCTTGGAGATACCGTACTATCAGACAAATGACGCGTGCGAGCCCGACTGCTAACTCCACTCAGAAAGGGCCCATGGACATTCTCGCGCAGACGGTTCGCAAGGAGGGCTTCTTCGCGCTCTACAAAGGTCCGTCGCCGGAGATCTGATGCAGTCAATGATCGCCTAACGCAGTGACCGAACGATTGCAGGCATGGCGAGCCCGCTCGTCGGCATCTCAGGTGTGAACTCGCTCCTGTTCGCCGCGTACGGCGTCTCGAAGCGGATCATCTCGCCGTTCCCCCAGCTGTCCCTCAAGGAAATCGCGGCCGCCGGCGCGCTCGCGGGCGCGGCGAACGCGATCCTCGCCAGCCCAGGTGTGTGCGGCCGTCTTCGTGGGATGCGAGGAGAACTGACGGTAAATGCCGCCGCCGCAGTGGAGATGTTCAAGGTGCGGATGCAGGGCCAGTATGGCATGCCGGGCGACAAGCGATTGCGCGCTGTTATGCAGGAGATGTGGCGAGAGTGGGGGCTCAGGAAGGGCGTCATGCGCGGGTATTGGGTGCGCGCATCTCGTTGGTATCCCTGTCCTCGACGGAACTTATTGAGCGATGATGGTCCATGGGCAGGTAACCGTGGCGAGGGAAATTCCGGCCTATGCTGGGTGAGTTGCACCGGTGCTCCGCGGTGTTCTGCTCCGCTGAGCTCTCGAGATCCCACGCGCGGCGTGGTGCAGGTTTTATACAGGTGAGCACGACCGGGTGGATGCGAGCCGTACCCGTGCGGCGACCGTCTGATTATCTATTACCAGCGTTTGAGTTTTCGAAGCGCAACTTCGCGCAGAGGTATGGGAGTCAGATTCCGGTGTGGGCCCTGCTCGCGAGCGGTTCTACGGGCGGGGTGAGTCGCCCGTCGCTCGTCGGGACGCTCGGCTGACCGGGTTGCAGATTGCATATTGGCTGGCGTGCTATCCGCTGGGTGGGTGGTGATGATCCCCCGCGTGCATTCAAGCATCGACCCCGCTGACGCGTTGCGCAGATGTCGTCAAGTCCCGCGTACAGCTCCGGGCGACGCCGCCCACGGGTACGCCGGTCCAATACATCGCACGCGAGCTGAAGGCCATTGTATCGGAGAGCGGATGGTGGGCGTCCCTGTGTGCTGATGCGGCCTCCTTCCGCTGAAACGTTCACTTCCTGTAGGACCGGGCTGTTTCGTGGGCTTTCTCCGTCGCGTACGTGTCTCATCGATGAGCAGCACGAGCCTTGCGCTGATTGACTGTCCGTGCCCATCTATCTGCGCAGTCCTGCGAAGGTACGAAGTGTGATTACGGGTTGTGGCGTGATACTCATGCGCGTCTGTGAAGCATACCTGCCGCCGCGAGTACGTTTGCTGCATTTGAGCTGACGAGAGGTGAGTGCCGCTGGTGTGCGTCCGACGATAGCTTCTTGACTCATGGTGATGTCTTCCGTTAGAGTATCTGCTGGAAGTGACGGGCGTGTGAGCTCCGGTTGGCTCAGGTATACCACTTGAAGGAAATGGAGTCTGGCGAGCGGATGCTATCAGAGGTTTGATTCAGTGGTCCTGCCCTCCCGGCGGAAGGTGCGGCTTCCTCATACATGCATACGAAGGAGTGTATTGTCAGGGCGATGCCTATTCTGCTTGCTCTTGTGACTACCTTGTCGAGGAGAGAAGTTGCTGCCCAAGCCGCGGATATGCCAGTGTTGAAGAGATGCCAGGTTCCCAATTCCACACTGCTGGGGAAATCAGATGTGTGCTCCCATTCGGGGCCTCATTCAGCAGTTGCTTGACTACCGCTGTCCGCTTTCCTGGGCGTCCCTCTACTTCCCAGAATGCAGATTGCAGAGCTTCGGATTGCAAGCGCCCTGCCACCTCGAACCCGAGGCTGACGTCGGACTACAACCTGCTGCGTGTATCACGAACACGACTATTATCGTTGAACGAGACACCGTCATGGCGGTCAGCCTTCGGTGGAAGCCAGATTCTACGTGTATCTCGTGCACATAGAACACAGCACGCGCACTGCGATCCTACGCGCTGGCGTCGACGGGAAATTATCTGTCAATCGAGCAGAAGAAGTTATGTGGAACTCACCTCATCCCGACCCTCGGGCTCGACGGGCTTCTTTGCAAAGTCAGTGCGAGAAGTGCGTCCAGCGGTCTCGATGTCCCTGTTATACAGTAAGTACATTCTCCGCGGTCACGTTGACTGACCTTTCTGTGATCGCTGATTGGCCACGCCCTTGATGAACAAAGATTCCAGGATGTGATGAGAGCGTGGCGAGGCGATGCACAGGCCACGCTGGACGGTTCTGCTGCGTTGTGCACTGTTGTGCGTGGCCGGGGAGACTTCTAATTGCCCTGATATGGCGCTTTGAAGACTGTTCATCACGGACGAAGGAGAGGGTTTCGCTGATGCTGCGAGTCGCGGGTGGATGAACTCACCCGTCCACCCACAAGGTCAGTGTCCGCTGGCGACGCATTCCATCATCATATGCTCACCTGAATCAGTTCTGCGACTATAGGCTCTGCTTCGCTGTGAGACGCGTGCATACCGATGCGACGATAATCTGCCAGGCCGAAAAGCTTCTCTGACTGGCGTGATGTCGGACGTTCGCCGGCGTGCGGGTGGTCATGAGTCGCAGAACGGGACACCTGCAGTTGGCCGCTGCCCATGCAGTGTGCGTCTGGTAGATATGCTCGCGGTGAGAACAACAGCTGCCTGTTATGGGAACACACCACTGGGCTGCGGCGCCTGCTGTAGCTCTGCTCCATCTCTACTCGCGCGCCCTTCGCGTGGAGGTGAGCAAGTGCAGGTAGCGTCATGCGCTTACATGCAGGTGGGTCTCAGTGGCGAGTGGGGGGCCGAGCGTCGTAGCACGTATAGAGGGCGTGTCCAGCGCACGCCGCATCTCCTCAATCTTCTTCACGTCGCCCACAACGATTATTGCAGCACTCACGAGGCCAGACAACGCGTCTTTGTAAGTACTTACGACCGTTTACGTCCATGATCAGACCCGAATGCGCAAACTGCGTGAGTCCGAGTTTCACGTCCGAGAAGAGACAGCGCTAATCAGCTCGCCATTAGGCTCCCGGAGATGGGCAGACGCGCTCAGTCAACAGCGGCGTTGTGCTGGGCGTTTTGGGCGGGATGGCGCTGATCGCTCTGCTCGTGGTCGTTGTCGTTCCCGTTGCGCGGCGCCAAGGGCGGAGGCGCAGGCGTATGGGCGGCCGGGAGGACGTGGAGAGTGGAATACTTCCTTCTCGGCGATCATCTTCCCGTCATCAAAAGATGCAGCAGCTCGAGATCCCAGCCGGTCCGGACGTGCTCCTGCCCCTCATCGATCCAGTGTCGACCATAAGCTGGTCAGATCTCCGCTCGAAGAACACAAGCGTTGATTCACTTCAAGAGGCCGGCCTATACTCCTTCCGCACCGACGCCGCCACCACCTCGCACCCCGGCCTCGACGACCCGGACATGGACCGCGGCGACACGGGACGGCAACAGGAGGTCGACGACGCCCAAATGTCAGCGGGGGCGTTGAAACTCAGTCCGACGCCCCCGGGGCTCCCGTCCAAGATTGGCGCCAGCACAGCTCCTGGAGGAGGGTCGTACTCATCTATGCCCGCAACCAGCTCGGACGCTGCCCTCCATGTTGGCATGTACCCCCTCAGCCCCGTCTCGCCCGTCTTCACCATGTCCAGGGGTGCGAGCCGTTCCCGGCCGGGCACCGCGCGCACAGGCATGGAGCCCCTCATCGAGGATGGCACCCCCAGCGCCGGTCCGCCCCCATTGCGGCAACTACCATCGCCGCCGTCCTCGCCTGATCAATACGAACCAAACTTCCGCGGCAGCACAACCAGACGACGCCCGAGCGTCACCGCCAGTCATACCGCGCCCTCTGCCATCACCTATCGCCCCCGCTCGTCGACGACGACGGCCGTCCCGCTCACCGCCGCCTTCCAGACCAGCCTCCTCTCGGGCACGCAGTCCGCGCATGCGTCCGCGAGCACGCACCGATACCCCTCCTTGGCCGTCCCTGCGTCCCGCTCGCGTGCGAGCTCCGTCTCTCTCGCCCCGATACCCGACCTCTCGCCCACGGAGCGACCGGCCGACGCTGCCCGCCGCATGAGCATGACCACGACCGAGCTGCGCCACCGCCACCCCTCGTCCGCCACAGCCACCCAGGGCAGTACTCACCCCACGTCGCACGGGACCGCGACGCGATCCGGCACGCCCAGCCACGGCGCGACGCACGCGAGCGTGCAGCCACGCATCCCAGAGTACGGCGAGGCGGGCCCGTCGACGTGGCAGCGCCGGAGGAGCATGCAGCTCGAGCGCAGCCCGCCGCCGTTCACGGGCTCGCCGTCCCCGCTCTCGCCCCCGCCCTCCGCGCGCCCCATCCGGCCGCTCCCCGTCCCCGGCGCGCCCGCCGGCGCACGGCCACACTCGCAGTCGCAGTCACACACCCAGCACGAGGCCCAGTCGCACCAGCACCTCCCCCCGATCGTCAGGAAGCGCGACAGCCCCGCGCTCCGGCCGCTCCCCGCGTCGCCGTTCGTGCACGCGGGCGCGGTCAGCCGGCAGTCGAGCCTCAGCGCGTCGACGCGCACACGGTCGAGCAGCGTGATGAGCGAGCGGTCCATGCCTCGCCAGCTTCCCCCACTCGCCCCGCTGCCCCCGCTCGAGTTTGGTGCGGAGTTTGTGCCGGACGGGGATGCGAGGAGCGTGCGATCGCGGGGGAAGTGATGCATCGTGGGGGCGACGAGAAGGGCTTGGCGGGCCCGACGGGGATGGGGGAAGGAAGGAAGGAGGAAGATCACTCTCACGCTGTGCGATTGCTGCTGCTTACTTTGACTTGCTATGATTGAGATGGGACCTCGTGGACGGGCATGACAGCGTACCCACATTCGACCTGCACGACCTTCCGCATTATTTATCGCTCTGCTCTATGTTGTATATCGATACCTCTATATGTCCGTATCCCGGCCGTATTGTAGCTTACACTTCTTCCTCGTCTACGCGCGACTACGCGGTGTCGTCCGGCGGGCCCTTCTTCCACTTGTCCCACATCCGCGTGCAGACGTTGCGCGCGAGCACGAACGGCTCCGCCGTCTGCGCCTTCTCCACGATGCGGCCCGCGAACTTGAGCTGGTCGCCCGAGTGCAGCGTCTCGTGCGTGAGCGTGAGCAACTTGTTTGAGGGCGCGAGCAGCCGGTCAATCTGCTCCCAGATGGAGGCAAAGGGTGGGGGCATGGGCAGGAGGATCGACTGGCCACTAGAGGTCATCGTCAGTATGCAGTCATACTCAGAGTGCTCCGAAGTCGACAGCCAGCAAGGGAGATATTGACCGGCACTCTTGCGAAGTACAGGCATATGTATCGGAGTGTGCTTGGGCGACTGCGAGCACCCACTTCCCGATAGTATTCGAGTGCATACAGTCGCCAACGTACCACCACCGAGATGACTTGTCGGCAGCATGGCGAGGAGTCCTCTCCGCTGGACCTAAGAATGATCCTGGCTAGCCGCCGCTCTCGAAATTGCACCACCCGGCCCCTGCGTGCGCACTGCCTATCCATCTCTCGCAGTGTGCGCGCAGAGATCGGCTGGGTTGCGGCGATGCGGAACAGGCACCTTTCGAGGATACCATTGTGCAATCCTTTCTCGAGCTCCGTCAAGACCTCGAACAATTCCGCCTAGTCACAGCTCGTGGGTTGCATCGCGCCAAGGGCCGTCCTGCCCTCCGTGCGCGTTGTGCGGGACGGTCTATCAATCGTCTGCTTGCTGAAAGCAGCATGTCTTGGTTTGCGGGAATCCACCAATGCATCACCGATTGAGTCCCAATGAGCTCCGTCGGCACGGCCGGATGAAAGTACACGGCACGACTCTGGTAAGAGGGACGAACGGGCAACACACCTCATGTCGGGAAACGGTCTCCGTGCCGATACCAGTGCCCGACTCTTATCTACTTGCGCGTCCTCCTTGGGTTGTTGACCGCCGCGCGCCTGTTCCTGTTGCTGCTGCTGCCACGCGTCGGTCCTGTCCTGCTTGTACTTGTCCCACTGCGCCTGACGCTCGATGTTGTGCATCATGAGGTCGAGCTTCTCCTGCGTCGCCCAGCGACTCTTGCTGAGCCAGACGTAGTAGCCCTCCTCCCAATACCGCACGTCATCGTGCTGCCGCGCGTGGCCCTGCTGGCCCTCCTGCGTCTCGCCAATGAGGATGTACAGCAGGGACGGGACGCGCTGGCCCTCTGGCGGGAGCGGGTATCGGGCTGGCGCGGGCGCGGATTTGCCTTCGTGTGCGGCGATGGCGCGTTGGACTTCGTGCGCGAAGACACGGCGGAGACAGAAGGTCCGGCACCAGGGCTCGCGCTGTTCCAGGCGACCGCGGACGCTCTGGGAGCAGTAGGTGAAGCAGCGCTCGTCTACCTTCGGCGAGTGCGTGCCTATGGGATATATGTCAATGTCGGCGAGCAGCAGAACGAGACGTCGCACCTTTCGCCTGGCGGACAATCTTGACGGACGGGAACTGTGACCAGAAAATCGGGTACGGCCTGGCCGGCGCCGAGTTTGAGGATTCGTCCACTGGCTTGCCTCCGCGGTCGTTCGAGGACATGGCAGCGGCGCGTTGAGGATGAAGACGAACGATGGTAAGAGTGAAAGCAGAACGAGGCTTGGACGCAACTTGGACGAAGCTGAGAGTCGAGCGTTGGTCGAGCGTACGCCACCCTGCTGCCGAGATTTGAGCGGAGATCGAATACGCGCATAGACCTCTGCAGTTCTCGCGCGTTTTCTTTCTGTTCACCGTCGCGCCGTCTGAAGAATCGCCGTCGCAGCTCACGCACAGGGAGCCTCGCGCTCTCCTCTTCTGGCTGTGGGGAAAGTCCCCGGAGATGCAGACTCAACCCTCGTCCAACCAGTGGAAAGCGGCCGCCCCCAAGCACGGCGGGACCGGACGAGGACGGAGGGAAAGGCTTTGCGCAGGCTGCTTGCCTGGTGAGCACCCGCTGCTAGCTCTCTCTAGTCTGCCGCGCGATTTGCGGTCGTGTGCTCGGTGACGGCGCCGAGGTGCGAAGATATGAGCACGTCGGTTGCTAGGGTGCGTGGCTTGCGGTCGGGCGATGCGTTGCTCATAGACACAGTTATGCGATTGCGAGTACTTTGGTGCTCGTCAACGGAATGGGGCTTACTCTCGTTCGGCGCGACACTCATGTTTATTTTTTCCTTGTCGGAACATTCGCTGTTCTCGTGGCTGTATGTGCGGTGTGAGCTGTAGACATTGGTGAGTACATTCCGAAATGGCTCTCTTGTGATGCTTCATTCTTTTGAATTTCTTCAAGGAGTATACCTGCAGCGTCCGCGTTGCAGGGCGGGCTCCAGACTTGACACCTCTGATCTCATTGCTTCACATTTTAATGACCTTTTACTGATGTGCTCTTTCGTAACAGATTACGTAGTGGAGGGTTGTCTTCGAGATGTCGGCCTTTTGTATGTCATCTGCAGTGTCGCATGAACTAAATGAATGCAAAATCATTGGCACCTTGCCTCTAAACCTGTGCATGCATGCAGCTTTGACGTGCTGTGGCAAGGTGAACGCCTCTTCGTGTGATATCCTGAGCATCCTGCCGGGCATTCAAGAACCAAATAAGCAACTGTTGCGGTTGGCGCAGGACAGTGATCGTGTTCCAGCTTTCATGCAGTCCGCCACTGTCTCGATGCCGGGGGGGACGCCTTCATATGGTCTTCCTTGGCATTGTTGGATACCACATCTTACTGCCGGTCGATGGAGGTAGAACAGTGTTCTGTTTCCTGCCAAATGCTCGCGACTTCGAGACGATATCGTATTCTCGCGGTTGACTTGCACGGCAACAGCTCGTAATGGAGACTTCGGGACAGAGGCTTCTTCGTGGTACCAATAAGGTACATCTCCGGTGTGAGCATGCGCATACATTGTGCACCACAAATCTTGTATCAGATACTGATGCAGCTTCGCGCATGCCACGGGCATGCAAGGAACCATAGAGTTCATACGGATGTGTATTATTTCCAAGAGTTGTACACAGTTCCTGCTGTGACGAGATGCATGTTGAGCGTCGCTCTGGATTCATAACAAGTCTCACCAATTGTACTAAGCATCTTCGGACGCACATGCGACATAGGTCCAGGTACCACTTGTAAACGAGGTAAGGAATGACATCGATCCCATGAAATTTCTCTGCGTGAATCACTGACTCAATGTTTGTCCCAGTCCCCGGGGTGGAAGAGAGGTGTAAACTGCTAAGATAAAGCGGAGATACGGAATGCAATTACTCGCACCATACCGAATCCGAGTTACGGTCTGACATATCATGAGGATTGTATTGGAGAAATATCGTCCTCCCGGGTTCTATACCGGGTTGCCGCTGCTAAAGTGAGAAGATTGTGTGTACAATCTCATCACTATAACGTCTGCAACTGGTGGCGTCGCAAGTCTCAAAGTCTGCAGGTGAAGATAGGAGCATCCGAGCCAAGGCAGCGATCACCATTGGCAACTTGACATGAGTCGAGGACGGCCGGCTGCGCGCCAGCAGCATGAGTATCCACCCATCGGTATTAGCCGAACAGCTCGAGGATCGCACGAACATCGTCCTTCCTCGATGATTTCGAATGAAGGAAGCGGTGGAAGCACTGGCAATTGTCTAGACTGTCAATATCACTCACGATGCGTACTTCTCACATGCTCCTCGTCTCGTCCACGTTGAGTAACAACCCAATGAAAAAGTGAACCATTCCTACGAGCCCCTGCGCCTCGCACGCTGAACGTATAGGATCAGTTAACCAGCGATGATACCGAAGGTTTACGCTGGCAAATCACCCACCTTCGTTCACCGTGTGTATGTTCCCGTCCGCAGGTCCGTCTCGCGCGTAATAATGGTTATACCGGAAGATATGCGGCGTCAGCCTCCAGTAGAACTGTGTATCTATTATAGGGTGGCGTTCAGCTCAGGCGCCTGCGAGACTCCAGCCATGACGGTTGACGACGACGTACCGGTATTCCTGCGAGTAGGCTCGGGACGACGACCACTTCCGCGCCAGAGCCTTGCGAGGCGCGCGTACCCTCAGTCACGGAGTCGTGCTCTGAATGCGGCCCGCCCCACGCTGCACGGATTGTCCCCGCCAGGATCCTCCACTGTTCGCTGTCCGTCGGGGAGACAGGTGCAGGTTCCAGTGCAGTATCAAAAGCATCGGAGAGTACGACGCGACCTGCGCTAGGACCGAGCCTGGGGACGCCGCGATGTTCGTCTGCCAAGGATGCATCGTCCTCGGGGAAGGGGTCGACCGTCAGATTCAGCGACTCTGCAACGGGCCTGAGAACGGCGATGGTGTGGTTCTTGAGCGCTGCTACGGAGCTTGATACAACTAAGTACATCAGTTAAACCATCCTCAACTGCTCGAAGCCGGGAGTAGAACCCACCTATCGACCGCCACCCGATGATTCACCACTGCGCCCGCCGTCTCCGGCAACGCATTACTCTTACCCCTCCCCACACAACGTCCACCGCCACCGTCGTGTGCCCGCCCGCCGCGAGCCCCGGGTCTGCCTCAAACAGTGCCATCTCCACGCGCTGGAGGGCAGCGTCAGACGTGCGCGCTGCGAGAATATCCGCACGGAGGGCCGGAGGGAGAAGCGGTGCGTGCGCCGCGAGACATTGGGCGTGTGTGTAGGCGGCGGAGGTGCGTGTGAGGCGGGCGGGCGGGGCGAAAGACTCGTAGGCGACGATGAGGGAGGAGAGCAGGCCGATTGCCTTGGTGAAGATAGGGTCAGTAAGGAGGGTAATTGTTGTGAGTTGTGTCTGGTCACAGAGGAACGAGGAGACGTACAGTGTGTGCTGGAGGAATGCTTGAGTGGCCACCGGCAGCTGAGACCTCGATTTGAAGGTCGAAATAGCCCTTCTCTGAGATCGCTAGGCGTGCCAAGGGCGCGCCGTACCTATCCTCAATCGGGTCTGGCGCGTTCAATCCCGAGTTTTGAGTTCACGCCAGGCTGACAACTGAGGAACATGCTTACCGCCTTCGTCGACGAGCATAGCGAACGCGTTCTCGCCGAACACTTGGAGCAGGTGTTGCCCGATCCGGTATGCACCCTATCGTAGTGAGAAGATGACAGGTCAAACGAACGCAACAGGGCAGACAGGAATTTGGGTTGCACCTGGAGACCCGTCGCTTCCTCGTCGAACCCGAACGCAAGCACGACCGTGCGTGCAGGGACAAAATCATGTTCCAGGAGGTCTCCACCGCTGTGCTATGAATACCCTTTGCGTTGGTCTAGCTAATGTCGACAGCCCGGGAAAACGCGCACAGAATGCTGATCAAGCCATTCTTGTCGTCCGCACTTCCCTGCCCCAGACACGTGTACCTTCCAGATGGCACCCGGGTACATGAGATTCAGATGCACACTGAATACAGCACACGTGCACCCAGCCTGACGTGAGCACGTACCGTCAAAATGTCCTGAATACGGCGAGTGCGTCCAATTAGCGATACTCGTTGGGTCGACAGGAACCACGTCTGTCAGCAACGGTGTCAGACCCTGTGACGTAAGGAGCAGAATAAGAGATACGTCGTACCTTGGTGCGCGGTGAGCAATATAGGCTTCAGCGCGTCGTCCGATCCTTGCCACACGTATACGAGGCCGAAGGTGTTGATTTTCGTCAGTAGAAGCGTGGTGTGGCTATCAGATGAAAGGAGGGTGAGTAGGGGCCCGTCATATTATGGTGAGAACGCCTACATCTGAGGGAAGGCTTGCCAGAGATAGTCATGAAGCGGGGCGAAGGCTTCCCAACGCGAATCTTCGCCGATAGGCCCCATCACGTCGTACACCTCCGTGCTAACCAAGGATCGTCAGTGACTGCATTTTGCTACGGGACCGAAATCGAACCGCTCAGAAGATGTGAATACTGGATACGCACGGAATGCGGACAGCCCCGCTGAGTAGGTCGGCTGTTCTGTTCACGAAGGCCTCCGTGCTGAGTTGTCGCCCCGTTGCATTCCATAGCTGCTCGTGTGTTTGGGGAACAAGCGGAGGTCCTTGCGAACACAGACTCGGCGCGTGCTTGCGCAAAGGCACATGGAGGAACTTGAAGTTCAGCAAAAGCGTGATGTAAGGTATCTTTGCTGGCAGATATAAGCGGATTAACACCGCCAGAGCGAGCCCCTTCAAAGCAGCAACTCTGAGAACAGTCCACATGTTGACGGTGAATACTAATCAGCTATGGGACACTGGGAGTGCAGTGAAATGTTATCAATCGGACAACTTATGATGAGAGTTTTCGTGCTCGCCGTCTGCACAGGCCGCTTCTACGAGGTGCGTACGATGACGGTAATATTCAAGATGGAGAGGATAAAGCAAGCCGGTGGATGCGCATGCAAGGGTACGAGACCAAACATACTGAGATGCTTACTAGTATGCGCCTCGGCGCTACACGGTCACGTTATCGCGACTCAAAACGCAGCGCCGGCGCTAACGACGCCGGTAGTTCACTTCGACACAAGTTCAAACGTTGAACATGGCCGTGCATCCGGGATTTAGTCCCTTGGGTTTATTTCTTCCGTTGTCATCTCACCCCGGCTCCTGTGATGCATAGAGTACCACTACGGTCTGGGTAGCGTGCAGCTGCGACCGTCCTAATCAAGTCGGTGCACCTCAGGCGCCCTCAAGCTGCCGTTTTGCCAGGTGTATAAATACTCGTGGGCCGAATCCCGGTAAGTAGGTGGGTCCGAGTTAAGTGAGTATCAATCTCTTCATACATTTGTGCTATCTACGAAGTTGCGTTATTGCTACTGCACAGCTTAGCTTGGACCGAAGCTCGCACATGCACTGTGACGACTCAGCAGAGACTGGTGCCGCCGCCGTGTTTTGGTTCACTCGTGCCTCGAGGACAGGCTTAGCATGCAAAAGGTTTGTCAAAACAGTGGGTGATTCGGAGTTGGTAAGTCTGCCAGTGAATGATACATTCCTGCGATTAATTCCGGAATGCCAGCTCACAGGACATGATATCCTATTCTTGTGCACGTACCGGGCCGCCGCTACGAAACTACGACACTCCGTGCCCGATATTCAAGCCTGTCTCGGAGTATGATCGGCTCAAGGACAGCTCGATGTTCGTCTACACCGTGACGAGATTGTTCAGTCATGCGCGGATCAATATTACTACCCAATCATGCCAGTGCATCACAGCAAGCTCCTGTATCTCGTTGACATACTTTTCGGTTTCCCGACATATGCAGCCTGTAGGTTCCTTAGTGGGGTAAGTCACCCAGGATCCTGGGTAAAGTGCACTGGTGCGATGTATGACGTCACACCAATATAGCTACTTTCACGACCTATTAAGACGCGCTCTTCCCCACACTCAGCTTCAGCTTTCTCGCATTCATCATTGCCCACTTAACTCATTTTCGTTCTCATCGACTTAATGGGTCCGGTCAGACTTACACTCAAGATCACCCCGCTCTCCGCTCTCCGAACCTCCACCCACCACATCCCCGCGCACGGGCACATTCCCAACACCTCCCTCTCCCCGCACCCTCTCCTCATCTACCACGGCGCGTTCACTCCCGAGCCCACGCCGCAGCCGTCGACGATCGAGGCGCACCTCAAGCGCATCGGCGTCGTCTCGCCGCAGTGGCGCTACACGATGTACAGCCAGTCGCACTTCCACTCGACCACGCACGAGCTGCTCGTCGTCTTCCGCGGCGCAGCGCGGCTCCTCTTCGGCGGGGAGGGGAACCCTGGCGCAGTGACCTCGAGGCGAGGATGGGGGACGCGATGTTGCTGCCCGCAGGCGTCGCACACCGGCTACTGGAGGACCTGGGCGAGGGCGGGGCATTCGAGATGATCGGGAGCTACCCAACCGGGAAGAACTGGGACATGTGCTACGGAGATGGGCGTGGGGCCGAGGACGTGGAGGGCATCCGGGAGAGAATCGGAGGACTCGGGTGGTTTGAGAAGGATCCGATTTACGGGGAAGACGGGCCAGCGCTGCACATCTGAGTAACACCCCGCACGCACAGGATACTGATGAGATGCAGGTCAATGTATTACCGCTTTGTACGTTACTACACTAAATGGGTGATAAGGCCGGTGAGCAGTATTTGGTCAGTTGGATGAAAGGGGACGCAGCCAATGGTTGGTCATCGAGATCGCTGCCAGTGTCGTCCACTTTCGCCCTACCGTCGACACAGCATCCCAGACAGTTCTTCATCGCTTGGACAGTTCAGAGGTGCCCTTGGATTAGCGCCTAGTCGTAGACTGTCCGGTCTAGTCAAATTGGGTTGAAGACCGCGTTCCACACCGGCACTCACGCGTATAGACACATTGGGCATGCTTTCATCTTCACTGGAATGATTGATGCAAGCTTGAAGTAGTAGCTGAGGATGCTTCTGCATCACCGATGTCTCTCCAGACGAGGGCGAAACCTCGCGTTGAGGCTGGCGCGATCAGGGATCGACCACTGGCTGCGCAGTGCGGTCTGCGTCGGCGACTGTTTCTCCTCGGGTATGTTGGCCCGCCCTTGAACTTGTCGCCGTCGAGCTGTGTTGCTATGTTTGGTCACTGGCAACTGCGGTCAGAAGCTCGTGGGCGTCGATGAGTACGGAGTACGGGCTTCACAACCGACAAGACGAACCGCACGTATACAGGAAGAAATGGCATTTCGCGAGAACACCGACAGCAGCGTGCAACAGTGGAGATATCGTATAGATCCGCGCCCGCCCAGCCCCCTCATCATCTCGTCGTTACCAAGGTCGTGAACATCCGCGGCGCGCGCTCATTCGCTCTCCTGGATGAGCGCGAGGATCATCCTGCGCGGAGGAGCCTGCAGTTAGTGAGCAGATTGCACGGGGGAGCACGGGGCGCACCTGTAGAGGTAGTAGAAGAAGCTGAGGAGGTAGAAGCCGAGCTTGACGAAGCTCTCCTTCTTGTGGTTGGGGAGGGAGCGGAAGATCTCTGTCGCGTCGTACATGTGGTTCTTATTGCGTATCCTGCGTGTGCGTGCGTGTCAACGGAGTGCGGGTGCGCGCGGAAGCGGGAGACGCACTTGTTGATGTTGTACGCGAGCAATGGCGCGTTGAACAGGAAGGCTATCCATTGTCCTGATAGCAGGAACAGCAGCGCAAGGAATGCGTGCGCTATGTTTTCGGGTAGCACAAACTGGAGAAAGGAGGCCAATATCAAACCTGGTCAGGGGATGAGCTGCAGGATAATAGGGACAACGGACCTGGTTTAACTTGTTGCAGAGATCTATTGGATTGATGTAATCACACTCCAGGTCGGAGAACATGATAATCTGGGCAACGCGGCGAGACGGCGAAGATCGCGAGGGACGAGTCACCGGAGTTAGCGAGGTAGGCATGGCCCCATGAGGAGAATGCACGCACGAAGAAGACCATGGTGAACAACAGCCCCGCCGCCATCAATACTGAGAAAAGAAAAAGCCACCCTATCCACCGAGACATTCATAGCAAAACGTCCATCCAGCATCCAGTTGCGAATGCAAATTCAATGCAAATCGTAAGAGGTCGTACATTGTTGAAGAGTAGAATACCGTACCTGTAGCACCCATTGCGAGAAATTCGTTCTACAGTACAGAGCAAGGTCTGTTCTGTGGGCGGCGACCGCAGGAGAGAGGGAGTTCAGCGGGCCAGGTGGCAGCAAACGACGTGTACGCAAGAGTGCTCGTGGACCGCGCACGTCGACTCTCTGGCGCGCCGTGATGCCGTGACAGGACGCGTGACTTGTGTGACCTGTGATACGTGACTGCCCGTCAGGAATCGGGATGCTGTAGCGACGACAAAGCCCTGCTGAGGCCTGAGGGTTGGCTGAAGCACACTGAGTCTCCAAAGAGTCGATGTTACGAGAATGCCACACGTTGTGTGTAACAACAAGTGCGACTCGCGGTTACAGGAGCTGTCACGGTGCATCCGTTTCTTTATTGCAGTCCATATTAGGTAGTATAGCCGCGCGACAAACTGATACAAACACGGTTCTCCCAATTGTGGTGGCTGCGAGGGCGTCCGCATCCTCCTCACCCTCACCTCGACCACCACCTCCTCGCCGCTCTCTCCGTCGCCGACCATGACTGCCTCCCTCCTCGACCGCATCAGCCTCCCGAACGACAACTCCATCGGTCCCGTGCGCAGCAGAGGCAACCGCGCAGGCGGAACGAGCCCATATGTGCGCCGCCTCCGAGTCTGATTCAAGTCCTCTTGTCTCACATCCGCTTCTCTTTCCCTCGACCCTCTCGCTCTCACTCTAGAACCGAAACCAACGCCCGCCTCCAAAAGGTGATGTCAACGGTACCTGGACGCACGACCTCTACCAGGGAACCGATGCTGCCCGGCGCGGAGGCTCGCTCAGCGCACGGCTCTCCAACTCTCCTATCAATGCGCCGAAGATGAATTTTGGAGTGGCGGACAGGGCGCTGCGGGACGCGCTCGGCGAGAAGGGGCTCAGCATCAAAGGCGCGAGCAGCAGGGGAAATGTGGTCGAGGTGGCGGGGCTCGCGAACGGGACGAGCGCGGCGGATGTTGAGGTGAGCCTTTGTGTTCAATCGCTGGAGTGTGTCGAGGACGCACTGGCTGCGATGGAATATGCTAAAATCCTTCCTTAGGCCATCTTCAAACGCTGCGGGCCCATTACTCAGTCCGTGCTCTCCAAACGCGACCCACCCATCGTGCGGGTGACCTTCAAGCACGAGAAAGACGCCCAGGCGGCGGTTGCAAAGTTCGACGGGCAGCCCGCTGACGGGCGAACGCTCAGCGTGCGCGTCGTCGGAGGCGTGAATGCGACGCTCTTCGGCCGCCTCGAGGGCGCGGCGATGGACAGCGACAGTGTAGACTTGCTCATGGACGACGGCGGGTCGAGTGGATCGTACGTGTACTGTGTGTCTGAGACTGTGTTTACTGACTTCAGACAAAGGAAGCTCCGGTCGGACGACATCCTTGCGAAGGACACGCGTGCGAGGGTGCTCGTCGCTCCCCCGGGGCTGAACCCGGCGGATTACGTACAGCGGCCGACGCGTGGTGGACGGGGGCGCGGTCGGGGCCGAGGCCGGCGTGGAGGTGGTCGGGGCGACAGCGCTCGGATGGACATCGACTGAGCGTCGAATGCATCTTCATTTGCTTCAAATCACCGTCCTACGACTCGGTCGCGTTCGGCCGTGGTCGGTCTCCCCACTACAGTCTCTTGTGTACCATAAGCATCTCGTTTACTGCCGTGTCCGTCTGTGCGTCGATCTCTCTCCTGTGCTTTCTGTGTCTGCCCGCTCGTTATGGTCGAAATTATCTCTTACAGTATACACATGCACATACGCGTACGCCGGTCTCGTTGTGAAAATGTCTAATGATTCTGAATCAGATCGCTGTGCTCTGCTCATGTGAACCTTGTCACTGTCAATAAGGTGCATAGTGACGTCCAACGTACGTGATTCGTTTGTAACTGATAGGGCGGCGAGTAATGTGCGTCCGACTTGTGCGTTGTTTCCCAACTCGTTTCCCAACTCCAGTCTGCCTGTTCATGTCGCTGAGGCTGCGTAGGTCTGGAGATGAGAGCTTCAAGGGCCTTGATGCGATGCACTTCCCAACACAGTTGGACTCAGTAATTCTTGTTCTCGGCCACACAGTACAGTATAATGAGTATATGTCTTCGATAGTATGGTTGTGATTACAAGACTGCGCCGCCACGCTCAACGTACTGCAAAGCATCATTGGGGATTCGTAGCTCGTGCACGACATAGGAGTCTCAAGGGGGGAGGGGTTGCTGATCCCCGTTGCTGACCAACAGCTAAGATACTAGTAGTTTAATTTACAGTAGTAGGAAGGTTCGTAGGACTACATTGCCAGTGATGGGCCCGCCGGGGACTCAGTTGGTGACGTCCAGTAACTTACGGTACTAGTAACGGCCCCACTGGCAACTTCAACGCTACTCCGAGTTCACTGGTACATATGGCAAGATGCAAAAAAACAGATCTACTAGCCTGACTAATCTATCACTGTGAGTGACGTTACTGTGAAGAAATGAAGGAGATCAATGGGCGATGTATTCGTACAAGAGCATGAATGAGTCTGTAGACCGTCACTCGACGATAACGCTCATTCCAAGCCACCTTCAACAGACTGCAGCTTCAGGGCACCCGTAGTCACCTACTATGAATGCCCTCAGAAATAACAGTCAGAGCTATTAGTACTTCTCACCTGATAGACCGCGCACGCACATCCTGAGTACGAGAAGTGATGCAGGCCTGACACACTGAGGGCACATCACTCGTACACATCGACTTTCGCCGAGACTGTAGTACATACACATACACATCCTATCTTACAGACACGTACACTCCTACAGCAACCCTGACTCATACAAACGACACAGCGACATGCACGCCCACGACGATCCACGGCCTCGAACACAGTACTCAATACAGGTACCGGATGCCTTTCTTACGCTGAACGGCCTCCTCAAAGGTGAGGCCCTCGAGTCGCGCCGCGTCTTCAATACGCTGGCGGTGATCCGGGTTCTTGAGTGCCTCCGCCTCTTCATTGTTCAGCTGCTTGTTTTGTTGAATTAGCATACAGCGGATGACTGAATGCATCGGAGGTCTTATGAGCGTTCCTGAATCGCATGATGAAGACAGACACACCGAAGGAGAGCAGGGTAGCGAAACCGAGCGCCGCGATGCCGATATACATCGACTGGTGGTATTGCGGGCTATACTGAGCTTCCCAAGTAAAGGAGCCGATTCTGTGGGAGACGGATGGTCAGCGCATCCCCGGGTTCCGAAGACATGAGAAACGGGACGGAGAAACTCACAAATTCCCTATGTTCCCGAACCCGTTTACGAGTCCGATAGCGGCGGAACGCTTTGCGGGAGGCCGCGGGATCGCGTTCGAAACCCACACCGCGGTAAGCGCGAAGCCTAAAGTAGCGAGTACATCAGCGGGTCGAATTGTGAGAGGCGAAAGGCGAAGGAAGGAGACCGAGGAAGAATGATCGTACCTGCGTAGCCAGAAGCCATGAGGAAAATCGCAATGTATCGTCCGGCGGTGGTCATAGTCGTTACTCCGATGATGTAACCGACTATGACACCCCACCACGGGACACAATGGTGGAAGAAACGCTCTCCTGTTCGGTCTGTGGTGATTTGCTGTCAGCAAACGCTCACCCCAGTCGGACTATCATGCCGCCCACCTGCATGCCAGGCATTCGCAGCGCACGTAATAGTGGCAAGAATCCACGGTGGGCTGATTAAAGAATTGCAAATCAATACTTCGATGTTTAGCAGAGCACGAGAGAAGAGGCATACACGCAGAGAAGTAATGTTATCGTTGTTGAATATCCCATGGTGTCGACGATACTAGAGACTTCATTAGCGAGATGATCATGAGTGAGTCGGGAACGGTTGCTTACGTCGGGAAGAAGTTGACGAAGCTTAGACCGAGCAGCTGTGAGCAACACATGACCATGAAGATGGGCACTTTCGGATCCTTGATCGCCAGGAGAAAGCCGGTGAAAGCACTGAGATAATGTGTCAATATGCCATAGATGAATGAGTAGGAGACAGCACTCACGTCTCATGTGCTCCGTCTTCGTCTGCCTCCCCAGCATCCTCCGCGAGTCTTACCTGAGCCAATCGACGTTGAGCTGGCGTGAGCCAGCGAGTGTTGTGGGGCTGGGAGATACTGTTAGGAGTTATCGGAGGCTAGTCTTAGAAATGACATACATAATCTGGTAGGAGCAACCTAAAAGCAGGCTATTATTTGTGGCAGCTTGACATGGGAGCACAACAACGTACATGGCAAGAAGGCCGATACAGACGGTGATCGCGCCCTACCACTATGCTCAGCCTAGGCTACGCAATGTCAGTTGACGCGAAATATGTACCTCGATGTAGAACAGCCTTGCCATGCGATCAGCATCGTACTGGTATTCAAATGGATGGAACATACCATCGCCACGCTGCAATTCCCATTTTTCCCTGCATGCCGCTCAGAATCCCTGCTGCGATCAACTATGTACCGGATCAGCAACGAATTGATGGGTGACTATGTGAGCATCCTCACGCTTCCAAAAGCATTCGAGACCAAGAGTCCGCCATAAATGATCGCGCCACGGAAAGCAAGTTCCTATCGGCTACAGTTCAAAATCCACTCAATAAGACACAATGCCGATAACCTGCCTTCCGGGTGTACCATCTTGAGAGTAGGTACATCGCCCCGGGGTAGAATGCTGCCTAACAAGATCTATGTCAATATAGGCGAGGCGAGGACCCGTGAATTCCATTATACCTCTGGAAGGCCAAGGAAAATCCTGCAGATGATGATACCCGTGAAGTCATGCGTTACCTACGCGTTAGGGTCAGACGACGGTAGTAAATAGGCTTGAGGTTGAGATACATACTCCTGTCAGGGCGCTCACGAGGCCCCATACCATGACACAGCACGGGATATAGTAGTGTGGCCTGATGTCATGAGGAGATGACCGAGTTACCCAGTAGATTGCCTTACCTCGAGATGCGATTTAGGATCTGTGCGTGGCACTTAGCTGGGCGAAACTGAGTTTATGAGATTGTCGTGAACGCGCACCATGTTCGAAGGTATCTGCGCAGGAACATAGCTCGCGTATAGAACGGCGATGACCGTGTTGTATTGAATACCTAAAGGGTTGGGTACCACATGGTCGGTCGTCAATTGCCCTACATACTTATGAGATCGAGTTACAAACCTGTGAGATTCAGATCTTGAGTCAACCCTTGCAATTTCGCGGACGTAATGGCAACACGCTGTCAATCGCTTGTCAATACGATGTTCGTCTGAAGCGCGAGCCTCACTCACATCGATGTAATTCATGATGAATATAATGATGATCGTTGGCATGAGTCTGGCATCCAGCAGGCGGACAAGGCGTCGCTCTGCGGACTTGCGAACTTCCGGCGCGAGTAATGCTGCGTCGTCATCAGGGCGAGCGTCGATTGACTCTGCAGGCGACCGTTGCTCGATGGAGGCCTTGTCCTTTTCCTCGAGGACAACGTTGTCCACGTCTTTGGCGGCCATATCGGGGGCGTAAGGTCAAGGATGGAGCGCGGCTCGAGTAGACGCATTCAAGTTGGTTGAAATATAGTGCTCTCCGCGGGTGTCCGACGGCAAAAGGGAAGTTCAGGAGGGTCCACAACTCGTGACTGGAATCTCCACCGGGGACGCATACGTGTCGTAAGAAGTTGGACGGAGGTCTGACGGAGATGGGCTGTAACATGATAGACCTTCTTAGTACCATCACGCGGGCAAGGCGAGATCGGTTCCTGGTCCCACAAGCTGTCCCAGCCAACGATAGATCAGCATAAACGTTCACATCCGTTGCGCCGCGCCTTGCTAAGCATTCACCTTGAAGACTCTAGATCCCAGCTCAGATGACCGAAAAGGAATGGAGCGTTGAATGGTTATAAACACACCTTCCAGCAACGTTCCACCCTGGAACGTTATCAAGAACCATACCGTGTATACGGATGCTCGAATTAGGATTCTGTGAGTCTTCGACGCCAAGAAGCGCCTGTCTACCTCCGGCACTGGTAGAAGATCCGAGAGATCATGCTAGCCTTGTTTGAGTCGGTCATATGGCCAGCTCAGCGGGTACGATCCTTGTGTCGTCTTTACAGTAAGATCAAATATCCGGCATGCTGTCATATAACAAATGTGGGGTAAGTGCGGGGTAATCCGGCAAGCCCGGACGCAGACTCGGATGGCTGGATGGTTGAACGCGGCGCGTGTCCAGAGTGAGTTCGGCGCCAACGCATGGTAAGCTTCAAAGGCAAGTCATCTCCGTTGTGGCGTATGGAAGCAAAGAATCGGCTGGCAGTGGCCAGGCTCGCGGCCCCTGATCGTGTAATCTTGTCTAAGGGGCGAAGGGAGCTGAACGGAGGCTGTTTTGCCAAAATTCCTGTTCAGAATCCGTGGTGGGTGTTCCTTGCCTTACTCCGCCTAACCTTCGCGAGGCACTGAGTAAGCCCATGAGGTCCATGAAAGTGACAAGGTCTCCTACCGAGGATGGTAAGCCGGCACGGCCCTGTCCCACGCATGCCGTTGATGAGTGCAACATGGCATATTTAGAACGATCTGCACACTCGATGCAGTGGTATGCAGTGGTCACGGTGAACCTATAACGAGGAAACCAATGAGAGATACTAATCGCAGGCATGTTGTACAATTTCTCACAGTTTAGGATACACTACATTGCGCCGATGGGGGGTTTGCACGTACTCGCCTCAATACCTGTGCGGAATTCACCCAGCACAGTCCTAGTAGTTCATCCATCATTTGAATCAAAATCTCGTAGAGTACTGGGGCTGTGGAGAGTACTCACCGAGCTGTCGGCAAACTTTCAGTGCGACGTCATCATACGTTGAAGGTAGACACGCGCACAATACGGCGGACGAATCAGTTACACCGAGAACGTGGCGACCTGTTCCATTCATACTTTCCGGCGGAGTAGTGTGTGAGAACAAGCGTTCTCGCCAGAGTCCATGCACTGCCTCGCGGATATGGTATGAGTGAATTAAGTGCCATAAGAATGATCAACTGACAGTGCTTCGTGAGCCCTGCTGAAACTTTACAATGGCCAGACTGCACCCCTACGGATGCCGACAACGTGTGTGGATCGCGTATCTTCTGTGCTTGACGAGATAGTCAGTGCAGCGGGAAGCCGTATCGGGACCGAGGCGTTGAGTTGACTCACGAATGCACCCAGAATATGGCCACCGATCTTGAGATAGTAGGATATTTTGGGGTCGTGTCATGAAGTGCCGTGACTTCGTGCCTTGCTTCGACTGTGTGATTTTGATACCGCACGGTACCCCGTACGATACCCGTCATGCTTGAGGGAAAACTTGAGCCATGGAGCACCGCAAGACGTTGGGAAACCATCTGCCACGCGTCCCTGCGGCCGCGCAACTCGCACGCTTCAGAACGGTGAGGGTTACTATGCGATTGAGGAAGTATCGCAGCGATGTAAGTACTACTCTTCAGTTCTGCTCTGTGAGACTTAGAGTTCGAGAAACCGGTAATCAATTGATGGTGGGATGTGCGAGCTTATAGTAGGCAAGAATCGGTCAGAACGGTTCCTCATACCCAGGCTGTTACTCACCGAGACAATGAATGTCACATACAGTCAGTGGTCGACACTGGAGATCTGAGGGATAACATTCAAGTGCATCTCTTCTGCAGTACTTAGTCACGAACAAGGACTGAGAAGCCTGCCACCGCAACAATTGACCGATGCTCTCGCAGCTTACGGTAGCCAGCTATGCTCGACGCATGAGAGAGGTGCTTCAGGACAGCGAGTCTACGCCTGAGCGATGGATGTTTCGTAGCCTCATGGCAGGGTGGCAACAGTCATATCGGAGTTGGAAACATGGCAGGTCCGATCACCGATCCTATCTCAGCTCCCTGTGTCGGCGGCAAGTGTGGCGAATCCGCTTTGATCACCAACCTCCACTTTCCACTGCAACGCCGCACTCACCTCGAACGCTCTATTCTATGCGGAACCGCAAATCAAGTATCCGCAAGAAACCAGTATACAGACGTGCTGCTGGGTCGCCTTCTTCAGCCAGCGATTACATCGAGGCGAAACGGCAGTTCTTGAAGAGGCAGCGATTGCAACAGCGCAGTAGTGGCGCGTCTCGGCCTGCGCGCGCGACATCATCGAAGCGACACTTCTGGCATGAGAGCCAGAAGAGCAAGCAGGCGGTTGCGGAGGAGACACGAGCGATAGTGCTCGGAGATGGCCAGTACGTCGAAGAGCGCCGTGTCTCTCCCGTGACGACTTCATTAGCCCTATCCGCTCGCGAAGTGCACATGCCCAACACGAGCGGTCTGGATACACTACAAGCAGTACAAGTACCTCACGACATTGCTGTCGCCATCGAGTTAAGCCGACAGGGCACCACATTCTATCCCCATTACTCCGAGGCACTCGCCAAATGGTCTACCACGCGCTCAAATGTACAATCAGTAGCGGAAACGAAGATTGACTTCTCGCCGAGAGGGCCCCTGACCACTGCTCGACGTCTGGCCCGGACAACCCTCTCGCTCCGCATGCAGCGCGCCTCCAGCCCTAACGAAAGCTCACTGGGTGTGCTTTCGTTCGCATCTCCGAAGCGCCCCTGCGGCGGATTTCTTCAAGGGGGTGATGAGCAGGAGGACAAGATTGCTCGACATAGCTCTTTGCTGGCCAGCCTCAGCTCTCCCGCCGCCCAGCAATTCTATCAGGAGCACAAGAAGTTCTTGAAAGAAGATGGCAGCGGGCTGCACGATCACTCGATGGTCTACTCCCCTAGCGTCGTCGTCTTCCGTAGGGAAGGCGACGATGATCTTCCTCCAGATCCCGACGTCAATGTTTTCAGCGCATCCCCGACTGTCAACGAAGGCATCGGAGGCGAGTTCATCCCGCCCTTCCTGATCAACGTCATCTCCGCTGTCCCCGTCAACGCCATGGCCGTACGCGCGAAGCACACCATACTCCCGTCGGAGCAGGATTTCTTCGAGAATGGCATCCGTAGCGCGATGAAGGAACGCATGGCTCGCATCCTCCATCTGTTCGAAGAACGGGGCAATCGTGTGCTCGTTCTCGGTGCATTCGGCTGCGGGCCGCAGAGCCAGAACAACGTCGAGACGATCGCAAGCATCTGGGCGGAACTGCTTGTGTGCGGGGATCTGGAGGGTGCGGGTGCTGTGAAGCGGGAGGCGAGGTTCAAGAACTGCTTTGAGAAGGTCATCTTCGCCGCGCCGGGCAAGGTGCTGGAGCTGTTCAAGAAAGCGTTCAAGGCGCGGTTGTTCGAAGCGGAGGTCGCTGACGCTGCCATGGACAATAATTGAAGCTATGTATGGTCATTCTGTGCCGGTAGTACGCTCCATCTTGTGTTTGTGCCTCGTGTATTTCTACGCCCCGGGACTTGTCTTCACTGCTCGTTTTGTGGATCCTTTGGATACCTTTCTGGTGCCCTGCTGTACGATTACGACCATGTGGATTGTATAGTAGCAACTAGACATGTACCTGCTTTGCGTCATCGTCATTCACATGTTGCCGTGTTACCTTATGATCTTGGACGAGCATCGTGTATTTGTACAACATCATTACAGCAACCATAAGATCCAGAACTACGACGATACATACAGCGAACCCGTGAAGAGTAAGTACGGAGACGAGCGATGGAAGCTGAGAACTCAATACGTAGAACGCTAAGGAAGTCTGCCTCGAGCGTAAAGCGAGAGCGGCCGAGCATCGAAGGAAACGGAACAACCAGGCCGTCGCGACTGAGTGCACTGCACCAAGCGAATCAAAGAGTGAGTTGATCCGGTGCGTAGCTCGTATCCGGTGCGGCGTACCACCACAGAGTGGTAACACCGACAGGGAAAGTGTACTTGGCCTGCAGCGACACGGCGTCTAAGCGATGCTAGTCCCACGATCTCAGCGAGTACGCACCTGCGCGCCCTTGAACTCGATGGTGGCGGCTATGTCGACGGGATCCCATGAGCCGCTGCTATTATCATTCCTGGAAGATAATGCCGATCAACAAGCCCATCAGCGCAGAGCGGACAGCATCAGACACGCACTGGTTGAGCACGACCAGGCTGTACCGCCACCAGTCGCTGGAGGACACCCGCTTGGTGACGAACGCCGATACGACGAGGTTCTGGTTGCCGCTGACGGACACGCCGATGCGCTGGCCGAACGGTCCGCCCGAGTCCCTTGGGATGATCGCCTTCGACGCCTGTGCGATGGCGTAGACTGAGTCCAATACCCACGGAGTCAGTGATGAGTCGATGCTGGGAAGAGAAATACCGCGCGCACATTCTTGGTTGACCGACCAGGTGCCGTCGCTGTTGATCTGGACGACGCCGCGACATCCGCCGCCACCACAGCTGTTCGAACCTGGCAACTCAGGTTGTCCAGTGCTGTCCAGCGCAAGGTTCCACATAGCGCCGTTGCGGGACCAGTTGTTGACGGAACCGATAAAGCTGCGAGGGAATCAGCAGGCGGACGGGGATCAGAACACGCCATGATGCATACATATTGTTCAAGTACCACTGCGCGATGATCTCAGGATTAGTGCAGGACCGATGTGAGAACACGCGATGCTATGTGCTGACCTTGATGTCGCTCCACCAATCACTACCAATGGTACCTGAACACTCAGTGAAGTAGATATTCTTGTTCGGGTAGGCGTTGTAGAACGTCTGCTGGTCGCCCACATCGCCAGCATAGCAGTGGAATGAGACACCATCGAACGCGCTTCCAGCATCCTCCATCTGAATCGTAACACATGTCAGAAATCCACCCGCAAATGTGTGGACGCAACAGTAGGACCACACACCAGATCAACCGGGTATGCTCCGGCATCGTCCCAGTTGTGCTCATATCCGATGATGAGCGTGCCGGAGAAGCCGTTGTTGTCCATGAGCGTTCGAAGCTGGGTTCCCAGCTGGCCCTCCCAGTAGGCATCAATCAGAGCGCTCGGGTAGGTTGGGTTGCTGTTCTGCGGTTCGTTCTAAGTCGCCGCTAGTGTCAACGACGGTCACGCAGGTCGAAAACTCTCCCCGCACCTGAAGACTGACTCCCCAAACCGGGATACCTTTGCCCTGGAAGCCCTGCAGGGCCTTCAGCAGGTAGTTCGCGTCTAGATCGCCGATGTCAGCTGCTACGATACTACGAAGTGATATGATGCTAGTCTCACAGGTGCTGGTGTACGATGTATAGAACTTCCCCCCGTCGATAGATCCACCGTCCTTCATCCATGCCGGCTTGTGAGGGACGATCTCAGCTCAGGAAGCGGAACACGGTCCTCGTGACTCACCGGGGACCACGGACAGACGTGGATTTTGATGATACTATTGACGGAGAGGATATCTGCAATGGTCGAATAGAGATAGGACGGGGCGGCATTGACGTTGAAGTCGCTGAGTGAGGTGTCTCCGCTAGTGTCGTCGAACGTGTACGCTAAGGTCACGAAGCAGCGTTATCACGGTGGATCTGTTATTCAAATCGCAACGCTCACTGGACGCAGAGAAATCGGATGCACCGAGTGGCACTCGAAGGTAGGTCATGCCAGCTGCATTCGCGCCATCGGTAGCTATTAACAGCAGGTGGTCAAGTGAGCGTCCGAACTCTAATGTTTCTAGACATGCAAACGAACGCACGATCGAATAAATAGTCGATGAGAGACCAGTATTGAGTCGAGTTTTGGGACTAGACGGCACGGAGCTTGTGAGATAAGACATCACAATAGGAGACAAGACGACTACCAGCCTTCAGCTGGCTTAGCAGCTTGGCAGACGAGTCCGCTAGGAAATACACGTTGTCAGCGCGTGAACCTCAGCACGTCGAGCGATGAAAACTCACTCAAAGCTGCACCAAAGCCGATGATATCTTGGTAGTATGTCGTGTCGGCGACCTGGATGTCTGACGTGCCAGTGGATACCGGTGTCACGAAGTTGATTGGACTGGAACCCAGATTCTTGTAAGTGAAAAGGTTATCCCTTTGCCACGTTGTGGACCACTGCGTATGAAAATCGGGAGCGCCGCATTTCAGCCAAGGTTGACATAGCCAACGTGCAGGAGGACTCACGATGTCGTAGATCTGCTGCGAGGCGATGGGCAGAGCCAAAGCGAGACAGAAGCCCACCGAACTGAACATTGTGGTAAGAACCGGGGCTGCAGATGAAGTCCTCGGAGAGAGGAGCAGGGCAGACGCAGACTGGCGTAGAGCATGCCGTGCTCACGCCTTTATACCACCGTTTCACATAGAGCGCATGGTATAAGACCAGACGTGATGGATTTGGATTGATTGTCTTCATGTCCAGCCATTCGACATAGAAGAATGCAGCATAGTGACGACCAAGGGAATGGATTACGGCAATCCGTCGAAAAGTTTCCGAGCGACGCGAAGCTGACGGTCGATAACACGCAACTAGTTATAGACTTCCACTAACGTGGCGCATGCCGGACGATCAACACTTGCAGCGTGGTCGACGTACGGTGATAGGCCAGAGACTCTGCCGGAAGTCGTTGTGGGTCTAGAGCGGGAAACCCGTACCTGTGCAAATGCTTCTGCGGGACGGCTGAGTATCCAGAGGAGTGATTATGCCAAGCTACTGCCCGCACCGGCATTGGGATTCCTGCGTACATCGCTGCAAGAACGCAATTAAGCACTGATTTGGCTGTGCTGGCCATGCGGTCGAGTCCTAAGTTGAAAACGGCATCAGCTCGGACGCATCACACAAGGTCCAGTCCAGTCTCGGAACAGAGGTTGGCTCTCTGGGAAAGGACGATCGTTACGATCAACAACGGTACGCTTTCCGACATGTGATCCGCACGTGGGCGCGTATGCGCCTATTAGCCCTGGCAAGACTCGACTGTAGTAGCTAAAAGTTTAACAGACGTTATCCGGTGATTGTATGACCAGGCGCGACACTCACCAGCTGCTGGAATGTGCTGTCGAATGAGTGTTCATGCAAGAAGTCCCATGATCAGCCGGGTCCAGCAGTAGACGCGAAGAGGTCGGACTGTATTACAACACATGTAGTAGAGTATTACTTATGTGTACGCCAGAGAGAAACATGGATCAACAGCAACGAAGGTGAGATAACCAACTTGAACACCGATTCTATGTCATCTGCACTCCGAGACAAGATCGGTCACCCTTAGGCCAAGCGTGAAATCGCGCAGGTTGGTTAGACCTCGAACTTCCATCAGCTTTTGCGCATCGGAGGATATTGAGCCCAGATGCGGTAAGAGCGTCGCGTTGGGAGTGCCAGCAGGCGTGGATTGACGACAGGCTCGTCGGGGAATACATCCAACCCTACAGCCGATAACTGGACGAGTGCATGGTAAACGAAGGTCTTAAAAAGCAAGCTGTATGGTCAACTCACATGACCATCTTCCAGAGCGCGGATCATCGCCTCCTCGTCGATGACCTTACCCCTGGCTGTGTTGATGAGAACAGCCCCCTTCTGTAGCTTGCGGATCATTGTGTCATCGACCAGGCCTACGGTGTCCTTCCGCAGGGGTACGTGGACACTCAACACGTCTGCGACGGAAAGCATCTCGTCCAGGCGCTCTGAGCCATAGTACTCGCACCACTCGGGGGCTCCAGCGAAAGGCCGCCGATTATGGTAGACCACTCGCATGGGGAATGCGTGCACGAGTTCCGCCAGGCGCAAGCCTATGCCACCCAGCCCCATGATGGCAAGCGTGCGGACGGTGGGATCGCGTCTGCCCTGCGTCACCCGCGAGGCCTCAAAGAGACCCGCGCGAAGCTGGCGCTCCGCAACCGAGAAGCGGCGCAGAGCGGAGATGATGAGGTAGAGCGCGGTGACGGCGGTGGCGTCGTTGCCTACGCCGGGCGTGTGTGACACTGCGATACCTACAGTAGACGCGGAATAAGCATTTTTTGACCAAGAGTAGGGACCCGAGTGTCGAGGACCGAGTAAAGAAGCTTACCCTTCTCTTTGCAGGCGTCAACGTCTATCATGTCGTATCCAGCGCCCATGCTAGAAATGAACCTAACGCTTGGTGGCAGAGCCTCGATGAGAGCACGATTGAATATATCGAAGCCATTCCAATGCCTCAAGAGGCCAATGGCACCTTCGTACTTTCCTCCTGGTCGCATCCCCTCGATGAGATCCGCAGAGCTTAGTGAATTCATCACCTGGCCCCATGGTCAGCATTATAGGACAAATATTCAACGGAGAGACACATAGACTTACTAGGACATCTGCTACTCCCTTGAAAAGTTCCTCGCATTCTGCCTGCGCGAACTCGAGGCTACCTGCACAGGCGTAAGCTTGTTGAAGAGGACGGACAAGGGCGATAGGCGCTCACCGCATATCACGACGCGAGGGATCGTTGAATGCATCTTCATCGGGGGCGTGTTCAGAACCATGTGTGAGTTCAGTAAGGCAAGCTGTTCTTGTACGAAAGGGATTGAGCAAAGCGTCTGAGACGTCCTTGGGGTGTTTACGGGGCCACCTGAGGACAACGTGAAAGTACCGCGGGCTTTGTACTAAGGATGAAAGGGAGCCGACAGGGGGTTCGCACCGAGACTACTATGGACGAGTGATCCGACAGTCCGACAATGACGGGGACCAGCCAGCCTAAGTACTAACTCTGCGCCGTAGATCTTGTAACAGATTCGCCGTCTATTTCCGCGCCTAGGCAGAGATACGATGGCCGCTTCGTGGTCGAAATCGTCGGGGTGATCTTGTATGAAATTCACTGTCGAGAAGTATGGGGACCGGAACGCTCGGTCAGCGTGACTCGGCCCAATATACATAGTGCAATGCTCACCCTCGAGTCTGTACCACGGGCGTCATAAAGCGCGAACAAACCTGAGGACGCGTCATAACGAGCGGAGCGGAGAGGGCATAGATGTTCTCCACGGAGCCAGGAGGCGTGACTGTCCAGGAAAGGCTACAACGGGATTGCACTTGCCTTGAGTAACGATAATCCTTGAAGCAAATGGAAGCAAATGGGTTTGCGGGCTCAGATCGGATGAGGGGGCTTTTCCTGATTTTAGTCGAGGGACATTTTCTCGTACGTTTGGTGCCCACGGTAGCCGACGTACAACCATCGCTTGTGCGGATTGTCCCTGGCCGCATCATGATTCACAATGTCGAGAACATGCGAATGTCATGCGCTTCTGAGACATTCAAGCGGGAGCGAGGCGGGACATGGCGGCGTTTGCACGCGCTCATCACCAATATGTTCCTGTGCTGTGCGTGCGCGGCCGACGGCGACGTGTCAAGGTGCAATTCGTAGAGTCATCTCTGCTCTGTCAATACAGGTACCTGAAACCTCGCTTTCGCTCAAGCGCCTGCTCGAATGTAAGGCCTTCCAATCTTGCCGCTTCCTCGATCCGCTCGCGTTTGGCGCCCTTGAGGTCCTCGAGCTCGTTGCGTTCGAGCTGCTGATTCTCGCGAATCAAGAGGCAGCGAATGACTGCCGCGAACACAACGAATACCCTGAACACAACTCGACCACAATATGTATTAGAGCTCGACTCACCGAACGCGAGGATAGTGCTGAACGACAGGCACGCGATCCCAATATACATCGAAGGATGGTAATCGGGGCCCCATTGCGATTGCCACGTGTACGAGCTAATGCTGTAACAGGTCCCGAGCGAAGAGATCCTTCAATCGGACGCGGAAACGAGGGCATACAGGGAAGTAGGAACGCACAGGTTTCCCATATTGCCGATGCCATTCACGATGCCGATGGCCGCCGAGCGCTTGGCCGGAGGGCGCGGTATGGCGTTGGCCACCCAGACCGCGGTGAGTGCAAAGCCTAGTCAGGGCATGCTGTGCGTTAGCAAATACGAAGACGGGTCGACGAGGAAGATGAAGACATGCCGGAGTAGCCAGCGGCCATGAGGAACATGCCGAAGTATCGGGCTCCGGTGGAGGTCGTCGAGGCGCCGATGATGTACCCCACCAGGACGCCCCACCAAGGCCAGCAGTGGTGGAAGAACCGCTCTCCAGTCTTGTCTGTGTGCGATGTTGTCGATTGTGCGGGACCGCATCGCGGAAGATCTCGACATACCAGCACTCCAGGCATTAACCGCACAAACAATGGTTGCATAGATCCATGGTGGGCTGAAGGAAAGCGTGGCCATATAATGCGTCAGACTGAGACACTCAAGGACCAGCTGGTTGAGCTGAGGCTTACGCGCAAAGCAACAGAGAAACCGTCGTCGAGAAACCCAGGGTAGCCGAGATGCTAGTGGGTATTACAACGTTAGCACGGGGGACGAGCTGTCATGACCACTTACGTGGGGAAGAAGTTGATAAAGCCGAGCCCCAGCAATTGCGAACAGTTCATAATAGAGAAGATGGCCACCTTCGGGTCTTTGAGCGCTTGCACAAGGCCGGTCCATGCACTATGGTCGCGCGGGGTTCGATGAATTGACTGATAAGTTGGCTAGCGCAAAATTCACGTACGTGTCGTGCGCGCCATCCTCGTCGGCTTCACCGGTGTCTTCAGCGAGACGGACCTGCGCAAGTCTCAGTTCGGCAGGCGTCAACCATCGTGTGTTGTGGGGCTTGTAATAGATCAGATTCCGAGACATTCGGGACAAAGGTACCCTCTCACATAATCTGGGAGAACGAAGCTTTGCAGGTGCGTTTGAGCGGCGGTGAGCTTCCCGCGAAGAGAATGTGACAGCGACCCACATGGCTAGTATTCCGATAGATATGGAGATCGAACCCTGCGGGGTCGAGTTAGCTGTCGTGCACACTGTACCGGAGCTTCGCAGGAGAACAGACCTCGATGAAGAATAGCCTTCCGAAGAGCTTGGGCTCAGCCTGTTGTGGAAAAAGGACACCGGTATGACGTACCATCGCCATGCCGCGATTCCTCGCTTTCCTTGCATGCCCGAGAGTATGCCGGCGGCCATCAGCTGCAGAGGCAGAAATGAAACTGCTGACATCGGTGCTCACGAATGTGACGTACGTTTCCGAAGGCATTGGAGATAAGAAGACCGCCATAGATGACGGCCGATCGGAATGCGAGCTCCTAAAGGTATCCGATATGAATCTGTTTCACGCTGAAAGATGGAGACTTTTCGCACCTTGCGCGTATACCAGCGAGACAAGAGATACATGGCACCTGGATAGAAGGCAGCCTATCGCTCAATGAGTTCCTTCATCTCTCGGAGTAGAGTATGATGACCTCAGGAAATCCGATGGCGATCCGGCATAAAACGATCCCGGCATAATTGTGGGTGACCTAGATTAAGTCATGAGAATAGTTGGATGTACAGTGATTGATCCTTACGCCGGTCAAAGCACTGGCTAATCCCCAGAGGATCACGCACGCAGGAATGTAATACGAAGGGCTGTGAGAAATTTTCAGTTGCATCGCTCTTAGTTCTGAGGCTGAGCCATACCGCGCGATGCGATTCAGGATCTACAATGTTAAATGGCCGATACTCATTCACCACACAACTGTTAAGCACCGACCATATTCGAAGGAATTTGTGCAGGGACGTATGATGCGCATAAGACTGCCAGTACTGTCGAGTATTGGATTTGTGTTAAATGCAAATCTTGAGTAAGTCCTTGTAAGCGCGCCGAGGAGACCGCACTCCGCTGTCAGGGAGGTGTAAGTTCCAATTGCAATTTGGGTATCAGCGAGGACCTACGTCAATGTAGTTCATTATGAATATGACGATGATGGTCGGCATGAGTCTGAGGTCCAACTGTCGGACGAGCCTCCGTTCCGCGGCAGGCCTCGCATCTGCTGAGAGGAGCTCACTGTCGCTCTCAGTAACCGAGACATCCGAGACCTGCTGTTTGACGATGGAGGCCACCTTCTCCTCGACGCTGTCTTCGCGGCCTTTCGCTGACATCGCTGACAAGAAGTTGCACGCTGCAGCGCGAGCCGAGGGGCGAAGTAAAATCCGCGTTGCTTTCGACCTACACCTTGAGAGCTGCAGCACTCTGCAACGGACATCCGACGGACATGAAGCCGTGTCTTTCGCTAGGGCCCGTGACTGTCACTTCGTCAATCGGCAGACATACGGAATGGAGCTCTCTTCTCCGCTGTATTCATAGCACTTCAATTGAGGGTGCTGGCTGAGAAGTCATCTGACATTGGCTCCGTGGTACAACCGCGTCGCCTTATCTCCCAGCCCATCTTCGCGAGGCTGCACGGACCGAGCACCCCAACAATCTTCCTTTGCTGGACCTGGACATGGGGAAACCTATGAGATGATGCGTGTGCAAGCATCAGCCTTCGGACGGAATAACCTCACCGTGCAAAGTTGGCGAGTGATAGCGATGCCGTATCTCCTTTCAACAGTCACACACACACACATGAACGTTGAAGAATCACAGAGCCGCGCCCAAGGTTGAATGCGAGTGAGCGGTACGGTGTAATGTGTAGCGACTGAGGTGGAGGACACTGGGGTTGCGCACATGGCTCCACATCACGTGGTTCCAGATTCAGATCTGCGCTACCGCCGCTCGACGTGCGCACGTCGTGGCCCGGTAATTACTTGGACTCGACATTTTCAGCCGACGCGTCTGCTGCCGACTCACGCTCTGCCACCTCGTGTCTCATCGTTTGCTACGACTGTATTCAACTCCTAGGCCGCTACGGGAACATCAGGGACCGCAATCAATGCGAGCGTCGTATTGAAGCCCAGAGCATCAATCTCAACAATACTTGGCTCACGGGGGGACAGACACGCTTCAGTGAAACTGAATTTATACTTTCCCCGCGACCTGGATACTTGAAGCTTGAAGATCAGAGAAGGAGGGATAGCCGTCAATATGTTGGTCGGTCGCCATACAAGAATGGACTTCATGTCGGCTCTCTCTAGGCTGGCCAGGCTTTGTTTCCTGGGATACGTCGTGCTTGCAGTATTATATACGACGAACTTCTACTTGCTATCCCCATTACTGGCACTATCGCACTCAGCTCTCTCGTCTTCGGTATCTCCTTGGTCACAGTTCTCCGTTTCGTTCGAAGACAAACCTCTCGAAGTAGCTTCCAAGCTCGGCTCTTCCAGAGAAACCGGCCTGTCTCTCCCTGTAGATTTCTCTGACGCTCTCTGGCCAGAAGACATCTCTTCCTCTGCGGAGCCGTTCATCTTCCCTATCTCTGAGCTCGTCCACCGACTCGGCATGGACCACGCGACTCGAACATCCATCCACGAGGCGACACTGCTCAGCAAGGCATTCGCAGGTGCGCTGCACCCAACGCGCGTAATCCCGTTCTATTACCGTGCGACTGGCTCGGCGGGCGCGGACGATGTCACAATCACGACGCTCGTGACGCGCAACAGATTCAAGGTATTCCGCCAGCTCGTGGAGAGGTACCGCGGCCCCATCTCGGTACGGTGCACATACCCTTTCCGTCTCATGCCTCGCTCGCCTCGCTTCCCCAACGCATCCGTCCGTCGTAGCGCTGCAGCGCCTGCACGCGCTCTACATGTCCTCGCCGCTATTCTCAATGTACGTCGACGTGCATCTCGCGCTGTCCCCTTTCGCCGCTCTGCGCACGGTGGTGGCAGCGACACTGCGGGCGACGACGAGGGAGAGGGAGAGGGCGGGAGGCAGTTCAACGTCTGGAGGAACGTCGCAAGGCTTTTCGCAAGGACCGAGTTCATCATGATGCTAGATGTTGATTTCGCCGTCTGCACGGACTGGCGCGGCGCCTTGCAAGAGGCGATTACCTCGCGCGAAAAGGAACTCCGCACACGCCGAAGAGGACAAAGAAACTATCGCGCGGCGATGTCATGCAACGTCTCAGGGAAGGTCGTGCCGCGCTCGTGGTGCCTGCGTTCGAATATACGAACCTCGCGGACGGAGTTGATCAGAGGACCTTCCCGACAGACAAGGAGGTAAGTGGTTTGCCACGATACGTCTTTGTCGGCAATTCAAACATTCGGTAGAGCCTCCTCCGCTTGGCACAAGCTGACCCGCCGAAGATCGCCGCGTTCCACGCGATGTGGGCCGCGGGGCACAACAGCACCGACTATATGCGCTATTTCTCCATCCCCCGGGAAGCGGGGAGGTATTCCGGGTAGCGCAGTACCAAAGCGCATACGAGCCCTATGTAATAGTGAGCAAACGGGTGTCTTGGTCGGTACCATGTCATGCATTCGTGCTGCAGTCGCTCAATCAGTCATCACTCTAGGTGCGACGAACGCTTCACGGGGTACGGCGCGAACAAGGCGGCGTGCCTGTTCGAGATGTACCTCAGCGGTGTCTCGTTCTATGTCATGGCGGACCATTTCGTCATCCACCAGACGCATACATACGAGGAGGCTGCGCGCCGAGAAGAGGTACGGACCCTGCATATGCCTTCCCGCACGTGTCGCTGACGGACGTGCGTTTGCAGAGGAAGTATAACCGCAAGCTCTACGCGGACTTCAAGGAAGAGGCTTGTCTGCGGTGAGTCTGGAGTGCACGACAGGTAGTATCAGGTTCGAGCTATGGTCACGTATGCAGGTACCTGTTCCGATACGCCCACGAGGGTGTATTGCATACGCCGCGAGGTTTCAATGTACAGGAAGAATGCAAGAAGCTCAAAGGTGTCGCGAGGATTGCTGCCCAGGTGAGGCATGCCGTCCGATGATCTTCGGACATCACTTGAAGCGCACACAGCTTCTTGAACATGAACTTAGGGCTCAACAAAAGTGATTGGGGATGCGAGGTATTCTGTCTGTGGCGAGCAAGTTCTGTGATATGCCAGACTGTTGTTTCATTAGCATCGTGAACAAAACTTAAGCAATGCATGCTCAGACATGTTGGTCTGTGAACAATACCGGGCACTGAGTAGCATCATGATGACTCCATACTTTGTTGGAACTTATACCCTCCTGCAGGACTGGGATATATACCTGCTAGCGAACCACGCTGCCTCGGTTGCAGCGTGCTCAGGACTCTCCCTACGCTCCGAGCGAATCCCGCGCGCAGGCACTGCATATCGCTGCATATCGCCGAGTCGCCGCGGAAACGTAACGCTTCAGCTGCACGTGACTTCAGGGGTGGATCGAGATCTGCGGATTAACCGGCGGTCGCCGAGCCAGATGGATCGGGGTGCCATCCTTTCGGGGAAAACCAACAAACGCGCTACTTGTATTGGGAGCGTTGACCCTGACCAACATTGTATAACTTCACTCGCAGCGGTCTCCTCTGCTCGCGCACATATATTCCTTCTCACTTCAACGTCTGCTCTGTCAAAGCATGCCTTCAAATCTCCTTGAAGATCTCCCTATCGAACTATTGCTCACCATCATCAGTAATCTGCCGCTTCAGTCACTTCATCGGTTCTGCAGAGTTTCCAAGTTTGCCAATCACATCATCTCCAGCAATGAGGCGCTTGTGTATCGCCAGACTGCTCTGCTGCACCGGTATGTAGACAGGGCCGACACCATCGACCCACCGCGCACGGATTCCAGGAATCCTACGTACCCGCTCGTGAACACAACGTCATGGAAACAATACTGTAAGCGGCACACGATCGATATTCGACATCAAATAACAACATATCATGACAGGTCAGCTATGCCTGGACTTGGATCGCAACTGGGCCGGTCAAGGGGAAGTCATTCCCAGGACCTACTGCACGAAGAATGCAGACGTCCACCGCGTTAAAGTCGACGAAGACCGCGGCTTGCTATTCACTTCTCACGAGACCGGCGGAATTATCGTCACTGACTTAGAGTCTGGGGAGATACTGTGGACTTTACCTCAGGTAGACACTCAACTCTGCCTTTCACACACAGCCGGGCTGATTACAGGTGCACAGAACTACGTGCGGACACACGCACACCTCGAATATGACAACGGCTTCCTCATATTCGATCGCTTCGACAGCGACAAAGAAGTCTGGCGTCTGGCCACTGACTTCGAGCTCTGGCAAATACCTGCCTCTGCATACCCAGACAGCCCGCAGCGGATCGCCTCCCTCTTCGCCGAAGCTCGCTACAGCACCAACAACCGGGGACACCTCAGTCCCTGGGCACTCTTGACCACCACCCAGCCCACGTTTGCGTATCGGTTCGCCTACCCGACCCTGATCGTCATGTCTATGGACACCGCCTACCTCTGGGATATCCCCACCTCGACACTCGTTCAGACCATCCGCGACGCGGAGGAGCCGTTCACGCACAACGATGGCGATGGCGATGAGCGCAGCACCATCTCGTACGTCGACGTGAGCGCGCGGCACATCTTCATCTGCGGCTGGCACGAACTCCGCATCTTCAACCGCTCTGACGGCACGCTCGCGCTGCGCATCCCCTCGCAGCCGACCTTTGCCAATACGCGCGTTCTGTTGTCCCACGAACGGCGGGACGCACCGACGGCCATCGTCCCCTCAGGGCAGAAATTCTCCCGCCTGCCCGGCCGAGCACACTCCCTCTTCCGTCCTTCGTCGCAGGTGATACTTGCCATCCCGCCTCTCCATGCACTCGCTGACGCGTCGTTTGTAGCACATGCCTCACGGTGTGGCCGCCACCTCGTCGCGATGCTCGCCGACAACCGACTGCTTCTCATCGAGGATTTGAGCGCGTCGTGCGCAGCCAGGTCTCCCTTGTGGACGCCGCGCTGGAGGTGAACATCACCCTCCCCGAGAACGCGATGTTCATCGGCGTCTATCTAGCCTACGAGTTTGGGCGCGTCAGCGTCGTCACGGTACGTCCCCATTAGCAATCCAGATGTCCTCTCCCTAAATGTACTCCCCCCACGCAGACCTCGGGGTGTACGTCTTCACGCTCGACGCGGCCGAGCACCTGCTCATAGACCCGTCCATCCCGCCCTCGCGAAACAGCCTCTCCCTCGGGCTCATCCGGCCCTCCCCGTCTTCGCCCACCTCCCGCCCGCCTCCTCCGTGCCACGGACGACCTCCTTCCGGAACCTCGCAGCGGCGTACCTCCCGCGGCTCCGCAACAAGCACGTCCTCATCAACCTCAGCTGCCTCCAGATGTCCGCGACGCGGCTGTACCTCACCTGGGACCGCCGGCGCGCAGACATCTTCGAGCGCCTGACCGATGCGGCACTGGGAGGGCTCAGTGCGGGGGCCGACGACGGGTGGCGCTTCGACGTCGAAGCGGACAACATGGACATGTATGACGACATGCTGGAAGACGAGATGACGCTCCCGCCGGGCCCCGTCATGGAGCTGCATGCAGGTGAGTCTGACTGTCCGCATGACCGGGCCTCAGCTAACTTGACGGACCGCCCGACCTTGCAGAGTTTGGCGCGATCGTGATGTGTTTAGACTTCAGACCGCCTGCTGTGCGCACCCTGGACCCGCCAACTGCAACGGGGACGGAGTAGAGTTTGATGCACCATGCACCATGTAGATGTGCTCTATCGCGTGCACTGTTCATGTAACAGGCGGTTTCATCGACCAACCGCGAGGGTGTTCAGAGAGTGACAGATTTGAAATCGGCCGATCGACGCTCGACTGGAAGCACACTGGACCGAGTTCCCAGGTCAAACGAACGATCGCATAGATTGACCGGTGGCCAGCGCTGTATTTACACAGATGACCTCTAGCCACCCTCATTGGCTGAGAACGAGCCAATCAGGGTGAATACATAACACGCTCAACTACATACCATGAACTGCGTGCATAAGTACATGCTTTTGCCAGTCTGCTATATAACCAGCCATTGCATTCACAACCCCCCAGTCAACGACTGCACACCACGCCCAATACACCATGTCTGTGAGTATCTGTCCTCCTTACGTATGCGTGCACCCGACAACTAACTGAGCTCGCAGGACAAAGCTACCTGCGCTAACGTCCAGGCCAACGGCGGCTCTTGCAGCTACCCCGCATGCGGCTGCACCGACCACCAAAGAGCAAATGAACCGTCGTACACGCTAGCTTTGGGCTCGAGATGGTGCGCGCTCATCCTTTCGAAACGCTTGGTTATGCTCATTGAGCTGAATGTGCAGCTGGTGACGATCGCTCCTGACTCCCATGGAATGGGCTGGTTCTGCTGTCGTACCAATGTATGAAAGCTGCATGCTTGTGTCAATCTCATGACCTTCGTCGACATGACCATCGTCTCGTGCACTCACGAGCTCACTGGGCCTCACGGCATGTAGGAGATAGTCAAGGAACAATCAATATCGATAGAACAACACCGGGAGCAAAGAATGGTATAGTCTCCGACATGCCCATTAAAGTCATCGCGTTAAGCCACAAAAGTCAACATAAATACCGTCATAAGTCATTGCCATCTGCGTCAGCGTCATCAAGCGATCGTCAGTCATGTCGCGTCGTGAATACTCATTTCCAATGGAGCACCGGGCGGACCAGGAGAAAAGGGAGTTCTGTGCGGTGATGTTGACGGCGACGACGAGTCCCGGCCAGCAGCCAGTGCCAGCGGCGCCGGAAGCACGATCGGCACGCCGCGCGGGGTATATCGAGTTACACGCCCCGGAGACGTGGGCGACATGGGCGCCGACGGTGCGGGCACAGGCGACATGGGTCCTCCAAGGGATCGCCGCTTCGGCTCATCAGCGCGGGACGGACGACGCGCTCGCGACGACGCAAGCTGTCCAGGCGGACTTGACATCCTGCGTTCGCGCACGCGGTTTAGCATTCCATGTACCGAAGCACCAGGCCCAAGCGCAGCGCCCTCCGGGACACCCTGTAAGTTGGGCTCCTTTCTCCGCGGCCGCTCCGCCCTATGCTGCATCATCCTCGGCGATGTCACCACCGGCGACACCGCCTTCTCTGGTGGAGCCGGCGCCGACTCAAACACAGGTGCATGCACCTTATCCACCGTGCGTGGGACCAGCATGGGCTCCGCGCCGAGGCGCACTTGCGTACGATGGGACTGCGAAGAGGACGGGCCGGTGCTGAGCTGCTCGACGGATGTCGTCGGCTCTGGCAGGTTCGTGAATGCACGCCCGAGGAAGCTGTCTGAGTCGCGGGGCGAGCGTGGTCCAGACGGCCTGCGCGGAAGCGACCTCGGGCTCTGGCTCTGTGTCTGCACGGTAGTTTGCGAGTCCCGCGAGTTCCTGAAATCGAGCGGGTCGATTGGAGCGCTGGGAGTGTGCACGGGCTTGCGTGGCGGAGAGGCGCGAGGGGGCATCCGAATTGCACTGGGTGGCGAGGGCGGCTCTGGATCAAGCGCAACTAGCCCATGCAACATAGTCAGGGGAGGTGGCTTGCGCGAGCGCTGGCTGTCTCGATACTCGCGGATGGCGGACTGCGGAGGCGGGTCGTCGAGGCTCATCTGTGCGATGTGGTATCCGTGTAGCCTCTTGAATGACTTGGTTGGTGGGCTCGCCGTGTCCTGGGGCGCAAGCTCGGCCTCGGGATCAAGGTCCTTGTCTGTGCTTGTACGCGAAATGCGCGCGTAGACGTCACGCCACCATGCGCGCGTACGCGAGTGGGCTTGCGGGGCATCGTGCAGGCCGACGGGTGCGTACGCACCCGAACTAGGGCGGACCTTAACTGATTCTACAAGCAACCCACGCATGAGCACCCCGAAACTGAGACACAGAAGCACAAGGCGCACCTCGCTTGCGATACCCTCTCGTGGTGAGCTCTTTGTCGATCTGCTCCTCTAGCCCATCGCTCTTCTCCCTAATCCTCCTCGAATGATACCCCATCCCATATGCATACTCATCGCCCAAGCCGAGCCATTGCCTCTCCCCCTCGACGTGCATCACCTCCTCCACCTCCATCCCGACGTCCAACGTCTCCTTCGTCTGCTTCCCACCCTTACCATCTCTCTCTTTACCTGCCTTCCCCTCCTTATGGTCCATATCCCACCTCGACTTGCCGAACACGCCCTCATACACTGCCCCTCTCCTCGCCTGCCTATCCGTCTCATGCCCTCTCGTCTGGCGCGCCATGTACACGCACCCCTTCCACAGCTCCACAAGTGTCTCCTTGAAGTTCAGCGCATGCATGAGAGCGCGCCAGCGCGAGAGACGCGGTACAGCTGGGTCGCGGTAGACGATATAGGTGTACGCCTTGATGTGGAGGAGCGCAAAGAGTGTCATCTCAACACACTCCATGATTGCACCTATCCCCGTGGCGACGTTGTCGGCAGTCATGTACTCGGTCTGCATTGGGGAAAATGCAGTGTCATGATCCAAAGGAGACACAAGGTAAGGAGAGACTCACATCTTTGATCACGTTGAAAGTTTCCAGGACGGAGATGAGAGTAGCTTGCCAGAACGTCAAGAACACTAAGAGGGTCGATGTGAGAACAAAACATAGGCATTTGAGCGGGACTCACCGACGGCCTTGACCGCAAAAAGCTTCAGAATGGGCTTGTGCGGTGCCAGATACTCTGAGATAGGCATGTAGAGCTGAATGAGGCAATACATAGCAATTGTCACCGAAATGGACATGACGACCGTGATCTACCAGACGAAACACGTAAGTGACCTTTGAACATGCGCGAGTACTGTAAGCATGTACGTACATATACATGGCCCCAACCTGGACCCCAAGAATCCTCGCAGTACAGACCGATATAGTTGAGGACGACAGCAACGAGCGTAGTCCTAAGCAGGACGATTCAGCGGATGGTGACGAACAAATGGGAGAGTGCTAACGTGGGTCTGATGACACAGTACTGCAGTACACCCCACTTCATGAGCTGCAAAAAGTACAGGCCGTCCTAGGCGAACTTGAGATCAGACAAGCTACCCAAAATGTAGTCAGATGCCTACCTCTGGCTTCCAATGGACGAACTGCATAGGGAACATCCAGTGTGACGGCGGCTGGCCTCGTCTTCGCGCTATCCGATCATACTCCTTGGAAAGTCCGACCTGACGCAGGACTCCCATTCAGATCCTACGCCAACGCATGACCAAGCAGGCAAGCCTACCTTACGAAAAATCTCCTTCTGCTCCTCAGGGTCATGAGAGAGGTAGTTCAAGAGCAAGTAAAAGAATGACGTCAGGACGAACGCCTCGTAGCAGTCTCGAATGAGTAGGAGTGCAGTGGAGTGATTCTATGTGTGAATGAGAACGGGAGTCTGTTTTGCTAGAACATAGGCAACTGACCCAATAGAGGTAGGAGCCGAACGTAATCACGGCGTAGATAGGAACCATGAGGAGAATGCGTACGGTATCTGCAAAGCATTAGGGCGAATGAAACCAGAGCGTAGACACCTGAGCTCACATCGCTGCTCCCGTTTCTGGACACGACGCAACATTCAATATGAGGATGGAGACGATAGACGAGCGGAACTCACTTAGTGTACCAAGAAAGGTGCTGCCAGATGAGCCAGAAGGACACCAACACCGCCACGATACTGAATGCGCCCGAGACAATCCATCCGATCTATAGGACAGCAGGTCATGGAGGCGGCGAAGTAGAGGGAAGTGGACGTTCCATACATCGTGAGCTGGAAATTCGGGTCAAAGTTAATCATAACCCTGAGCTCCCGTCATTGCACGTACTCGCTAGTTTGAATGAGCCATTCTGTACGATTGGGGGCTCCGGCAGTGCCGTCTGCGGCCAGCACCTCCCGTTGACAATGTTGGACATCTGCGCGTGCTAGAGCAGCCAGGAAGGCTGATTGGCATGCGAACCTTCCGTGCGCAGGTGAAGGGGAGAGGAGCCGAAGGTCCGAGCGACGGCGAGTCGGTGACGACCTCAGCTTGCCAGTGAGCGCTTGAGCCTGCACAGTACTTGCCAGTGAACGGCACAGTGCCAGTGACCGGGTGAGTGCAGGCTATCGGCTGTTATGTAAGCCGCTCGGCGCACGCCGTAGATCGAGATTCCTTTCTGCGCAAACGCAAGTCACGAGACTCGACTAGCGGCATGTCAACTTGAATTCAAACGTTCACAAGTACATATTCCAGATACATCGTGTCAGGTCCTCCGCCTATGTACTGCAACTGCTCGCTTATACGTGCTTCTCACTTCTGCTCACCGCTGCCAAACCCGCCTCTCCTCCTCCCTCGTCTCCAACACCCGCGCGATCTCCTCCAAACCATCCACCACCAAGTCGACCTCGCCGCCTTCCCCGCCCGTCTAATTGATAAGCACTCGAGAGTCCTGACATCTTTGCGTAGCCGCGGTACTCAGTACTGTACCTTAGCGCCCCTTGTGCCAAGAATCCCCAAGATGGCGCGTTAGGAAGGTTGCGTGTGCGTTGAACCGGTTTCATGCTTACACCCTAAGGCCTGGCCAAGCACAGATCAAAGTATGTCAAGATCAAGCTACGTACGCGCAGGTATGTGATGTCCGCTCAGAGTGTCACATCACTCATTGAAGCGAAATCGCTAGGTCCAAGCATATACCGATGCACATGTGCACCGGCTCCTGTACGAGCACCACACTCGCACATATAAATGACACGGATCTGAAGTAGTTCATGACAAGAACTGCCGAATGGTTTGAGTTGACCGTGATGATGATAACTGCAGATTGCAGTGCGCTCCTTGTGCGCGAAAGCAGGCGAGATTCTGTCCGTTGGATACGACTCGTACGAAAGTAGTGACTACGTGGTACGCACACGGTACACATAATCGTGTTTTGAGACCTCATAGTACAGCGATCCAAACTGACGGCACCACTGGGCAGTCACCGGCTGCAAACTAGCCGTGGTGTCTGATCAAGCCCGCCCCAACGTCGCCCGGAGTTAGGTCAACAACGTCCCCTACTCTGACTAGATGGTTCATCGGCAAGTCGATCGCATGCTCGTTGTCCACTCGTACACCTCATCGACGTTCCGGCACTTGTGAAGCGTGCTGAAGTTCGGGAAGGGCACGTCGAACCCCGCGACCCAGTCGAAGGTGATGAGCCCGACGTCGGCGTTGCACATGAGCACCTGACGAAGCATTTCGATGCAATGGTCTGTGAATTCAAATTCAGACACCCGTACGCGTGTTCTCGTTAACCACCCAAGCTAGATCGACGACGCAAGCACGAACGCACCAAGGTGGACACGGTAGAAAGCCGGACGCAGCACGTAATTGTCATCCATCGGTCCGTAGTGGTCAATATAGGTGTGCCTTCGAAGGAGGTCCTGCAGCGTATTGCGTTATGACGGACTCGTGGCCTGTCTACAATTAACGTGGACCTACTAGGCAATGCAACTGGTGACCGATTTCAATGCCAGCCAAGAAGCCTCCGCCGTCTTCGTCACGGAAGCGTGCAATGCTCGGCCGAGCATCCTGGTCCACTTTTATGAGGTCGGACTCGTGGACACGTAGTGGCATGACTGCGTGGTGAGGTTCGCACTTGTTAGCGGATAGGTCAGTGGTTGGTACGTGAACAAAGGCGGCTTACTCTTGTGCGAGTTGTTCAGCGAGATTCTGTCCCATGCGTCGTCGATGGCATCACTTGGCGGACCGCGGTACTTGCTTGGCCAGTCGAGGACACCGTCAAATACCACGTTTGCATACCCGACTGCTTCGAGCGCTGGAGCTGCACCGTTGATCGTACGTGAGTCGCCGGTCTACCATTTTACCGCAGTAGCTTACAGTAGATGGACAGCTTCTTCGTGCATTGGACATCCGCGATTCGTATGCATCGAGGATGATGTGGAGCGACATCGACAGCAGAAACACGTGCAGGATCCACGGTAGCCAGCGACGAAGCTTGACCGTCGCACTGACGGGGCTCGCCTTGTCTTCGTCTGACCATTCTGCAGCAGATGTCGTTTGCGCGAGTAGCGCCTCCGAGTCTACCTCGTCAGTGGCTACGGGGTGTACGCGGGCATGGTCAGGGAGTCCGGGCGAGTGGGGGAAAACTTGGTAGGCCTCAAGGGTGTATGAATCTCAGCTCTTAGACGCTGACTCATCTGAGCAGACCACTGGCATTTTGATGCATGCACGTTCGTACCATCGCACGCAGGTTCTCCGGCGACGCTGCATCCCGGACTGTGAGTACATGCTGGTACGTAGTCGGAGCTGTACGAGTTCTCTGGAATTGATGCGTCCACTGGTTTGGAACGATTCAATACCACACTGGCACGGCCCGGGTATGGTCGCATTTATTCATACGTCCGCGGCGAGATTGTTCTGCATAAGTGGTGTTTAGCCGACTGGGACGCCTTGCATCGCCCGAACGCCGATCATTCGGTGTGTCCTGGTATTCAAGAAGTGGAAATAGCTCCAGACCGTGTTACAGTCGTCAGGGAACACGGAAACTTGCCCCGGGAGACATGTATCCCCTTTTGCTCCTACGGCAAGGTGGCTCGCCATACGGTATGTAATCCACATGTCTGCCGCCTGAGCGACGTAAACTCAGTGCTTTCCCTTCTAGTCAGTCCGGGAATCAATCTACGTTCGGTGTATTTGCCATTCTAGGCATAGCCGGGACTACGTTTCTCGACCTGAAATGGAGCTCGGACTGGCTAATGGCCTTTGCTCCCGTGGGCTGTAATCGCCATTTGTCAAGCAATGCAGGATGGCTCAGGCGGATCGCATGATCACTGCGTCCCTACGCACCTATTTTTACCACTGACAGGGGGATCGAGGCGTAGTACGTGTGTGGCTCGCCCCTCGCCACTGTGCTTCTCAGATTCGCGATGCGGTGGAACCGGGCGCTGTGGATCCGTACGCTTATAGCTTGTGTTGTGCAGCTGTGCTGTGACGAACGCGAGCCGCATGATCGTGATCGGAGTTAAGAGTCACTACGTACTCACATATTCGCAGTGAACACGGCATGCACGTTCATGCCAGTGCCGTTGTGCATGACTCACAACGGCGTCCTTTGGGGATTGCCGTGTCTGAGTCACTGCGTCCGACGACGTCGTTTGGAAAGGTTTGGAATCGAAGGTACGAACATTCAACAAGCCTTTCTACGCTGTATTGCTTCGCCGATATAATCGCCTCCCCGCAGATTGTTTATTCCCGGTGTGAGGTTGGTTAGGAGCCTTTGTCGCGGCACATGCAGCTCGGAGTCGATCTCAATATGACGCCTCACCCGCGGCTGTTCATCTACGGGACGTCCATTATGTGCCATCTGCGGAGTTAGAGACTCTGTGGGCCATCTGAAGCGGGTCGTAGACGTCGGCCGCCTTCGGTACTGGCCGATGTGGTTCAGCCCGGGTCTGTGGTGCAGTACCTTCAGCTTTGTTTACAGGTGTGCTCTCACGAACTCGTGGATGTTCTGGCGGATTTGAAGCGCACAGAAAATATGGGATGCGCAGGTATATAAGTGTCGAGAAATGGTTGAGAATCGCCAGTCTCCTCGGACTACAACGCCCTCTCGCAAGCTCTCAGCTCTGTACAACATGCAGTTCAAGCAGTTCGTCATTCTCGCCGCTACCCTCACGCCGATGGCAGCCCTGCTCGCGACCGCGGCACCTGTTAACGGTGAGTATATCTCAGCCCCTCTCACCAGACCACTGTGGCTCACGAACTGTACTTCGTTTTAGCTCGTGCAGTCGGACGCGATGCGACCCCGCAGTTCAGCTACGGGTACGACCCGGAGAGTGGGAGCAGCATCGAGCGTCGCCAGAGCCCGACGTTCACTTACGGCTATGACCCCGAGAGCGGCGCCGACACCGTAGAGCGCCGTCAGTTCACTTATGGCTACGTCCCGGAGGCGGGAAGCACTGTCGAGCGTCGTCAGGCCCCGACGTTCAGCTACGGGTACAATCCGGAGAGCGGCAGCACGGTGGAGCGTCGCCAATTCACCTACGGCTATGACCCGGAGAGCGGTACCACTGTGGAACGCCGCCAGTTCACCTATGGCTACGGACCGGAGACTGATGGTGAGCTTTCTGCCGATTCTATGATACTGAGCGACCTTTACTAACCATCATTAGGCGACAATGCGGCTTCGGCTCCTCAGGCTGGTATGGCTTCCGATGAATTCCTCGAGATGATACTCTCTGACGTGTCATCTGCAGGAACCTCCACTGACGAGAGCACCCCCGCGGCTGCCCAGAGCGCTGCCTGATTGCCAATATGATAGCACCAGTGGGGAGAGGGCGGAAGGCTTGCTGTCTCGTTCAGGACGGCTGCTCCGGTGACGCCTGGGTCCTTGTCAATTTAACCATATGTTTGGCTCTCCTACCGTCTTTGTATCATTGGCAACTATGCGCGCGTTCGTCCTGTCAAAATGATATGGCCGCGGCGGAGTTTTGCGTGCTACTGGTGTGCAAATGAGTGAATATTGGACTGGTACCAGTGTTTGTCTAGGGGACTCGACTACTCAACGACATCCTGCGCCATGTTGACCTGACACTTCGACTCAAATAATGCATGACAACGGAAGAAAATTCAAGTCGGTGCTAGTCAGTGTCAGGTCCTGAACCAGCGGACCTTCGCCTCTCGTCTCGGCATTGCGTCATAGCTCAAAAGCTGTCTGTCTTCAGGCTGGTCGACGTCACGGTCGCCGCTGGTGGTATATAAAGCAGCCTCGTTTTATGTATGCATGGCGCCTTTCCTCTCTTTTCCCTCCATCGACTCGGACCTCCGCTAGCAATTGCAAGTACTGACACACAGCGACGGCATGTGCACACTCAGTAACGAGACGGGCAGCCACCACCTCAAGGTGCGCATCCTGATATCGAGTCCACGAACGACTGTACCGACTTCTGTACGGGCGCATATACTCAAGCAGGCAGTCGGAGCTCTGAAGCGAACTTCAACTTGCCAGTGAGCCACCTCCAAATCAGGAACGCCGGGCCGCCTCGACGACTACGTGACGGTGTGACGTATTTCGATGATCATCATCTCCGCTGAGACGTTCCACAACCTTCACATCTACATCTACCCAGGCTCCTCCCCATCCGCCTTCGGGGGGTAGAGGGGATGAATTTCGAGTACGCCAATACAATGCTCATTCTCGATCCTAAGTCCTATATCCAAAAACGTACTAGTTGATCCAAGTCACATGCACCACGCGAGCCAATTCAAACTCCACAATCTTATTCTCCTCTACCCCCCTCTGGCGGCTGGCACAAAACATATACAAACAAATGGAGCCCCGGCTGCATACCTCCCAATTTGGGCGTGTGATCAACCATCCAGATTATGTAATTAACTGGGTCGACTGCCCGAGCGATGTTCTTGCCACTGGCAAGTACTGTGAGTCCCTCTCGAGTCTCGAGCCCTTGCACTGCATGCCCGGGCTGCAGCGTCTTCTCGATCTCCCATACTCCATACCTCCGTCTCGCATGCATCCCATCTCGCCTCCCGTGTGCCTGTTGTCTCGCTGTCTCGTGTGTTGTCTTGCCCCGTCGCGCGCCCGCCAGAATCACTGCGACCTCTCGCCTCGTACGTCCTCTGTCTCGTCAACTCATTGGCCTCTAGTCTCGTCGTCTCGTTTCGCCAATGCCCGCTCTCGTGTGATGCTCTCGACGGTGCCGGCCGCAGCAACGTGTGCGCCTTCGCCTCCGTGTCGAAGACAGACGTCGGAGCGATGTTTGTGCCTCTGGACAGTACCTCCCTCTCGACTCTCTGTCTCGCATGCATCCCGTCTCACGTTCACCGTGCCTGTTATCTCGCTGTTTTGTGTGTTGTCTTGCCTCGCCGTGCACCCGCCGTCACTGCGGCCTCTTGTCTCGTACGTCCTCCGTCTCATTGGCCTCTAGCCTCGCCGTCTCGTGAGCCCTGTCCTCTCGCCATCTCGCTTCGCCAATGCCCGTTCGCGCACGATGCGCTCGATGGCGTCGGCCGCGGCAATGTGTGCGCCCTGCCTCCGTGTCAAAGACGGACGTCTTGAGGGTGCGCATGTTGTTCGCTCTGGGCATTTCCTCATCCAGCGTGTTAGCCTGTGCGGATATCGGTGTCGACGCCACTGACGCAGCGTCGCTCGAGCCCTGCACGCAGGGCCACCCGGATCTCGCTCTGGGCGTGCTCAAGGAGGTCCTGCGCCTCCCGCTGCACACTCTGATGCTTGCTGATCTTGCTCTGCAGTCTCCGGCTCTTACGACTACGTACTCAGGACAGTCGGTACATACCTATCCACCTCGGGCTTGGTCTATGCAATGCGCAATGTCCGGAGCAACGAAAGACGAGCGCACAGGTCCTCTTGAGCTACGTTAATACAACATGCTATCAGGTGCGACAGCTTCCACCGAGTCGGCGAGCTGACGAATGGCTTCCCTGGGGACACCCCGCGGCTGCAGGCCCCTCTCAACCTCGAGTGCGTGTATGTAGATCTCTCGCTGTGCTAGGCGTCCTCGATGGGCCCGGCCAATATTGAAAGCCCAAAATGAACGGCATCAATATGTTCGTTATGAATGCAATTGTTGCGTGTCGGCCTGTGCACTTTGCGCAGGGAGGACGTGTGAACGTTCGCTCTGGTATGTCTTTCCCGGATGCTCAACGTTCAACAGGGAAGGCGGATGTCCGCTACAGACATGCAGGGCATCTTCGACGACATCTCACTCATGCGAGGACTTGGAGCCTGAGTCGTAGAACATCCCCTTGTGCGTGTTGTAGGGCCTGATCATGTACGCCGAGACAGAGCACGCATACTCGCGTGGAAGATATGTGTAATTGATCAGACAAATGCCTGTGCAGAACAGAATGTGGCCACCGGCGTGCTGATAGCAGGGCGGACAACAGTCAGCGTGCGGAGGGTCGCGCGTTCGGTCATCATGACCCGCCAAGTATGCTCGAGCGAAGGGACGAAATGCATCCAGGATTCTGCATCGCATGCGAAGTGTGAGAGTCGAGGTTGATGGGGACGAGAACAGCAGAGAGCAATCTCGTCCGTGACATCAGTAGTAGAATACTCATCAGACTCGAGGGGCCTTGCTGATGATGATCCATGACAGAGTTGCGCATATTGGCATATGAATTGAATGTATGTGTCTGACTCGTGCAGACGAAACAGGCTGTAGATACTAGTAGCAATGAAAGATCCTTCCGAAGTCCCACGTTTTGAACATAACATGAGCAATGATTATCATTTCGCAATGTTGAACATGTTCGAACCAGTATAGGTATCAAGCACTAACAACATGCGCGGGTTTGTCAAAGACCGCAGACCGGACCAAAAGCAGACGTCCCCTCCCGCTCACCGGCCACTGGTACATACCAGGATGATACCTTTCCGCCGCAGGCGCGTTGCACTGTCGCACGTGCTCGCTACGAAAATTCAAACATACTCATTGATTGACCGGCGAGAAAACATTCATCGGCTGATGGGGCTACCATATGGAGGACGCCATCACCGGGCTCCCGGTGTTTGTATATGTTTTGTGCCAGCCGCCAGAGGGGGGTAGAGGGGAATAAGATTACGGAGATTCAGGATCGGGCGGGGATAGAAGTTTTTGATGGGATGTGGCTGAGGTGTGGCGGATGAGGATAGGGACACAAAGCACAGTTTGCGGTCTCAAAATTTCGTCCCCTCTACCCCCCGAAGGCGGATGGGGAGGAGCCTGCATCTACCCCGAGTCTCTGTTCACCATGGTTTCTGGATATGCGACCTCCTCAACCAGCCCTATCACATTGAAATGCCCTCTTTTACCAGTCTTTGACCCTCTTTGCACGGCTTCTGTCGGGCCCGAGTTGAGTTCTCGTGATTTAGAGTTGTGCGTCTCTAGCCTCAGAGTCACCGGTGTCTCGGGCCGCCGTGCGGTCACAAGAGGAGGAACAACATTTCCGGACATTCCGTCTCCCTCAAGCTCGCATCTCAATCGATACTTCTAGGGTAACTCAAAGTTAACGTTCACATCGTGGAGCCCGGTCCGAAGGCCTTCCGTATGTATAAAACGCGGTCGAGGTGAACGATTGCCCACGTATACGTCCACTCAAGACTTCGACCCCGCTGAGACGAAGGTCTAACACATTCCAGTTTGCTCGATATGCCTCGTGTTATGATATGTGGTGAGCTGCACGGCGATAACTAGAGGGTTCGATCATTGACTCGCTTGGGGTTTTCAGGTGATTTGGTCTGGGCACACCAGGAATGCCAGGAGATATTCAACGGTCTTGCAGAGGTCGTGGTGAGTGATTGTACTACCTGCAAACGTGATGGGACATACACCTTGTTTATATCACACACTGGTGTTGTTCCAACTTGAAGGCATGGTGCTCACGTTTATGTCTGCAGCCAATGGACTCTCCGGACCGCGCAGACTTTCTCGCTGGTCTCAAGCCGGGTGGAAAGTACGAAGGTGTCGTAGGGCTATACAGGCACAACGTATCGACAGACCGTATCGGCCTCTTCGACAAGGAGATACTCGACGCCCTCGCAGCTGCCGGCGTCAAGTGGATCGCGCACAACGGCGCAGGTTATGATCAGATCGACGTTCTCCATTGCAAGGAGAAGGGTACACTCCTCTGCCCTTGTTTAGTCACAAGCACACTCATAGCCTCCCAGACATCTGGGTATCAAATACCCCAGGCGCGGTTGACGACGCAACAGCGACGACGGGCTTCTACCTCATGATCTCCGCGCTGCGCTGTTTTTCGCGCGCCGAGCGCACGCTCCGTGCCGGCGGGTGGAAGTCGACCCACAAGGCGGGCGAAGCACACGACCTCACCGGACGCACGCTCGCGATCCTCGGCCTGGGCGGGATCGGGCTGCGGCTCGCGGAACTCGCGCACGCGTTCCCGATGCGCATCGTCTACCACAACCGGCGCCCGAACCCGGACGCACCCGCGTGGTGCGAGTACTTCGGCGCGGACAGGCTGGACGAGATGCTCGCGCAGGCGGACGTGCTGAGCGTGCACGTCCCGCTGAAGGACTCCACGGTCGGCATGGTGGACGAGAGAATGATCCGGAAGCTGAGGCGCGGAGCTGTGATCGTCAACACTGCGCGAGGCAAGGTCATCGACGAGCCTGCTATGATCAGGGCTCTAGAGGACGGACACGTCAGTGCTTCTCCGGGTCCTCCATCAAGTCGAAGACTTACCTGTGTTGTTTACAGCTCGGTGCAGTCGGCCTGGACGTGTTCCCGACGAGCCACAGGTGAACCCACGTCTGATGGAGTTTCCCAATGCGACGTTGCTCCCGCACATGGGTACGGAGACGTGTGATTCGCAGAAGAAGATGGAGATCCGTGCTCTCTCAAATCTGCGCGACTACCTGACAAAGGGCAAGGGCCTCGATATCATCCCAGAATTTAAATAGAGGAAGTCAATAAGATGTGAATTCATTGTATTCATCCTTCAGAGTTGCACATCGTTTACTACAAGACCCTCCACGTGCGTGAGGGGTTTGTGTCGAACCTAGCACATCGATATCGTTCTTCTGAGCACCGTTGTGACTGTTTCCGATTATGTACAGTGAGTAGACGCTGGCAAGTAGTCCGGAAGCGTCGCGAGCGCAACACTCCGTTACGAGCCCCTTCACCACCACCATCATGGACATGTTGACTCTAAACGACGATATTCTCCATAACATCGCCGAAATGCTTTCCGCCGCGGAATGCATCCCTCTCTCGTCGGTGTCTCGCGATCTGCATTCAATCGCGCGGCCGTATGTGTTCGCGTCGATCACTGTTCGTACCGTGGAGCAGCTATTCAATATGCACGACCACCTCATCCGTAACATCGACAATCGCTTGATCTGGCCTCGGGGATTGACTGTCTTAGTCTATGGCGCGGCGGGAATGGCAGGAGCAGCCTGGGAGCGTCCAGTCGTCGATGTGCTAGCTGGCATTCTCGAGCACGCGCGGGAGCTGAAGGTTCTGGAGATCTACAATTGTGAGGAGGCTATCTGCTGCAATGCACTGGTCGGAGAGTATTTGACTGCACTGCCGAATCTCTCGGACATATCCCTGTTCTGCGTCGGGACAAAAACGCTCGATGTCCTACACAGAATGGTCAGCAGACCGAAGAGAGCAGTACTGTCGGGTTCGCTCAAACACAATCGATTCTCAACACACATCGCCCGAGCACCCGTGCTTGACAACGTCAAGGAGCTCAGGCTATATCAATTCGATGGAGTACCTTCACCGCAGCTTCTTTCGAGCCTTTCCGGTGCACATCCACAGGTGGAAACGCTGCATCTCGGTGTCTGTGCCGTGTATCCCTGTCTCATCCTGTTTCCCAACATACGGAGGCTGACAATTCACATCTGCCAGTTCGACCTACCAGCTCCTGGCCATCACATAGAGCAACGTCACCTGGGCTATTTAGCGGTTGAGCCAACCAACCTTCATCTCATCTCAGCCCTAGGCATCCGCAGCGATTACCTGCGACTATACACCGAGTGGCAGGACTTCGATCCTTCGGAAGATCACGAACTTGTTTCCGCCGCCGCCGTGTTGGAGCTGGGCTTGTCCCTGAGTGCGAGCTACACTGAGTCCAGCATGGCATTGGCACAGATGATCTCAAGAAAACTATCAAGAGTAAGATACCTCGTCTTGACGATCGAAGAATCGTACTCAGCGATGGCCTCGTGGATGGTACGCGACACATTCATTCTGTCTCTCATTCGCGTCTTCCGAGTCGATGCTCATATATATGTTCGTTGATATAGAAGGATATTCCATCTTCGTTGTCGCCCTCGCAACTCATTTGCATAACGGTTCATGTGACCCACCCAAATGACAGAGGTCCATCGCGCGAAACATGGCTAGAATTGCTGCAGCGACTGGAGGACGCCCACATCTCCGCAATACCCTCGCTTCGGTTCTACAGCCAGGTCCTTGGCTGGAGGCACACAGACAATCCTTCGGAGACTACCTGGAGGCGGATCGAGGGCGATGGTGGCCGTCGCGCGGTGCGGCCGATCCTCAGTTGGCAGGGCGAGAGGATTCATCGCTACCTGCAGTCTCCTGAGTTCTGCCGCACGTTGCGGTTTGACGGTGAGATGCACGTTCGGCGAGCGATGGACACAGCGGCTGATACTGGTAATCAGAGGAAGCTGCCCTGCAATACACCGGCCGATCAATACGAAGGGAGAGCTAGATTGTCAAGCGACTCGGAGCTTGGAAATGGAGGCCGGCGAGCGGCCTACTAGGTGGTATCACGACAGGATGCTGTCCGGAGGACGCCTGTGCAACACACGGCTCTCGCCTTAGCTGCGTGTACGTATGGCATTCATTTCACGAGAGCAGCGAGCAGCGGATCGGCTTCCGAGTCGCAGTCTACCCACTTCGTCCGAGTATCACTCGGTGATGGAATCCTCGCTTTTGTCAGTCGCAGTCGAACGTCGCCCTATGCCTTCGCGGTCATCCTGTAGCTAGTATTCTGCCGTGGATGCCTCGAACGAGCCAAAGGATGTACCACTCGTTGAATAATCCAAAGTCTCATTTGACATTGAGGGCTGTACCCGAAATTGCGGTCTCCACGCCCAACGCCGCCTGTGCCCTCTTGTGGAGCGACTGGATGAAGCGGTCGTGGTGAAAGCTGAGCGCTGCGGCCTCGTAGCCGGGTAGGTGATGTGCACGGGCTTGCCGTCAAGCACGACACAGTAACTCGAAGCCTGGTGGCAGAAGCGCGACTCGCCATCGGGGAAAGGCGGCGGGGCGATCACAGTCCCGGCCCGCTGCGGTGCGGGGACGCGGCCTGCACAAAGTTTCAAATTCAAGCTCAAGTCGACCATGTTACGCATGTTGACCTCGGCCAGCTACATCTCAGAATATTGTGCTATACATCGCCGACTTCAAGCTGATCCATGAATCAAGTCACATTGACAGTGACCGAGGCGTATATTGCGGTGCACGACCCAACCGAGTGCTACCAAGATGCGGGGCCGAATCCGTACTACTGTACTATTTCGACGAACTGTTCAGCGGATGTGACGCGTGACGCAGGTGCTCGGTGTTCAGAGACCTCGGTGATGCGTGACAGGGTGTCCTGGTCGGCCCAAATAGGGGTATTTGGTACCCGGGACCGTGACATTCTGACCGACTTGGGTGTTCAGTGGGACTCCGTGACCCGTGACAGTGGCTGTTCATGACCCCCCCGTGATGCGTGACAGAACACACGGTCGAAATAGTACAGTACAGGAGGACAGCAGTATATTTAATCATCCACGGTTCGTTACCTCTACCCTCACTTTGTATCATCGACCAAACCCAGGTCATCAACGATCGTGTCTAGGATCACCTGCGGCTTGACGAGCGTTTTGACTTCAAGGCGTCCTCTCGATCCGCTGCGGTTGTCTCTCTCCGTGCGACGAAGCCCTAGTGTCAACGCACATACGACGGGCCTTCCGACTCTGTTCTGACGCTTCCGCCGAGGTGCGTGTTCGTCGATCATCACTTCTGGTTGGAAGGGCTTCGCCTGTTCCTCTACGAACACCTCGTACTCGCTCCCAGCCACGTCTTCTCCAATCATCCTACGCATCTGCATTGCGGCCTTCACGATGATCTCGAAGGTTCCCCGTAGGTCGCTCTCGTCCCAAGACACTACTCGAGCGACCATCAAGATGGTTGTTGCATCCTCCATGAGACGTTGCACATGTCGCGTCTCCTGGTCCTTGGCCACCGCCGAGCTAGACGTGGCATACTTGCGGGTCAGAGTACGCCAGCGACCAGCCACAGCTTGTGACTCTACAGTCGTTTTAAGCGGGGCCCTTGATACAAAGGACGGACTCGCAAGCTCACCTGATCGAAGGATGCGACTATAGATGGAGCTGATGGCTTGGTTGGTGCTGCTACCAGAGGACGGAATCCAGGAAGATATAACCCCGGCAACATACGTTGTGACTGTGGTCTGAAGAGCCATCTCCAAGATGATCCGGTCGTCCTCCCGAGGCGGAAAGGCATGAAGCAATCCTGCCATCGTAGGCCCCATTAACACGTTCATCCGCTCCAAGACTGCCGCATCGGCCTCGCCACCTCTGAGGCGACATCCCTCTGCTGTCCGTTTGACTGCTTGGTATATCTCTGCATCCAGTGCACGAACGGTTTGAACAATGTCGCTCTCAGCGATATTGTCTGGGGACGCGAGGAAGCTTTGCGCCTCTGCCAGCTCCTGTTGCCGTGTCTCCGCAAGCGTCCTCCACTCGTGGCATTCTTCCGTGATACGTGCTTCTCTTCGACGTGACTCCACCAGCTACGCATGACTTGTGAGTACGTTTGTCATTCCTTTCCACACGTACTCACCTCCTGCTTTGCCTCAGCCTCTCTGGCTATCAGGCGTTGTTGTTCTTCATAATATCCGCGTATGTCCATCTCGTGAGATTGCAACTGACCCTGCAATTCTTGCACCATCGCCATCAGGTGATCACACGCATACATTGAAACATCGTGTTGATGAGCCGAGCCTGGATTACATGCCACATTGGCATATGTCACCTCAGGTTGGCAGATGTTTGCACGGCTATTGTGCTTTTGAAGCGATGCATTAGCCTTTCTGCGTGGAGGTCGTGATTGTTGCTAATACCTGTGTATGCGGATGAGAATGACGGGCGACTGGTGCTTGTGAAATGTCTGCTTCATAGCTCTGCTCAACACGGTGGTGGCTTCTGTTTGGCACTACAGCCGGGGGCGGGTACGGCCGTCCAAACCAGTTCATGGCCCTGTCCAACTGGTCGCCGGTGAGTGTGGAAAGTATAATCAAATCGTGGTTACTTACCATATGGCCAACGGGGCACGGTTCGTGTGCTCAAGGCGGCGATGACCAGCTACCCATCCACTAGACTTACTGGCTGATATGGTCAACTCGCTGTGGCTTGCATGGGATAGTTGACTCGTTATGATCTATGGCTCGTCAGGTGTCTATCCCTGCTGACCCGAACAGAATTCTAGGAGACAGCCATATCTAAAGAGGCATTTGCTCTGCGGTAAATGACAGAGTTTTGGCAGGCAAAGCATCTGTCTAGCTTCACGAGGTCGACTCGTGGTGTGATATGGCGCGCGGCGTGTGGAGGGGTAACACGCGCAGGTACACGAGTTACTCGTATCCTCGGTTCAGGTAGGCCCAACTCTAGTTGTGATTGTCCGTCTATTTCCATGACGGACAGGACTAACTGGACGACATGTCCGGAAGCAAGTCTACGTAATGACAGTGCACGAGGCCGGAATGCCTCTGCAGATGTTGATCCAGAAGCTTTTCGAGTCACCCGATGCGTAGGCCAACGGAACCTTCTGTCCCGTCCGAGACGTTCTTCCAGCATGCCCATACTTAACCCGCAGCGTCGCTGCGACAGAAGGTTGTGTGGTTAATCTCAGCCACCCCTCGCCATTCTACGCATCATGCCCCATGGGGATGTATACCTTGGCACGACTCGCAAACTAGTGCTAGCCATAGACGTGGGAACGACTTACAGCGGGGTCTCATTCTGCGTCTTGGATCCTGGGAAGGTCCCTGAAGTTCACAGTGTTATCAGGTGAGTGAAGTTTCAACCCGTCGCATTGGCCGCTGTAGTGATGGACTCTTCATGCAGGTACCCCGGACAAGAAGGCGAGAACAAGGCCAGGGACACGAAGATTCCGTCTGTCCTGTACTATGACGAGGATGGCGAGGTCCGTGCCGCCGGCGCCGAGGCTGTATCGGATGGTACGCTGCTTGAAGCAGAGGAACAAGAATGGAATCGCGCTGAATGGTATGACATGAGTCCTTGCTTTCAGCTCAAATTCAGTGGGCTGAACACCCTGCGTAGGTTCAAACTACGTCTCTGCCCGGAGGGCATGCAAGCAAAGGGCGAGCGATTGCCGAAGATATGTATCGACAAGTCTGTCGTTCAGATCTTCGCCGATTACTTGGCCTACATCTACAAGTGCGCCAAGGATTACATCTCTGACAGCCATGCACTCGGTAGGCAAGTACTAGAGACGGGCGCGCCCATCGAATTCGTGTTGAGTCACCCGAACGGATGGGGTGGTAAGCAGCAGAGCAAAATGAGACATGCCGCAATCTTGGCCGGCTTGGTTCCTGACATGGAAGCCGGGAACGCTAGGATATGTTTCGTGAGTGAGGGAGAAGCAAGTCTTCACTTCTGCATTGTCAATGGACTCGTTGGCGAATCGCTAAAGGTCCGGACTCCGCATGTTAACATCCAGTGTCATTTATGTCGCTTATAATCACACAGGACAGCCAACATATCATGGTCGTGGATGCTGGTGGCGGCACAGTTGACCTGAGTACGTACAAAATTGTCAAAACAATGCCTCTCAATGTCGTCGAGAGTTCGGCTGCAGATTGTGTGTAGTCCTATTCACCTGCTTGACATGTTGCTAGACTGACACCTGTGTATGCAAGGCCTTCTGCAAGGCTCGACGCTCGTAAACAACCGAGCGCGCATCTTCCTTGAAGGTGAATTGCTCGCACGATCTCGGTGCCCAGCTTACCACGACCAGAGATCAGATAAGCTGAAGGACTCGCGCTTCGCGAATGACGACTTCGTGAACTCTATGTTAGAGAGTTTCGAGTCCAGTGCAAAGCCTACTTTCAGAGACACGACGAAGACATCGTATGTCAAGTTCGGTGGGCCTCGTGACAACGATGACAAGTGTGGCATCAAGCGAGGTGTACTAGCATTGTCTGGGTGCGTGTTGGCTCGGAGTCACTTCCCCTTCGTTTCTTTGCGTCATAGAGTATCCCAGAGCCGAGATGTTACACTTCTTCCGGCCGTCCATCGACGCCATACAACGAGCGATCCAGCGACAGTTATACCTCTCTGGTCGCCATATTTCTGTCAGTTCTACCCTTAGATAGCGCAGTACGTTTTGACGACCAGTGACGACCTCATGTAGGTAATCTTGCTCGTCGGGGGCTTCGCAGGGAGCCCGTTCCTGCGTGCACAACTCCAGGCCTTCGCGCGTCAAAATGATTTAGTGCTATTTTTTCCAGAGCATCAGACGTAGGTGCTTTTTGGCTACTTTGTTTATATATGCGCACTCAATATGCCTGGCCAGTGCCAAGGCTGTCGCTGAAGGAGCTCTCTGGTTCCACCTGGAGAACTATGTTTCGGCTCGGGTTGCCAAGCACATATACGGGACAGACAATCACACTGGATTCCAGTCGTCGCTCTCTGAACATATTGAGCGACGACACAAATCATTTGTGCATTCGGATGGAGAGGTAGTCATTCCTGATGCCTTTACGAAGATCATTTCCAGGGTATATTATCTCCGTTTGCGATGAGATGTCCCAATTGCTCATTCGCTTCTTCGACCATCACCCAGGGTACGCTAGTTACGGAAGAGCAGGAGTTTCGGGCTTCCTTCATCTGGAAGAGATACTTGCCCATATCCCGTATCAAAACTAGCATTTTGGCGTATCGAGGAACGTCAGAAGATCCACGGTGGGTCGACAAAGAGACTGGTGAGTTGCCATCGTTTGTCTGTCTTGCACCGCTTACTGATTCCCGCATATCCATTAGATATGTTCTCTACTCTGTGTCACATACGCGCGGACATCCCTCCGACCTGCTGGAAGTCAAAAACAGGAAAACTGGGCGATTACTTCTCAGCATGTTGCGACGTCATCTTGTTGTTCGGATTGACTGAACTGAAAGCCCAACTGTGCTGGGTCGAAAATGTGCGTTGCATTCAACTCGAGCTGCTTCTAACCAGATCTTGACGCCGTCTCACAGGGGCAAGAGTGCAGGTGGGCTCGGCATCACTACTCGCTCATCACCGTCGCTCAGCAGTCACGCTATAGGAGCCAAGCAGTCATTGTCTACGACGACGAGTCCTCATAGACCATGGATTGAATGGCATAGAACTCACACATGTCGATACTAAGCAACTTTGCACGTTGTCATTGCAGATGAATATTGAATACATTGAAGTGGGCTCACGCGCATCGCGAGTCGGCTTGGCTGGGATACAACCGGGACACAACGTATGCATGTCTCAGCCTGGTTTCTTCCAGTGGGAATCTTATGTCTACGTCAGCAATTCACAAAGGTGTGCGTGTACGAATCCCTATCATTTTGAACATACATTCCGTCAACCCACTACGTATACGTGTATGGATGGTACTAGCTGAGCTCGAGAACAAGTGGCCTACCTTGACGAAGCTGCTATTATACTAGCACACCACGGCATCGCACACGATCATCATCTTGAACTGGACTTGCATCGATGTTCAGTCTTCTAGAAGGTCCATACATCGCTGGATAATTGAAAACTGAGGAGAGGCCGAGTAGCCTGAGGGCAGGAGGAATCTGGCACGCCCGTGGGTACCATGCGATGGTAGGCTCAGCGACGTACATATAGTAACATATCATCATGTTTTCGTCGCAGAACCTTGTCAGAACGGAAAAAGTTCTTCAAGATGTTGCATGGCACACAAGTTGCACGAGTAGCCGTGAGTACAACCTGACGCCTGCCAAAAAGGACCTTCTGGTACATATAACGTCGACGTGAGGCATCGTGCTAGCTGGTCAAAGCTGGTGGCAATTCGGTGGCTGCTGCGACTCGTGATGACAGGCGGCGTTGAACGTTGAACGTTGAAACGTTGAACGTTGAAACGTTGAACGTTGAACGTTACCTACGTAAGTCAGAAGTCTGAACGTGATCAGCGTGAGAGAAATGGGCAATGGATCTCCCCATGGCAAGATTTGCCAAGTAAGTATCCACGTCGACATTCGTTGACGAAACACCAACGAAACACCACCTGTTGCCAAACGCCCGCGTCAGTGACCCATGGAGGATCCGCGGACGTTGCAAAGCCATGGCCAGTGTCTATGGGGTGAGTCTCAATGCCGGGTACTATCGTCGCGGACGTTCATCGGTGCTTGTCAGAACAGGTCGTTATCATTCCGAGTCCCAGTCGCCGATAATCACGGCACTCCGGCGGACACCACTAGAATATAGACTCACGGCGCGGATAGTCAGGCATGATGTTTCTGACCCGACCTTTCAGTGACTCGTTTCGGTGCGCAAGTCGAGGATTCAGAAGTGCAACGGTCGTCACCTCTCCAACAAGAAGTCAGCCCACAACTGCTGCCAAGATGCTACCTCGACTGGTTTTATGCGGTGAGAGCGTATCATGAATGACCAGGTTCTAGATATCAATCACGCTTCAGATCCCGTTGCATACAAGGATGAGTGCAAAGCGATGTTTGAAGGCGTTGCGGAAGTTCTGGTGAGCACAACCTCGTATATTTCAAAATGTCCAGTCAAGAGACCGATAGCAATAGCAATTAGACCAGCCTGCAAATCGTGACGACTTCATTCGCTCCCTTCACCCTGGAGGCCAGCTGGAAGGCGCGATCGGGCTCTTCGAACGTAATCAGTCCATCGGACGCATTGGCCGCTTCGACGAGGAGCTGATCAGCAGGCTTCCTCCCACTATCAAGTGGATCGCGCACTTGGGTGCGGGCTACGACAAAGTTGACGTCGTCGCTTGCAAGGAGCGTGGCATTGGTGTCTCAAACACCCCCGGAGCTGTCGACGACGCGACAGCGACCACCGCGCTCTACCTGCTGATATCTGCACTGCGAGGCTTCTCCGCGGCTGAACGGAGCTTGCGCGCAGGAAACTGGAAGACATCCCATTCTGCTGCAGCCGCGCACGACCTCACCAGGCGTACCGTCGCCATCCTCGGCTTAGGCGGTATTGGGCTTCGTTTTGCCGAACTAGTTCATGCGTTCCCAATGCGTGTCCTCTACCATAACCGGCGAAAGGTCACGACCGCACCGGAGTGGTGCGAGTACTATGACAAGGAACATTTCGACGATATGCTCGCGCAGGCAGACGTGCTCAGCGTCCATGTGCCGTTCACGGAGGAGACGCGGAACATTGTCGACGATAGAATGATTCGCAAGCTGAAGAAGGGCGCTGTGATCATCAACACAGCACGCGGCCAGGTCATCGAGGAAGAGGCCATGATGCAGGCTCTCAAGGACGGTCACGTAAGTGCAGGATTGCTTTGGGTTCGTTGAATGCTGATTACCCGGGTACTAGCTATCTGCCGTTGGTCTTGATGTCTTCTACAACGAGCCGAACATTGACCCGCGTTGGTACGATATACCCAACGCGGTTCTGCTTCCCCACGTAGGGACAGCTACTGCAGACAGCGTCAAGAAGATGGAATTACGCGCTCTCGGGAATTTGCGTGATTTCGTCCTTGTGGGGAAAGGAACAGACCTCGTACCGGAGCTGAGGTAGTTTACGGGCGAGGAGGCCGGGTCGACGGAGCTGGTGCGATGCACTGTGAATATTGTGAATATCATGATATGGAATACAGAGTCTTGAGTCTCAGTTGACGGATCCAAGGTCGTTGTCATTCACGTATTGCTGATTCGATGAGCATGGTTTATTCCTGTGGCACTGAGCCCAAAATTTGCTCTAGATTGGTCTAAATACTAGTGTTTCGAGGGCCAGCCTAATGAACACAACTTACTATAGGAACCGGGAGTAGGAAGACCTGCTGAGTACTGGGTGGTAATACTGTCGGACATCCCGTCCAACCTCTCCATGAACGTTTGAACAGCTATGCATACGCCAAATATTCAATACGTAATTAAAGTTCCTCCGAGTCAGAGATTGAGTGGGCGCCAGCGCAGATCTCAATCTCGATCTTCAACGCTTCAGCCACAACAGCCAACTCGGAAGATTTGACTCTTGAGCGTCTTCCGGAGACCAAGGTCCATTCAACGGCGCTGTAGCTTGCTGTCCAGACAACTGGAAGTGCAGTGCGTAATGACGATATACCTGTCTCCTAATTGATATGACTTATGCTGTAGCAGCACGGATGCGTAACCTCTCGACTTGGAAAATTATCCCGACATGTCTTCAATCACCTGAACAAAGTTCATCCAGCAAACGACGTATCTCTTGCATCGTCGTTGATGTGGACGAGGACGCTTTCTTCGTTGCCTCTGAGAACACAAGCAATGATAGCAAGTCCGAGATTGAGATATGGAAGCTCGCTACTCGAGAGGATGGGCAGGCAAGTTCTCGATCAGACCTCGGGATGGCGTCGTCATCTAGATGGTCTTCCAGATTCCTGCAAAAATTGCGGTGTATAGCATTCCTGATGCCGTCTCTTCCAACCCGTGGTCGGCAGGATCGACGTCGGAGGTCAACACAATGCAAGAAGCAATCAGTTTGAGACTCCTTCTAGACACGCGCACGATTGTCCTGATTACTCGTAATGGCGATTTACTGTCTTTGTCTTTGGAGGACGAAGAGCAACAGGTAAGGTTTCTATTCAGACTTGAAACGGCTCTGACTGATTCATCCAGTTCGATGTAGTTGGCTCGGTTGAAGCAGGCATTACCGCCGCTACGTGGGGTCCCGATGACTCATTGCTCGTCCTGACAACAGGTCAGTTTATCACGGAGGAATTGGCTCATGATGGTCGAACTGAATTTGCGATACAGGCGACGAGAAATTGATTCTCATGACGTCTACGTTCGATGTTCTCACTGAAGTCCCTTTGCATCCTAGCGATTTTGGAGAAGGTCTGTTGTGACCACTTTGGCATTGTGTCGCACGCTTAACGTGTGCAGATGCTCCAATCGCGCTCGGCTGGGGAGACAAGAAAACCCAGTTCCATGGTTCACTCGGAAAAAGCGCTGCACAGGCCGGCTTCGACTTATCTGCGGTTGGTACTAGCCCAGACGACGATAGCATACCCCGCATTAGTTGGCGTGGAGACGGCGCATCCTTCGCCGTTTCTGCGGTTTGTCCTGCAACTGTGAGCCTGATTGCATGTGAGACGTGTTGGTGCTCATTTGTCTCTACCTCTTAGGGTGAGAACACGCGCTCTCGCAGGATGCTCCGAGTATATTCCCGCGAGGGAGCACTCTCGAGTACAGCAGAGCCCGTTGCCGGACTGGAGCATGCACTCGCCTGGCGGCCATCAGGCAACCTCATAGCCAGCACGCAGCGTTTCGGGGGTGAGGACGGACTTGCAAAGGGAAAGGAAGGAAGGCACGATTTGGTTTTCTTTGAACGTAACGGCTTGAGACACGGCGAATTCGGGCTACGGGAGTGGGCCGATGGCAAGCGCAAACTGGCCAAAACTGTGACGTCGAGGAAGTGGGGATACAGGGTGAAGGAACTAGGGTGGAGCTCGGACTCGAACGTGCTCAGCGTCTGGATTGAGAGCGACGATGGGATATCGGTGAGATCGGCACCCCCTTCGCAATAAAGGC